TCAGCAAATAGCGAAATATGCGTCAATTCCTGTGGTGAATGTGCCCTAGCCAATAAAGGCGGCGCTCTGTGGTAACATTGTTAATATAGATGGTATTTGAGCGAAGATGTATACAATCATGTGCGATTTATATCTGATCGACGGATTCGTAAAATGTATCTTAGAGTGGTCAAAGGTTGATTGCTTCTTAATATCTTCTACTCTTATTGGCTATATTTCGCAGCCATATAGCAAGATCGAGCAAATTGCAGCCATATGGGCTCGGGCTTTCGTTTTTATGGTGATTTCGCGATGGTTCTATGAAGATTTTATTAACCGGAAAACGTATTTCTAGCTTTCATTATCCGGATTACAATTTCATCCTTTGCCTGGCCATTTGGGATTAGAGTGGATCTATGATAAGTCAAGCACTTCCTCAGCCGGCAATGAACTGATAAAAATAAGTACTTTATCATAGTATATATATTTTTGTATATAAGACGAAAATACTTTCGTTTTATTTACATTGATTTTGAGTCCAGTTCTCGCTGCAGTCGTTGATACATTATTTGCATTAACATTATTCACATTTCATTATAACTGTCAGCAAAGAGGACTACATCATCAGCGTATTTAAGGTCTGTGACACTGTGCTCTGGACTAATTTGTGCACCTCTTGAGTACCGATAAACAATGTCCATTATCCAGTCTATCTCTGATTAAAAATTATAGAGGAAAGGACGCTTGACGGACACCAGTTTTTATTTCAAAAGACTCTGAGAGTTTCCCATATACATAGATCTGTGCCAGGGTATACTGATAAAATTGTCTTTATGAGCCGAATGATCTTCGCTGGGATACCGTCATATTCCATCATTTTCCAGTGTTGCTCCAGTGTAGCTACAAAACCGATAAAGCAAGTGACAGTGGATAGCTGGTAGTTGAAGAGATATTAGTACCCTTTTTAGCGTAAATATCTCGTTAGCGTAACCGCAATTTGGTCTGATTCCAGCTTGGTTACGACGCATTCTGCTATCTCGTGTTGCCGTAAGTCTATTTAGCAAGAGGGAAACGAAAAATTTTCTGGAGATGTCTAGGCTGATTCCTCGGTAATAGTCGCAGTACGTCCTGTCACCTTTCCTAGGAATTACTTTGCTCCAGTTTTCTGGTATTATTTCCTTTTACCATACCGGAGAATACATTTGTTGAGGGTGAGTTATGAACGATGATGGACAACATTTGAAGAGTTCAGACCGTAGGCTATTTTCTCCGGGAGTTTTATTAGCTTTAAGCTTATGGATTACAGAAATTACTTCCTCTTCTGTTGACGGTTCGCAGTTGCAAATGTATGGCTCAAAGGGCGAATCAGTTATGTCGGGGACAAAGGTGGTCCATCATGGTTAAGTTTGGTCTCAAAAAATTCTTTCCATCTTCTGAGGCGATCCTTAATAACTTTAATAGGCGCCCCATTGATATTCCATATCATTATTCGAGTTATCGCTTTGTGAAGAAGGCGAAACAGTTTCCTGTCCGAACCGCCGTCTCCATTCTCAGGGCCATATCGCTCCAATAGCGATTTCTTTCCCGTTCTGTCATGCTGCTGTCGTTATAATTCTTCGAAGCACCCGATAATCACGATCTCCTGACATTCGTTCTTTGGCAGTTTTTTCAGACAATTGAACAGTTGCTTCCAATATCCAACTAGCATATTTCCTACTAGTATCCCTAGTGTGGAAGTGGCCTTTTGTAGGCATACTTGGGACCAACGTTCATTCGCCTTCCCAGAGACATCATTGATGTTCATTTCAATGAAGTGTTTCATAATACGGTTTGAAGTGCGCTTCTCTCCCCGGGTTTTTAGATTTGAAATAGTTGAAAAGTCTTGGGATACGTTATTTTTTTTGACTTCTCATTTTTATACAGAATCTTGGCTCGAACCTATAACATGCTCTGATCCATGTCGGTTACCAGTTTCAGCGTTTCGATAAGAATGACTACCAAGTACAGAACTCTTCCAGTTGTGGCTGACTAATATATAGTCAGTCTGATTGGAATGTTGGTTGTCTGGAGAGTTCCACGTGACTAGATGTTTTCTCCGATGCCGAAAACATGTATTAGCAATAAAGAATTTATGCTGCTCGGCAAAACGAAGAAGGCGTTCTCCATTAGCGCATTGGACCTCGATGCCATATTTGCAATTTACCGAGTTTATCGTGGCGGCATCATGAACTGTGCGCACATTTCAATCTCCCTCAATTATGACCATGCCACCTCTAGAGATGTGGTTAATAGTTGAAGCTCCGCATAGAACTTATCCTTATCGCGGCCATTTGCGCATAATGTTGGAACATATGCACTGATGACCGAAATATTGCAGAATTTTCACTTGAAACGTGCATAGGCCATATGAGTCATTTACATTCAGTCATATACATCAGAACGGATCGAATCTTTGACAATTGCTATTTTACCCCGAATTATCCGGGACACCACAATGCCATCATCTTTTCTGGAAACTATGTTTAATAATTACTCGAGACCGGAAGTGAGGAAGACGGATTTTCGACAAAAAGATCCACGCTGTATTTAGAAAGGATATGAACAGTGAACGCTCTGCTTACAACATCCATAAGCATTCTGATATTTCAAGCAGCTATAGCCAGCATCTCGCAGCACTTACAAGGTGTTAGCGGATGGGCCCTTAACGGGTTTTGAATATTTATCTTGATTCACGAGCAAATTCTATGCTTTCGCCTTGGGATTACTTTATCACTATTATTACGCCTGGATCATATATTTATCACATGTACCACCGGATCAGAAATATCATGCGAATCGGAAAACGGACGTCTCGTCAAAGAGACTTAACCATTTTACCATAGAGTTATTTGGGGAGTTACAGTTACGTCTTTAGCAGCCACCCGAACCTTATCAATTCTAATTATTTTTCTTACCTTTAATACCACCTAGCCGCACTTTTCCAGTCTGAAGGACGTACCAATGTTTTCGTTTAAAAGACTTCGGGAACAAGGTGAGAATTTCCAAATACCAACTGCTCATAGATAAGGCAGTCGCCTAAGACGCAAATCTCGGCAGATTGCAGCATATATCAAGGTGATACATTGTTTTCTCTCCTGTTTTGCATGGATCTAAAAACTCTCAGTCAGCTAATCACAAGAAATAGATATGGATACAAATTCAAGTTCAACAGCATCAGCCATCTTCTCTATATGTATGATATCAAGTTATATGCTAAAAGCGAACGAGGACATTGGAATTCGGATTAGAGGAATTTGGCCTGTTGGCAGTAAAAAGAGGAAAAATAATGACTTATGGGATGGACCTCTCAGCATGACATATGGCAAATATATAAGTTAGCAACAAGTACTTTATTTTCCCACAGCATTGCATAGTAACCACGATGAAGAGGCAAAGAAGACCGCATCATCTAAGGATCAAGGAATAAGATAAATCCTGAAGAGCCAGCTCAGCGGGGAGAAAAAAATCCATGCCATAAATATGCGAGCCATTAGATAGCAGTTGGCATAGCAAGATATAAATGAAGATGAGGACTGCTGATGTGAAGAATCGGGAATCCCTCACAGTGCACAAAGATTTTCACCAGGAGTCTAACACTCAAAGACTAAATACCAGACGAAAAGAAGGCGGATGAGGCTTGATAAACCACTATTTTGAACGAAATCCGAAGCATTCAAAAATACATCAGCAAGATGATAGCAAAGGATGAGCTGCTGAGAGAATATCTAAAACAACTACACATTTACATACATTAAAAAAGGGCAAAATGAGGTAGAAGCATGGCAAAGCAAAGTCTTCATAAGTTATACCATCGGTAGATAGCTGAAATAGTTGATATTGAGAAATACTTATACCACTGAGGCGTTGATCATAACAGCACAAGAGCAGGTGCTAAGCACCAAATCTATTGAAGCAGAGATCCAGTGCACATGCAAGATTCTAGATGCAGTTTGTGCAAAAATGCCTCAGAAGAAATCAACACATAGTGGCATGATGTAAAATGCAAGGAGGAACAACATACACTGAAAGGTACAACCAAATAGCTGGCATTATCCACAGGAATATCGCTCAGCATACGGTATAGACTCTCCGAAGGCTAGATGGGAAATTCTTTGGAAAATGTGCAGAATAATAAGAACGATTTTGTGGGACTTCTCCATTTAGGCAAACAAATACAAGAAATATAGAAAATGGTGGTAAAGCAATCCAAATGATAAGTGGATCATTTGGAATTGTGGCTCCTTAGCTAGAAAAGTGGTTTTTTCCTAAAGAGGTCTCTAATATTATTAGAGGTCTGAAATAATATTAGAGGACTGCTAGGAATAGCTAAGATACTGCACAGAACATTCAATCTCTCAGGCCTCTGGTAGAGAACCTGAGGTTGATGATGATCCTAACCATCCCACAAGGTGTGAGAACGAGATTTTTTTTTAAAAGCTATTTTCAAACCATGTTGAAACATAAAATAATACATTTGTTAATGTGTCATTTAAGCATGAAGTGGTCTGTATTTAGCAGCTCTTTCGGTTTTAAATGGTTCCTGAAAAAATTTGTTTGATTTCTGTGAACGAATGAAAATTATTTAAAAGATAGTGAAAAGTCCTTTTCCGATTATTCCGATTATTTTATTATGTAATTTAAATTTATTTTAAATTTCTCACTTTAGATTTTATATTTTTCTTTTTTTAACAAAAACTACTAAGCTTGGAAAATGCTCTCGAGATTCCATCACTTTTTTTCGGTAATATTATTATATAATTATATAAAATTCATTTCATAAAATTGTATTAGTTTATCTCCAGTTGTAATCTAATTGTAATTGATGTTAAATTCCAGTCTATCCACATACTTGTTTTTTCTCAAATATTGTTTCTCTCTCATCTGTCCTCAGACTTCACACAGGAATTCTAGCGCATTACCAGTACTTATGGTCTTAAGTGGTTTAAATATTGTTATCGCCCACCTTTTGGAGTCTAAACGCTATGCTATTACATACCAGTCAGTGTATTCCCACTTTTTTCGTATTTTTTTGATCCTCTATAAATCCTTTGTTATATTATATTATGCATCCCTTCATATTTCCAAATTTCACATTTTTTATTCTTTGCTGTGCTGTATGTCCCTAAGGGTTTTTATTATATGTCGTAATTCATTCGGGTTATAATTTTATATATTTCTTAGTATTGTTATCGCGGTTTGTTATTTGGTTTATCATCGTTTATTAGTCATATTTTCTATTATGTTATGTTTGATTTGTAAAAAGCGTTTTATTTTCCCCTGTCCTCTGTACGTAAGATTCAATAGCTCAGCTCATGCAAGAATTTCAAGCTATTGTTTTATTACAAACCTAAATGGTAATCCTATATTTTAAAAAATTTAATAAGGGAATACATTATTTATGAAACTGATAAGCTGACGCCATTTGAATCAATTCGATATTAATTAAATTTTAAATTCATTTAAGAATCAGTGGTTTGGTAATGCAAATAATGAATTTTAAAATTATATTTGATATATTTGATAAATCCACCAAACTTCGTATATTTTAATGAATTTAAGATAATTTAAGATCTATTTCGACAGAGGAAAACAGAATTGCGAGGTCACGTGGAGTTCATAGAAGCAGCTTTAAAAAATTTGGAAAGTTTTGGTTTGCATAAGGATCTCGAGACTTATAAAGAACTTTTAAATATTTTTCCCAAAGGAAAGATGGTGCCTCAAAATATCTTTCAGGTTTTCTCTTTTTTTTAAATAAATGGTTCAATAGTTTGATGCTTTCTTTAAAAAAATGGTTTAGTTTTTAATATATAAATATATATTACTACCTAAGAATTTTTATGTTTTTAGGTTTTCATTTTTTGTAAAGCTGTTTACTTTAGAGGATATTTTTGCATTATCCGATGCAGCAGATTTGTTGTGTTAAGCTTCTTGATCAAATGGAGTGGTTCGGTAATTTTCTTGTTTTTTAATTTCCTATTTCAGGTATGTTCGGTGTAAACTTGAAGGCCATTTGTTCCATATATCGATAATTTATTTTACTCTTGCTTTTTTTAAAAATTAAAAATCGAAAAAATTATGGAGAAATATTACTTGATTATTTTTCTTTATTGTTCTATCAATTCAAATATATGACAGGAGTTCAGCCAGACAGAGAATTGTATGATTTTGTCGTTAATGCATTCGGTGACTGGAATTTTGCAACAAAAAAAATTAAACGAATGATGTATTGGATGCCAAAATTGAAAAATACCAATAAATATCTTGATCGGCGTCACATTGAAGGGAAAGATTTATCTCGCGTGCAGCTAGCATTCATCGCTCTCAAAATGATGGCTAGAGATCCTGGGACATCGATTTCCTATGTTAAAGTATAATTTTTGATCAAAATATATAATTCGAAATATATAAATATATAATTCAAAATAGTTTATTAAAATTTGATTAATGGAAAATTTTTTTTAGATTTTTGGTTGGTTCACGTAATTTTTCGTTAATATTAAGTTTTATTTAAGTTTAAAGAAGAATGAATTTATGAAGGTCAGTGGCGTAGATGTCGATGAAAATGTTCGATGGTTGATCTCAGCACAAAGTGTTTCACAAAAAAGGCTTATTGAGGAAATCAAGCCTAAAACTACTATTTATATTGATGGACCGAAATTAGTTTATGTAATGGATCACCAGGTTGAATATGTGACAATGACAATGGATCCTCGCTTGGATTTTTTCGATAATTTTAGAAAAGAGGTGATTTATCTTTTCTTTCATTTGCATTTGCATTTTATCATTTCTTATAATCATTTGATCATTACGATATTGTAATGTTTTCTGTAATATTTCCTTAGTTATTCCCTTTTTTTTCCTTTTACTATTTTTTTTAAATTGATAAGCATAATATAAGCATTTGTAAAATAGGTATAAAATGATTCGGTAAGTTCACAGTGCCCATGCTTCAGGAAGTTCGACTTCAGGTAGGAGACCTATCTTTCAAAATCTGTTACCAGGTAACATCCTGGCAAGATTTGTCTCACAGCAGAGCGAGCTAGAAATAATTAGAAATGGTTCACGCCTTTTAAAAAATTCCATTTAATTTCATTTTATACTTTTCAATTAATGGAATATGCGAAGATTTCTGTTTGTAAATTACAGTCTGACAATAATTTTGAAAATTGGCATATGACTTGGGAAGCCAATCGATGGTCAAAAAGAGAAAGCACTATTCATGAACAAAAAGACGAAACAATATTAGGCCTTGCTGTTCTTGGTGTTGCAAATCGAGCTTTTGCAACTGCGTGGATTAATCATCTGCAAGAAGCGGCTTCTTTAATAAATGATGCAAATGTACTATTTCGTATTAAGGAAGGTTTATCTTTAGTTATCAATCCGAGTAGTAGTAATTGAAAAAACTTTAATGATTTCTAAACTCGATCGTATAAGAATTTCTTGTAAATTTGTCAAGTTTTTGCTTCTACTACGTTTTGATATAAATTCATTGTTAACTTGTCGAATTTATGAAAAAATTCTTAGGCGACATTTATTTTTTATTTGCTGTATTCGGTTTATAGATTTATAGATTTGTTAATTTTAAAAATTTATTTGAAGAAAGCTGGTTTAATAGCTGAAATAAAATGATTTTGAAAACTTTAATTAATTAATCATCTGCAAGAAACGGTTTCTTTAATACATACATAAATACAATGCAAATATATTGCGAAAGTTATTTTATTTTATTTTATTTAAAATTTTATTTAAAATTATTTTACCGTTATAAAAATTAATTTCAGTTTTTTTAATAATTTTTATAATTTTTTATATAATTTTTAATTTTTTAATAATTTATGATTATAGTTATTTTTTTGTGAAATTTTTTTTGGATGAAATCTTTTTAAGAATAGTTAGTGATGAATTCATTCATTTTTGAGGAAATCATTTTTGAGGAAAATTGTTCCGAAAATTTATTTCAGAAAGCTTATATTGAACTTGGATCTTGTGTCTAAATGGGATAAAGGTGAAGGGGGAGAGGGTTTAATGTAATTGTGTGAATGGTTTTTTCATAACTGTAGATTTCTTACGATGGTGTTTTTGTCATTTCTTCAATAGCTTAATTTTTATGAATGAATACAAACAAATTTTGAATGATTATTGTCATGTGATAAATTTGAATGGATCTAGTTTTTATATTTTCTGAGTTGGTTCATTCTGTTGATTCATTCAGCGTTTCTCCAGTTATACAGATGGTTATAAAGAAATCGTTTTCCCAGACCAATATATTTCCACGACGGTACTACTGGCTTTCGGTACGTTTCATCCTCATCACCAATGAAGCTTGATCTCACATCGATTCCTTTAGATAAATTTTCTAAAGCAAGAAAAATTAAGAGTGGATAAAGAAAATAATTTTGTTATTCAAGCTTTATACTTTTTTTATACATATTTTACTAATTTTTTTATCGAAAATGAATTCGGATTAAAATGGATACTTAAAATAAGAAAGGAATATTTGAGTATTAAAATGTAAGTGTATTTATTAAAATAACATTCTTCTTTTTCTAACAACTCTCACCATTACCGGGGGTGGTTCCGCTGGTTACAAGTGTAAGAGGCGTCTCCAAGCTGCTCGGTCCGACACCATCGCTATTAGTAATAGAAGTTATTCCTTTTTACATCGTCTTAAGTCCATATATCGCTTATACATTCAAAACCTTATCAGTCCAGGCCAATCAAGGATTGGCTCTCTTCGATTTTGATGTGTCAACCATCACGGGGTTCGGTAACTAGTGAAGTATGCGTCAATTCCTGTGGTGGAAGACGGAGAATGTGACCCTAACCAGCGCAGCCGATGCCCTGTGATGATATTATTAATACAGGTGGTGTTTGATCGAAGGTGAATACAATCATGTGCGATTTTATCCGCTCGATGGATTCACATAATGTATATCTGAGACATGAGTGGTTAAAGGCTGATAGCTTCTTAATATCTTCCCCTCTCATTGGCCATGATTCGTAGCCATATAGCAAGATCGAGCGAATTACAGCTATATGGACGCAGATTTTCGTCTTCATGGGATTTATGTGATTTCGTGTTGGTTCCATTTATTAAAATTACATTATTTACTTTACACGCATAATCTTTAAAAAAACCAAGGCGCAAAACTTCGGATCGTAAACCCATGTTCGAGTGGCATCATCAGATGAAGGAAAGTGCGGTTGGTATAAGGGTTTATTAACAAAAATTCTTTCCCATAAAAGAAGATAGGACCAAGTCGTAAATATTTGAATGGTATCATTTTTGATTATTTTGAGTAACGATTATTAATAGGATATTAATAGAAAATATAAACATTGGGATCAATGGGGTTACCTAATTTTACTTCCACACATTTCATTTCGGGCATATTTAGTAATAATAAAAATAAGAAAATTTAACCTTTAATAAACGAAATAAGAAATAAAGCGAGAATAAACTGAAGAAGAGCCATACCTTAGCAAAGAACTAAATTAAATGAATTTCTAATTTTCCTAAATTTTATATTTTTCTAAACATCGCCAAATATTTTGAAGTTAGAAATGAGAAATCCTAATTGATCTCTTGGGAAACATCGGATTTTATTCGTTGGAAAGATTAATGAGCAATTATGATATCATATCATTGTTTTGAAATGGGAAATTTATCAATTATCACCAATTATCACCAATTTATCAATTATATTTTTATCACCTAATTCCGCTGTGTTCGCAAAATTATTTGAAAAAATTCAGAATTTGCAAAATGAAAATTTTTTTAATTCTATAAGACCCTGGCAAAATAATTTTGTAAAATTTTTTAAATGAGCGCAATTGAGCTTTTGAAAAAATCTTAAAAATATGGCAAAAATAATAAAATAATGATTTTTAAAAGTTCATTCGAAGATAATTAATTAAAATAAAAATAATCGTATTTCCACAAAGTGAAAGTGAAATCAAGGGGAAAAATAAAGGTGGCTGACATGAAAAATTTTTCAATGATTTTAGATTAATTTTAAGGTCAATTTTAGCAGTATTTTGAAAAAAAGTTCTTTTGTAGCGCTTATTTTAAATGACGGAAAATTTTCGATTTTCGCCACTCTGTCGTAAATCATTGTGGACAAATCGTGCGTTTCGCGAATTCTACAGCGTTTTATCGAAATCGTCTATGAATTTCAAAATGGCTCTCGCCAGTGTAAGAATTGGAATTAGAATTTAAGTGTCTAGCAGACGAGCATTTCATTCCAAATCTTCAAAATCAGAATTTTGAATTTGTTTGGACATTTTCTATTTTTACGATTTGTAATACTGATATGCAACCTAATGGCATCTCAATTGTGTGATTCAATAATAACTTCTGAAATGGTTTTCCTAATTTTTTCACTCACATAATTCTACAAATTTCCATCGTAAAATGACTCGAATCCATTGCATAGCTCAGTAAATATTTTATTTCTGTTATTATTATTATTATTATTATTATTATTATTATTATTATTATTCAATATTTCGTTATTTATTCATTATCATTCAGTTGAATAGCTTTAATAGTTGAAGCCCATCAACGAAATTGATTTATTCCTGTCATTTCATATTAATTTAGAAAGATTTTTCTTTAATACAAAACGCCAAAAAAATTCTCATTAGAAAGAAAATATATCATTTATATGCGATGCATAAAACCCACGTATGCATTCAACAATTAAATTATACCTTTGGGTATAAATGATCCAAAGCGATAAAACTTTTTTCTTTAATTATTCTCGATTCCACATTTTCGTGTAACAAGCAATAAGTTAGAATTATTAAAAAACATGGAAATTTTAACAGTCAAATAAGATTAGTTCGGAATTTAATTATTATCTTTGTTTCTAACATAACCTTATTCTCCTTCCACAGTTTTCTTTTTCAACATGAAATTCCGAACGATAAATACATATAAATTTCAAAGCAAAATAAAGCAAAGAAAATGGGAAAGTATTGAATATATGAATCAAAGGAATCCATTAAAAATATAAAATTACTGAAAAACTTAATTAAAAATAATTTAAATAAAGACTTAAATTAATTACAATTAATAATTAACAATTAATTAAATAATTAATGTACAAAATAATTGAAATAGCGATGAACATACAAATAAAGCGAAGTGGTATCTCCTAATCAGTATATCTTTTGAAAAAACTAATCTCCACAGTTAAAAGAATAATAAATGTCGATAATATATTCATATAAATATATTTCATACAATTTTTCAAAATAAAAAGATTTCCCTAGAAAAAGCTCTCTTATTGAATGCTAATTATTATATCCATCATATAATAATTCTCATGGAAAAGTACATAAACTTTTTTCAAGCGTATTAGAATGCATACGATACTCGATATCAATCAATAAATAATAAAACCAACTTAATTAAGATTTAAAGAATTAAATAAAAACAATCACAAATTTAAGGAATCAGCCATCAGTTGTTCCACCTAGACTTGTTGCATAATTCTCTCGAACAGGAAATTCATTATGAGGCAGAACTGGTGACGTTGTGATGAGGCTAATTTCAAACTGAATTCAAATATTGTAATCTTACCAGAACAAATGCGAAAAAACCCAAATAATTTTTTTAATATTGTAACAACAACCTTAATTATTTTCTTCGAAATATGATTCTTTCCCCTTTTATCTTTAAACTTTTTATTTTTGATAAATAGAATTTTTGTGAACAAATTAATGTAAAAATTACCAGAAATAAAGAAAATAAGAATAAAAATAACCACACGAAATCCTCTTTCGATTGGATCAGTTAAATAAACTCCCGCAGGCAAATAAATCTTTAGATTTTCTTCCGATAGAAATCTACTAATTTCTTTTAATTGATTCTCATATTGCGTCTAAAATAAAATTAAATATAAATATAGTAATTGTAGTAAATTATAGAAATAATGTTGATCAGCGTAAGAAAAGGTCAAAAACAATGCAAAAAATTCAAGCAAAATTGTTTTTTTACAAATCTAATAATAGCAACTACTAAAAAAACCAACCTGTTGGAAAAAAATTTGTAAGAAAAAACAAAACCAACACTCATAAAAAGTCGAGAAAGATAACATGAAAAACAACCAACAAACGTTTCCAAGACCGATGCACAACAAACTTCTTCCGCTCTGCTATAATACGTGTTTATCGTTGTTATTGTATTTTTCCAGTCAGATTCACTAATCTACAAAAATAAAATAAACAGAAAAAACAAGTTAAACTTGTTGAAAAGGTCTCAGTTTAGCAAAGCCAGTTAAACAGAAACAGAGAGCCAGTCAGAAGAAATTAATATAAAAGGAAAACATGTTTCATTCAATAATTTCATAAAATCATTAATAAAAATAAAATTTTTGATTAAATGAAAATTTAATATTCAAAAAAAATTGTATAAAAGTGCACAACGCTGACATTACTGAAAGGTGTTTTATGTAATCTTGAAGCTATTTTGAAAGAAAATTTCCATTTTCACTAAATCTATTATATTTCACAAATTTTAGCAAAAAAATAATTTTGTAAAAAAATTATCGAAATACTCCTTTGAGATAATCCAAAATTCATATTAATTAATTACGAATTAATAATTACAAACTTACAACATTTAAATCAATAGTTTAGGAAAAGAATGCCCGAACAGTATTTCTTCTTCCTCTTTTAACAGCTCTCACCATTACTGGTTAGGCCGGCTCCAACGGCTACAAGGGTAAGACGTTTCCAAGCGGTCTGATGATATCGTCAACAGTAATAGAAGCAACTCCTTTTCCCGTCGTCTAAGTCCATATATTGCTGCTCCGCCTATACGCTCAAAATCTTTTCTCACCGTATCAGTCCAGGTCTTGATTGGCCCATCTCGCTTTTGACGTCAACTGTCACGCGGTTTAGCAAATAACGAAATGCGTCAACTCCTGTAGTGGTTGAGGGAGAATGTGCCCTAACCAGTTAAGGCGGCGCTCTGTGATAATATTATTTATGCAAGTGGTATTTGAACGAAAATGGATGCGATCATGTGATATCATCTGCTCGACGGATCCGTAATATGTACTTTAGACAAGAGTGATCAAATAGATATTTTATTAGCTTCTTGTATATAAGACGAAAACACTTTTATTTACATTGGTTCTGAGTCCAATTCTCGCTGCGTTATTGACACACTATTCGCATTTTATTATAACTGCCACCAAAACTGACTATATCATCAACGTATTCAAAGTCTGCGATACTATGCTCTGGTCTAATTTGCATATCTCTTAATTGACCAGTATTGCCCGATCACTACTGCATTGCATCAAATGAGGCCAAAAGTTATAGGATTGTTCTTCAACAGTAGTCTTATAAAAATTAAAAATAATTAAGGAAAACCTTTCCAATGAGCCCAATTGGAAAAGAAGTATCGAACTGAACGGCAAGACCCTTAGAATAATCTCTCTGTATAAATATTTTTGAACAAGTATTCAGTGGTACATTTACTTCACTCATCGATCATCAGAAAGGCTGAAATGATTAAGTTATAAAAAATTTAATCAAAAATATGCAAAATTATTACGATTGATGCAGTTTTTACTGATAGAATAAAATTCGACAAAATTTTAGATTAACAAAAATAAACAAAAAACTATTTAAATCTAATCTTATTAATTTATTAATTTAAAATAAGAAAATTTAAATCGAATAAAAAATAAAAATAATTACCAACTTACAACAGTTAAGTTTATAGTTTAGGAAAAGAATGCCCGAATAGATTGCATCAAATGAAGCCAAACGTCATGGGATTGTTCTTCGATAGCTTTAAGATTAAAATCAAAATAAGACTGAATGGCTGAAACTAAGAAACCACTTCCATTCTCACTGGCGTAATGGTCTCACCCAATCAGTTGAAGCTAGCCAAACAAAAAAATATTGTACTCCTAGAAGGATGAAGAAGTAACAATTCAGAGCTACCACTGAATATAAATATAAAATAAATGAAATGCAAAAGTGAAGTTTGAATTAATGCTCCATTTAAAATTTTATAGGTAGAAGAGCACAATTTATTAAACATAAATTTATTTTTAAGAAAAGAAACAGTGGATTATATAAAAGAAAAAATAATCCATGAAATATAAAAGCAATGATATCGAAAATAGCAATTCTTCTTTTTCATTTCCTTCTCTTTACTTGATTTATTTCTCCCTTCTTTTCTAACTGGTTATGATTGTCTGATATGACAGCAATGACGAGAGAATTGAGGGTTAAAATATGCTACTTAAGCACATATGTCAGGCAACACTGACTCTCCGGTCGAATACTCCGAAAAATTACGACGAAAGCAGCACCACATGACTATAGGATTGAAATGGCCTTGAAAATGAAACTGCAGCTCGATTATTCGATAACAGAAAAATCGGCCTCCTTCATAAAACAACTATAACTTCGGGAAACTTCGCGTCAATAAAATGGTACGGAATAACAATGGTATGCTTATTAAGGCTATTAAGGGACCTCCTTAGATGGAAGGAATTTTCTGAGGCAAAACTTAACCATTTGTTACCCAAACATAGCTGATTCACTCGTCGAGCCATATGTTTGGAATTGTGAACCGCCGACAGAAGAGAAAATAATCTCTATTATCAACAAACTTAAGGCCAATAAAACTGGAGATGTTTTCGGAACGAACTCTTTAAATGTTTTCCACCATCGTTCTTCAATGTATTCTCAAATCAATCAATCAACAAATGTATTCTCTGGTATGGCAAAAGGAAATAATACCAGAAGACTGGAGCAAAGAAATTCTATTTGATTTTGGATAATTTTCACTTCACTTCTACTGATTAGATTAATGGGAATATGAAATAAGAGGATGCACCTTAGCCAAGTTATTTTTAGTTTTTTAGACCTGGACAAGGTTATGTTGACCAGATATTCACTAAGGGCATTCGAACATCGCTTCAGAAATGAGCAATCCACCGTAATGTCTTTCACGCGACGGTGTTTCAGAGAAGATCATCAAATTCATAAAGGGATTTATCAGTGCATATCGGCACAGGTCTGTATATGGGGAACTGAATCCTTCGAAATAAGAATTGATGTCCGTCAAGCATCCTTTTCTCTACAAATTTTTATGAGAGATAGATTGGATAATGGACATCGCCTGTCGGCATTCAAGAGGTGTAGTCCAGAGAATAGTGTCAAAGATCTTGAATACGCTAACGATACAACACTTTTTGCTGACAGTTACGATGAAATGCAAATAATCAATAAGACGACAACTGCAGCGAGAATAGGGCTCAGGATTAATGTAAATAAAACGCAAGCCTTTTCATTTTATATTGAAGAAGCTGATAAAACAATACCTATTCTTAACAAATCATCGCCATTTGAGGAAATGCCAGACTTTAGGTATCTTGGATCCACTTTAATCAAAAACAAAGACGAAAGACGAAACTTCCGGAGATAATAGTAGCTAATAGTAGTAAATGCATTTTTCCGGTTGATGGAACCTTTATGAAACCGTCACGAAATCACCATAAAAACGAAAATCAGCGTCCATACGGCTGCATCTTGCTATATGGGAATGAGAAATGGCCAATGGGAGTGAAAGATATTAGGAATCCATCTGCCTTTGACTACTCATGCCTAAGATATATTTTACGGATCCGGGGAACGGATAAAATCGCACGTGACATTGCAGTAAATCACCTCTCGCTCAAATACCACTTGCATTAATAGTCCCATCACACCGTCTTCATTGATTAGGGCACGTCCTTCGTCGCCCACCACAGGAGAGGAGAGTTGATATATTTCGCTATTCGCAGAATTCTGTGATGTATGGTACCAAAAGCAAGATTGACCAATCAAGATCTGGACCGATACAGCCAGAAAAGATTCTGAACGATATATAGACGATGGAAAAAGGAAAGATTTCTATTACTATCTATTATAAAGACGGCATAAGACCGCGAAGCTAGGAAACGTCTTACCCATATAGCCGGAAGAGCCAGCTTAACCGAGAGAGTTATTGGAAAAAATATGTAGGACGTAAAAAAAGCGGGCAAATAAGAAAAATTTTTTTCTGATCACCATTTCTGGTTAAGAATGTTCTGCTGGTGTTGTTGCACCAAATTTTACGAGGAAGGCGGTAAGAATACAGGTGAATCGTTAGCACCATTCGGAATTTCGATAAGATAGGTTCACGCCTGGCAGAAACAGAATTCAGCATCGACGCTCCGAAATCAACCCACTCTGATTCTGACTTCTCAAATAAACTCTATAACGCCCGATTAAATAAAAATTTTTTTTTTTCATTACATATTCAAAAATTTTTTGTTAAATTACAACAAATGTAACAATAACTGTCAAATTTGTCGCAAATTTCAAGGCATAAGAATCACTATTTATAACATTAACAATGCCAATTAATACCAAAAGTAGTTTAGAAGCTGACGACAGTAATGCGACAGCATTCATGGAAGCGGCCACAACCACTATTTTAAAGCGCATTGGGCAGCGAATGAAAATGCCCGAACCAAACAAGAAAGGAGACCAAGGAAGAATACTGCGCAGCCAACCGAGCACAGTCCGAGAACACCACACAACATGCCACGAACCCAAATTTGTCAACGGAATTCCTGTATAAGATTCCTCACAAAACATGCGCTATTGCACGGTTGCGGCTTCGGCTTCCCTCGGACGATTTTTAAAAATGAACGGTACCATTTGTTTGTTTTTTGTTTCGTTTTTTCAATTATTCTTTTAAGTGTCGTTTTTTATTTAAAAAAATTTGTGTTGTGGTTTTTGAAAGTGTAATTTAATCGAAGCAAAAAATTTTGAACTTAAATATCTTTATTTTGAATCTTTCATGTAGCGACAATAATTAAACGATCGATTAATGGGTTCTTTGATGTTTTGAATGTAAAGTGAACGCTTAAGTGGGATGCGCGTGGTTCTCGCCATTCACTTCAGTTTCTTTCCGCAGATTACTCTGTGGCATCTAAAAGATTTCCGAACAGTCAGTGGGACCAAGCAAAAATGGAAGTGGGCTGCAACCCACTGTTACATGTTTCATCGACTTTGCGGCTGCCTTTGATTCAATTGATAGAGAGGCGCTTTGGAGGATAATGGAATGCGACGGTGTTCCAGAGAAGATCATTCGACTCATAAAGATATTTTATAAGCGTACGTCGGCGCAAGTCTGTGTATATGGGAAACTGACAAACTCCTTCGAAATAAGAACTGGTATCCGTCAGGGCTGCTTCCTTTCCCCCACAATATTCAACTATGCGATAGACTGGGTAATGGACATCGCTTGTCGGGTATCCAAATCAATCCAGAGCATCGTATCACAAATCTTGATTACGCTGATGAAGTAGTCCTTTTTGCTGACAATTATACAGAAATATAAATAATATTAAATAACGTGTTCTCAAACTGAAACTGCAGCAAGAATCGGACTCAGAGTCAATGTATACAAAACGAAAGTCTTTTCGTCATATATACAAAAAACTGATAAAATGCCTCTTTTTGTAAATTCATTGCTGGCCGAGGAAGTACCCTATTTTAAATACCTTGGATTCACTCTAATACCAAGTGGCCAGCAAAAGACGATATTACAACCCGGACCACGGCAGCTAGAAATGCCTTCTTCAGGTTAATGAAATCATTATGGAGCCGTCGTGAAATAACCATAAAAAAGAAAATCAACATCTGTGTAGCCGGCAAGGAATTCGTTCGATCTTGCTACATGACTAATGAGAGTGGAAGATATTAAGCAATTATTTGACCACTCTTGTCTAAGGTACATATTACAGGTTCGTCGAGCGGATAAAATATCACATGACCGCATCCATCTTCGTTCAAATACTACTTGCATTAATAGTTAATTAATAGTTATTACAGAGTTCCGCCTTCGCTGGTTAGGGCATATTCTCCACCACAGGAGTTTCTTTCCTGACATATATTTCGTTACTTGCTAAACCCTGTGATGGATGATGTCAAAAGCGAGGTAGGCCAATCAAGATCCGGACTGATACGGTCAGGAAAGGTTTTGAACGTATAGGTGAACCAGCAGTATATGGACTTAGATGATGGGAATAGAATGGCTTCTATAACTACCGACGATGGCATCAAAGCGCACCGCTTGGAAGCATCTTACCTTTGTAGCCGTTGGAGCCAGCCTAATCAGTAATGGTGAGAGCTGTTAGAAGAACAAGGGAGGCTAGAAGACGGTTTTTTTCGCGTTGTTTCTCGCTTATATCCTCAAAAAATGCCCTTATTCTTTTGTGTTCTTATCCAATCGTTCGTCCTCGCACGTCTCAAACATGGAAATAAATTCAACATTAATATAAAATCGCACACTGTCATCATCTATCACAACATATATCACAAACAAAAATTAAATGGGTAAACCAAGATAAAAATAGAAATGTGAAAGAGACAGCTATTCTTTGGCTGATGTTAGTTACTCTCATTGAAATTGTTCTTATGAGGCAGTTTTGCATGGCGTTATTTCTGCGATCCTTTATCGCTTTATTTACAGTCCATTTCTTGTCTGGTGATTAATATATTTTTGAGCACGAGGAATGAGTGTAAATTTGTCCATCACGATTCAAAAGAGTGTTAGGGGATTATAACTGTTTTTTACGAACGAAGGTGGCTAAGGTCTGAGGTGATAGTTCTGCTCGTTAGAAGGCACATCTTTTTACTAAATAGTAACTCACAATTTGCTCAACTTGAAATATAACTTTCATTATTGACATTGTGCTCCGAAATTTTTTACTGGCTTTTACTTTTGGTACATTTTAGCTATTGTTCCTAATATTAGATAACATTTCTCCCTATTATGTTGTCCTATCGCTTTCGACGTAATTCTTTATAGTCACTTTATATAGCGTTGGAATCATGGAACATTCAGTGTTATTGTTAATTGAGCGTTAACATGGTGAAGCTGAATTAAAAACTTGAATGTCACATATATTTCATCGAACCCAATGTTAATTGCAAAATATATTCTTTAAATATGGAACTAAATTCATATGTTCTGCTTCATTTTTTTATATCTGAAAGCGATCACAGTTTCGGGTTTAGATGCTTCTGCTAGGGGTTTACTTAAAATTACTGGTTGGTTTTCAGTAGATTCCAGATTTTACTTTTAAAGCAGGCAAGTTTTACCAAGGGTCACAAACGAATCTTTTAATCTCAATCAACTCAACATTTTTTTTACATTATTCCATTTTTTATAAGATTTCTACTTTTAAAGACAAATGATTAACTGAACAGTTCGGTTTCTCTAGAAGTTCTTGGTTAATTTTATAGCTTGAAGTTTGCTTAGTCCCAAAATAATTGCTACTAAGAATCAAGGCTTATGTTCGACTCCACCGATGCACCACTCTTCGTCGGATGGCAGTGTCGCCTAATGGAGAAAAGCAAAAGAGAGTGGAATGGTTCAATAGGTTGTTGTTCAGTTCGAATGTCGAAGTTCTACTGCCGGCAGGAGTAAAAAATCCGTCCAGAAAAAAAAAACAGGAGATTAAGACGACTCGTTTTTATCGCCATGGGACTCCTTGGCATATTTATCTATTTCAACCAACCAGCAATGATGAATATGTTCTTAAAAAAAACCATGAGACTGATGAAAAAGCGCTCACCAGAAAAGTGCATGGCTATACTCTAAGCTAACCAGATCAAACCAATGGTCTGCAAAATTTTTTCTTCGCTCACCTATACATTTATACACATTTATACTACAAAAACGAGAATTAGTAATCAGCAACTAATAATTATTCTGTAGTGGTAAACAACGACAATGTGTTGTTAGCAGTTTTACAATCAATTGCTTTTTGTTTTCTTGAAGGGTCGACGAAATCAGTCGTAAAGTGCAGCACAAGAACCATATAAAAATCTTAGCTGCTGATAAACCACTGAACACTTTTTCTTCTCGAAACGCCGTTTCTCGAACTGTCATATTTCTCGTGCAACCACGTTTCACTTGAAAATTTGCACCCAACGAGAAATTAAGTTACTTATTTGCGTTCGTGAGTCAGTTTCCCATTGCCAGCAAATCGTATGCATAATTATGGGAAATTCGAAATCAACAATATGGCGATTTAGCACCTATAAGTTTGAGGCTTTATAATAAACTCACTTATTCCTCGACTTATCAGGTTGATTCGGCTCGACTTATCAAGCCGAAAATCTTACTCAAAACAATCGAATGAATTTTAAGGCAATTACAAATGAATAGACCACAACTCTCTTTTGTCGATTACTGAGTCGTCGCAGCACACAATCAACAATCAGAAAATGCTAACTACGGGTAGTGGCCTGTAGTAATGCTACACGTGGCAATTCAAGCAAATTGTTCCAACAAAATCAACAAGCCTGTGTGGCTTTAAATAAAATTATCATAAATACAACTTTTGTCCGCCTTTCACACAATGACAAAATATATTTAATATATTGTTATATTATGAAAATAAAATATATTATTTAATGTGAAACGAATCTGCTCTGAAGAAGGATCATAGAAAAACCAATGCAAAAGGAAGCTTAGGTAGTTCTACGATCTAGAAAAGCACAACTCAACCTTGTGTAAAATTCACCATGAAAAGCACAACTCAACCTTGTGTAAAATTCACCATGGAGCAGAACGCATGAATCAATAGTCTCAACATCATGATAGTACCAAACTAGGATCTAAGAATGATGGTCGGAATGAAAATATTAATATAGCATTTGATATCAAAATATCAATATAGCACTGTCATCTACAAAAATACAACAATAGTTGTGCGTAGGTAGTTCAGTGCAAGATAACTGCCACCGAGAATCAAGGCTTGGGTTCGAATCCTTTGATGCACTACTTGGGCGGCATTGATACCTAATGGAAAAAAGCATAGGCCCAGTAGGTTGTTTAATTCGGAGTGCAGAGGCCGAGATTCTATCCTCATCAGGAGTAAACCTGTCCAAAAAATTGGGTTATGCTGGCGAATCACCTGCATTTCTATTGCCGAGGAATTGCCTGGCATATTTGCCTAGTCCGACAAGCCACGAACCGAGTCTAACCAGTAATGTAAGTGCTCTTACAAAAAGAAGCTATAGCATTCTCTTTTGTACCGCTAAGCTAATATAATAAATAAACCTACAACAAGAACAGTAGAGGCAATCGCACTCTTTCTAAGCAGTCAAAATTCTTTATACTGCAGTCTTTAAAGTCTTTAATAATGTGTAACTATCTGGACATATTTAAAGTTAATAGCACTGCTAAATACCTATATAATGAATAATGGGTTATAATGGATCATATATATATATATATATATATATATATATAATGGATTTTGTGCGAGTCAGAATTCGATTATCAGATAGTTCAGTTGTAGAATGCTCGATTGCCCAGCGGACGGATCGCTAGGGCGTTTTTGTGGAGAATGCATAAATAAATATAGCAAATGACAGGGAGTTGAAGATTAGAACATCAATAATAATAAATATAGGTCGAAGTAGAAATGGATCTAATCTGATATAGACCAACACAGTTGCCTTGACTGACTCACACTCAAATTCGATCCTAATATGTACACTGTATAATAACGAGCTCGAATGGGCTAAGACAAGGATTAAAAGATAATAAAAGTTAGATACGAATCGAGTCATACCCGACATAATTTATCCATTTGCTTAAAGAATTTGGTGTAATTCCATCTTGCAGATGATTTACCACTCATGTCAACGGATGTGGAGTGTCTTTACTTGCTCATTTCTCGCATATTTCTTCAGTATATAATTAGCTGGTTAGAAGTACCATCAACCGCATTGGTCCAAATTAGTTTAATCCACTTCTGTCAGAAGAAAAGAAACATAATTTCTTAATTCCCTAATTAATTATGAGAGGGGCTTATATAACATGAAGTTTTTCTATAAGAGCGTGGCCACATCCTCTCACGACCTAAACGGATAAATGACGCATTTGCAGATATTTGGAATAATGTTTATTGTCAATAGGAATTTTTCACAAACTAATAAATATAAAGTAAGTTTTTTTTAAATGAACTTTTAATAAAATCAGATGAACTCTTAATTTAATTTAATTTGGATATTCATTTAATCTGATATTTATAAATGATTAATGAACTTGATTATGTAACATTTGATTTATTTCAGAATTTTCTACAACAGTTCCGATTATTAAGTTTACATGAATATCAAAGTAAAAATTTATTAAAGAAATATGGCTGCTGCGTTCAGCAATATATACTGGCTAAAAGTAGGGAAGAAGGTGAAAAATTATTAAATTTCGAGACAGGTTTGCAATTTTTTCCTTTCAGTTTGATAGATTTCAGAAACTTTTCTGGTTTTTTAAGAAATAATTTGGTTAAAAAAAATTCTTTTAATCCTTTAAATGATTTGTAGTTTTCGACAATTTATTATTTAATTAGCTAAATGAATTTAATTAGGATCGTCTTACGTTGTAAAGGCACAAGTTTTGGTCGGTGGTCGAGGCAAAGGCAGATTTATTGGAGGCAGAAAGGATTTAGGCGGTGTGTTCTTCACGAAAGAGTAATTTTTTAGTTTATTTTTATTTTTTTGAAGTTTATTTTGAATAACTTGATTTTTTCTTTTTTCATGATTTTTTTCCGTGATTTTTTATTGAATGATAAATATTATATTGATATTTGAAGAAAATTATATATTCAAATTTTAATATTATAATTTTTATAATATTGTATAATATTTATTTTATAATATAATTAATATTAATATTATAATTGTATTTCTTGGGCTTAATTTTTTAATTTTTTTGTAGTTTTTATTTTTTCTTTACTTTTTTATTTTATTTTATTTCACAGTTTTAAGAAATGAAAATGAATATATTTGTCTAAAAAAAAAAGTTCTGTAAATTTAAGATTAATTTAACATTTTTTTATAACAAATGTTATAAGAAATTTAGCAAAAATGCTGCATTACAAGCTATTGATGAAATGATCGGCAAACGTCTTGTTACTAAGCAAACAGATGATAATGGCGTTCTTGTTAAAAAAGTATGTTGATGCTGCTGTTTCGATAAATTATTTATAGATGTTATGGACGAGTACTATAACTGATTTTTTCTGGGTATTTTAATTGTTTGGGCTTTTTACTAACAAAATATTTATAAAGTGATAGTATTTATTTATAATTTTCTATTTTTAATTTTTTGAATTTAAAAATCTATTTTTATAAAAAATTTTTATAAAAGAATGGAGGGAAAATTTATATATTTAAAATATTAATCGAAAATTCTAAAATTATTCGTCGAACGATATTACAGATTTTTAGGGTGATAAAAATTGCATCCACATCGAATTTTAATATTATTTCATTATATCAAAGCGTTGAAATTGTTAATTTTTATTTGAACATTTATTTGAACATTTAGGTAATGGTTGCGAAAGGGATTGAATTTAGCCGAGAAACTTATTTGGCCATATTACTGGACCAAGAATTTAACGGGCCAGTTATAATATCAAGTTCAATTGGTGGAGTGGGTATAGAAGAATTAGCTGAATCAAATCCTGGATGTATACATAAAGTCAGAAACCTTCTTAAATTAAAATATAACATTTATACTTTTTTTAGATTTTAGCAATCCAATACCATTATTTAAGCAATAATCGCTTCAAAATGATCAAATTCATCATTTATTTATACTTTTTAAAATGGAACCACATTTGTCGAGAAGAAAAACATTTCGATGTATTTCAAAAAAGTTTTATTTAGAAGTTTTTCACATATAGTCGCAATATTTCTTTAAGGAACCTGTTAATATTCTTAATGGAGTGACTGCAGAACAATGCAAACGAATTGCTGCCAATCTTAAATTTAAAGGAAAAACAGCTGATTTGGTCTGCTTATCATTTCTTTTTTGCTTTTTTTTTATTTATTTTCTTAATTTTCTTAATTTTCATAATTTAAGGTTGCTGTCCAAATTCAAAGTCTTTATCAACTTTTTGTTAATACTGATGCCACACAAATAGAAATCAATCCTTTTGCAGAAGGTTTGGATGGATCGGGTATTACTTCATTTAATTAAATGTTTTGTTTTATTTAATTTAATTTAATTTATATTTAATTTATATTTATATTATATTTAATTTAATTTTATTCGTTTTTTTCCAATATTTAATGCAGCATATTTGTGGTTTCTTTTGATTTCTTAGTCTGAAATATTTTTTGGTATTTTATCATTTTTTTTTGCTCTTTTATCTTTGTGATTGCCAATTTGTTTTTAATTGTTTTATGAGTGAAAATTCGTCCCAAAAAAAAAATTTTGCAAAAAATCAATTAAAAATCAGTTTATTATAAAAGTATCTTTCGTATGTGGGACTTTCGTTTGTAGTTTTTTGTCTTTAGTTTGTTGTCTGGATGCGAAATTAACTTTTGATGATAGTGCAGCATTTCGACAAAAGGAAATTTTCGCATTGGTCGATGAATCTTTTGTTAGTTTTTATATTAAAAAGAATCTTAAAGTTATCTGGGTAATAAAACTAAAATTAAGGGAAGATAAGAATTTATATATATATATATATATATATAAATATTCCCTTCTCTAATTTCAAATTTTTGTAGGAGGACAAACGAGAACTTGAAGCTAAAAGGCACAACTTAAATTACGTTTCCATGGAAGGAAACATTGCTTGCTTAGGTTTTAAAATTTTTTATGCATCAGTTTTTTTTGTGCACAATATTATGGTGCATGGCTTTATCCGATCTTTGCTTTTTTACTTTCAAATGTTATTTTCTTTATTTATTAAAATATTTTGTTTTATTTTAATTTCGTTCGTTTTTTTACAATATTTGGAGCAGCATTTATGGGTTTTTTTATTTCTTAATTGGTATTTTTTTGGTATTTTATTTTTTTCCAAATCTGCCATTGTCAATTTGTTTTTAATTATTTTGTAAGGGAAAATTCGATTCGATTCAGAGAAATACTTGCAAAAAACCTTTCACTGTAGTTTTTATTTTATTTTATGGATTTCCTTCCAAAGTTGTTCTCGTTCTCGATTTCATTTTTATTTCTTATTTTTCTTTTTATATTTTATAAATGTTATCCTCAGTTTTTCCAGTTAATGGTGCTGGATTGGCAATGGCAACGATGGATATAATAAAACTTTATGGTGGTTCACCAGCTAATTTCTTGGATGTCGGTGGTTCAGTCCAGGAAGAACAAGTTTCAGCTGCAATAAACATTTTCTCCTCAGATCCTAAAGTAACCACTTTTCTTTTTTCTTTACTTTTATATCCATTTACGTTTTAAATTTGCAGATTAAAGCCATATTAGTGAATATATTTGGTGGTATTGTAAATTGTGCAACAATTGCAAAAGGTGTAATAAATGCTTGTAAAAAGATTTCCTTGAAAGTACCACTTATTGTGCGATTAGAAGGTCTTTTTTAAATTTTTCACTAAATTATCATTTCTTTCTTCAATCTGTCGGAATTATTCAAATTTAAAACTTTTTACTTTTTTTTTAAGTGAATTGTTTAAGGTACAAATGTCGATCATGCTCGTGATTTACTGAATAAAAGTAATTTGCCCATTATTGCTGCTGAGGATTTGGATGATGCAGCAAAAATAGCAGTGAATTCCGTATCTTAACAATTCAGTTTAATATTCAGTGTTCTTTTATTGCTTTTAAAATGTTATAGGAATCGAAAGAAGAGAGGACAAGGGGAAGGGGAGATCTGTAAACTCTATATTTCTGAAATTAAAGTTTTCATAAGTTACTATGTGGTTACTGTTTATATGCCTCGGAAAAACAGGTTGACTCATAAAATTGTGTTTTTGAGTGAATTCATTTTTCTTTTTTCGTTATTGATGGATAAGTATATTTTTTGTTTTTTTCGCCATCTCGTAGTTTTTTATCCTTGCATTGCTTTAATTTGATTTAATTTCATTGATAAGAGATGATGTTGAAGAAAAGTAATTCTTTGATTTTTTACTCTATGTGCTTTTATGCATTTCCATATTAAAGGCCTAATTTGCTGATCGCAGATGATGAATGAATGGATATTTTATGTAGAATCGATTTGAAAATTTAGTGAATCGTTTTTTTTATCACAAAATTTATATTTTTAGAGAATTCAGCATTATTTACATTTTTAGACATTTGCAAATCTCCATATCGATGAAAATTAAGGTTGAGGAAACACCTGTGCATGAAATAACTTGTTTCAAAATCAAGCAAAGCATAATGCCATGTGCTCGTGCAGAGAAGGGGAGTAAGGAATAAAATAGTGACATCAAATCTATCTTTCTCTAATTACAAATATAATATTATAATATAATAATAATAAAAATAATATATTATAGAAATAGTAATAAAACTATAAATAATAATAACATAAATTGGAATTTGTAGTAGAAAGGAATCTTTGTTCCGAATTTTTTCTAAAATTTTGTCAATAAATTTTGCTGATTAAGGTGAATGAATTCAGTGAATATAGGGTGTTATATTAAAATATTGGAATTACCTTTCATTTTTTCTCGATTTTTGCCCTGTGACTTTTATCTCACTTGTATCTTGTACTTCCATCCTTATTGACTCCATAGTGAACGGTTCCAGCCTAATGGTTAATGGAACAAAGAATAGTGAAAACTAGAGGAAATGAAAAAACTTTTATCGAGCCAAATAATGGAATCTTGTGGTACTTCACATATTCATTCGATAAAACTTTTATTAAATGAGCTGGCCAACTGGTACATTGCTTCAGTTCGACTTCCGTTGAACTAAGTGAGTCAGGTGGTCGGTTTACAATCCACTTATATCTTTTTTCCCAATCAGCTCTCTGGTGAATTGATCTTATCTTAATAACAAACGAAGCGGGCCAAACGAAAAATAATGCTATTCGAAGAAATGCTAGAAAGGTCAAATATGATGAAAGCCTGAAAATTAAGTCAATAAAAATGGTAATTATAATAAAAATATTAATAATTTTCAACGATTAAAAATAAGACCACATTGATTTGACTCGAATTTTAAAACAGTTGCAATAATGAATTTTATTATTTTTTTATTATTATTTATACCAGTTTATATCAAATTAAATCTGTTTTTATGAAAAAATCCCTCAAAATGATTGTTTTTTGTTTATTATTTATTCATTCTCATAATTTCTATAATTTCAATATATTTATAATCTATTGTTTCTTTAATATTCCCCTTTTGAAATTACGTTTTTTATCGCTTTTAAGATTAATATAATAATACCAGTTAATTTTTTTGGCAATAAATTTGTTATTGATGAGATGGATCAAGCAAATCTAAATTCTGTTCTTATTAGAGCTGTGCAAGAATAGAGATATGGATGAGTCTCATTATCATCCAGATTCCACTCCTAATGGCAGATTTATTCCAACCATAGGAAAATCGAACTTATGTTGCTCGACCAAAGCAACATACCTCGTTTTCTATTCCATTTATAGAAATCTTAATTATATTTAATTTTTTACTTAAATAATTAAATAATTATTTAAATTATTATTAAATTATTTATTTAAATAATAATAGTAGAGTAAGCTTTACCAGCCTTTCTCCTTCATGAAATTTCCATGAAATCAGAAAAACTGCTTTAACAAATTTTGCCTTACACCATTAAGTTGTTGATTTAAATGTTTTTAAAGTAATATCATTCTCTGTGCATCAATTTTTATAGAAATGCTGCTTAAAGCTATATCAGTTTAGTAAATTAGGAACGCGACGACCGAGAATGACTCGGATTGTCGTGTTGAAAGAGAGAGATTTGGTTTCCGTCTCGTCTAGGAGGAACCTCTCATTAAAAAAGCCGTACTTCTGTCGCCAAGTGATGATGTCTGATAGAAATTTTTGACCAAAGTACCAATCGACTGGACGAGAAATGCGAACCATGAACCACTTATTCATTTTATGTGGTAAAAAAAGATTCACTATTAAATTACAGCTCGCGCATCGATTAATTGCTTTTTTCATTATCGTTCACTTGCATAAAATGAGAAAATTTTGTTTCGATTAAAGATATGGTAACCATAGCAGAAATAAATGATATTTATTGCTTGACGGTGAATGAATGCGAGGAATACGTTATTTATTGCCTTCAGTTCGTGGTGGCCGCGCCCGCATGGAAAATTATTTATGCAAGTGAGCACACACATCTCCCCTCCTCCAACACCTAATTTTCCACATAATCCACGCACCGTTCCTTCGATATTTCCGAATCCTATTCGCTAAACAATTTCCGAATTCCATTTCAGTTGTCCATTCTTTTCATGCTTACCTTCACGACAATATAATTTTGAAATTATAAATTAGGATTTGATGAGCATTCCTATTCTTTTTATTTTCGTTATTAATGCAGTCCTCAGTTGTGCACCGCCTGGATTTGTGCCAAGCCAAGATCCAAGTGAGTGCTTATTTGTTTCTAATATTCCTGATCACTTCAGTTTTCATTTAGTTTTAGTTCCTAGATAGTTGGCAGCTTTCTTTATTATTTTGGTATTTTGGCACTTCACATTCTCTAATTAATTATTTAATCTAGTGGTCGTCAAACTTTTTTTTTCACCCTCTCTTACATAATGCCGTAAAAATCCATGGATCCTTAAATGGAACATTTCTTTGAATCTTTCATTTGCTTCCTTAAATGTGTCTGAAATAAGCTATAAAAAACATCTGATTCGCATAATATAGAATTATTCGTTTCCTTCAGATCACCTTATTTGCCTTAAGTATAACAAGGAGGCTCCATTCATCCCCTGAGAATCGCCATGGATCCTCGAGAGTTCGTCGGGGGCAGCATATCACACAATAAATGACTATTAATCTTAAAAGCATAGAACTCACCCATCCTATAATTTCCATGATTTTTTATTAGTATGGGTCCTACAAATTGAAATTAATTTTAATTTTAATAAGAAAAATTTGATAGAAACTGGCTTAAAAATTGTAAAAATAAATAAAAATAAATTCAGAGTGATAGTGATTTTTCTTGGTATTTTCTTATTTTTTACTGTCCTTGCTTCTCTTTAAGATCAAAACTATCAAAAAAAGAAATCTTGATTTTGGACACGAAATTATCAGTCTAGTTTAGCTTGTAGGATGAAATTCAGAATGAAATCTAGCCGAACATGAAAATTCATCATTCTTGATGCATAATTATCGAATAGTGCCTAGTTAGTTTCTGGAATGTGAATGTTATAAGTTAAATGATTGTCAACTTGACTGAATGATAAGCGAATTTAGTTTATAATTTATAATTTGCATGAATCTATCTTTCATGGGATTTAGAACTCCAATTCTTGCTTAGTTTCCATCATTCAATCTGAAGAATTTTTGGCTTTCAGATTTCGTAAATGCTCGTTGTTCTGATCTTGTCCTATATCCGGTAAGTGCAGTTGACCAAAGTGATCAATACAGATTCGATTATAGTGATGTTAGTTTCGGAAATACTCATAGTCAAGGAGCATCTGTAACTATCACTTGTACCACTGGTGGGCAACCGGCCACAGTTGAAGGTTATGATCAGGTATAATTATTTTTTTCAAATCGTCAATTTTTCAATCAAATTGCTGTAAGTAGATCCACGATAAATTTTAATATTAAGTTAAGATATTTAAAAAACAGCAAAATTAATCATTTTCTTCTGCCTCTGAGCATATTAATTATAAATTTACTTATAAATAATAATAAATTTTTGAAAAGATTCATATAATAAGAGAAATTATGTTATTATTATTGTTATAAATAATATACTGAAATGGGAATTTTCTGACGGGGATCATAATCGAGTTAATAATAAATATATCCATTAACAAAACTGGATTATTTACCCATATATTATTGAATAAATCATAATAAATCCGGCTTAAAGTCAACCTTCAACTTAAATTAAATAAATATTTTGCATACTGAAAAAAAGTATCTAAAAAATTGTGGAAACCATGGAGTTAAGAAAAGGTATTCCTGAAAAATTAAGGATTCCACACTCCATTGAAATTTTTATAGGTTCGTTTAGCGTATCTAAATGAAATCTTTTCAGCAACGATCATCGATAACTTCAGGCCCGAATTTATTGGCCGTTTGTAGCAATGTTGGTGGATCACAATATACTTGGACGATACTCGGAAGGATTTTACAATTTGTTGACTGCCGATTTTAATTTCTCTTCTTTCATCATCCATTCTTGTATTTCTTAATTAGAGCGAAATAAAAAATACAGTAATAAATAATATTTTCATTATGAATTTTTTTAGAATTTCAATTATTTTTATTTGTTAGGAACAAAGAATAAATGAATGAATGTTTCGCTATAATAGAAATTATTTTTACTTTCTTAATCTTTTTTTGATATTTTTGTATTTAAAAGTAAATAATAAATGAGAAACTTGTTCTTTTTGACTATTATTTATAATTTTGCAAATATTATTTAAATTTTATTCTAAAGAAAATGCGAAATATTTCACTAAAAATATTTCACTAAATATTTTTTCGTTTTTAAAATATATTTTATGATCAGCGACGATCTCAAAAAAATAATTTTATAAAACCCAAGTTTTTCTGAAAATTAAATTAATTTGATATGAATAAAAAAATTTCCTCAGTATCCTTCATTTTATTATTAATTATCGCTCATTTCCTTTGTATGTTTTAAAAATTTTAATATTTTCTTTATGGAGAAATAAAATCCTCAAATTATTTAAATTATTTCGAATTATTTGTAAAGAACGCGATGACTCTTTTTTCCATTTTCTTAATGTTATAAAATAAAATAAGTCTTTTTTATTTACAAAAATTTAAAAATGCCTTTTAGAGAGAGAAAAATTTTCTCTTAGAACTTTTTATTTCCGATGTCTCAAAAAAATCCTTAATTTAAGCGAATAAGCGAATAACATCATCTCTTTTGCTGCTTATAAATGCAGATAGTACAATTAAATGCAATTTTTCCTTCATGTTACCGATTTACATGATCCAATTTGTCGTTGATTCAAGGCGATTAACTTACCCCAAAAGTGATTCCGAGTTAGCTCACCAAAATAGAAAGAAAAATTTTTTTGACGGGTTAATTTTAAAAAAATATTATTCTGGGTAAAACAAAGCCTTTTATTTTAAACATAAAAGTAAATTATTTCTCGATGAAATTTTAATGGACATTCACAGCGGATAATGCATAACCGCACTTTACCCATCATTTCCAGAAATAACTCAGCATATTTTAAAAATTATTTCAAGAGATCTAAATTAAATTTATCTAATATCCAATCAAATTTCTATGATTCGCAATATTGTTAAATAGTGCATGCAAAATTTATATATAAATATATACTAGGTCAACCGTTGTAATAGCAGCCTACTATTTTGATAATTAAAGTAATTATATATCGCCAAACGAAATTCAAACAATTCAAAACCACAAGTTTCGTTTTAATTGAATTTCGAAAAAAAGGCCCATAGAATTCGACAGATGAACTTGCGGTACCCAAAAAACATGAAGGACCCAAAATGAATGCTATAAAAATCACCTTACATCTTGTTTTAATTTAACAAAATATTCGAATAATGAAGAACAACAAATACAAAATTAGATCATTATAACAGTGAATAAAAGAAGGAAAATTTGAATATTTGAGTCAAAGTTTACTGAATGATGTGCTTAGAATACGATAAATGATGTGGTATATCCGCGATCTTCGGATATGAACCTTTATCCGGCCGAATCAGCTAAAAAATTGTTTAGTAAAGATGAGATGAGATTTAAAAAACTTTTAAAGTTAATTGGAGAACAGTTTAAAACGTCCAATTTTTTACTGTATGGCAAATAATTTTTACAACCAATTTTCTTTCGTTAACTTGTTTCTTTTTTTTCCTAAGAGACCTCACCATTACTGGTTAAACTCGCTCCACTGACTAGTCGTATTGGGCAATATCCTAGGGAGTTCCTTGGAGATAGAAATACAAGTGAGTCGCCACCATAACCCAGATTTTTGTGCAGGTTTACTCCCGCGGGGAATCGAACCTCAATACCGACGCTCCCAACTGAGCAATAACCCACTGAGCCATTCTATCCCTACATAAGGATAAAAAATTTGCTTTTTTTATTTCTCAAAAAAAGGGAATCTTACGTCATCTTATCCAATGCCCTCAGTACTAAGATACCGAAAAAAATTGAAATTAAAAATCGAATACGCAAAAGAACTTAGATAAACTTATATAAAAATCCAAAATAAGCGAAAAGCTAACAATTTTCCTTGTTCCATTCTTATCGATGATAGCCAAACGAATAACGCCACCAGAACTTCCATCACGATGTATCGCCAAGGCTGTGGCCTGCTTAATGAGTTCGATACAATCTTCCTCCTTCATTCCTGGCTAAATATAAATTCGTGGGAGAAATCAAATGAACTGGTTTTTCAACTTTTCAAAACATTCAATCATTTTTTTAATAGTTATAACAAAGCAAAAAATTTAAAAATAAAAAAGATCAAATATAACCTTCCAGTTACTGTCTAGCAATGAGTGAATAAAAGTACTTCCACTACCACTGCCTGTACACCGCTGACGACTTATAAAGCCACCCAAAGGTATGGTATATAACTAAATCATTTATTATATTACATCAATTTATATATTACATCAACGAAAAAATGAAGACCTTGTGAAAAAACATTTTTTATTTGCCTTTTTTATTTGTTGCGAAAATTGAATCAAATTGAATCTTCACTTATTCAAAAATCAATGCATCTTTATTAACATGATTTTTTGAAAAAAATATAAATAGAAAAGCAAATTGAAAGAATCAAAAAATCATGCAAGACGTACTTGTCCGCCATCATTCTCATCATAACCAGCAACGATAACAGAACCTTGCAACATATCACGATATTTATAAAAAAAATTCCTAAAAATATTTGCAGCACGTTGAACACCAATTGCCTCTTCTTCAAAATAAGAATATGCTTCCAGATAATATTTAACGATATCTGTGACTGCTTCAGTATCAGCTGCATTTCCACTACGAAGGACACAGAGATGATCATTTATTGCCGTAATTTTATTAGTTATACGCGAATATATGAAATTACTATAAAAAAAATTTTTTTTGGTCAATTTTTAATATTAAAACGAAAGCGATTAAATTCACTAAATAATTTGCAAATTAATTTTATAAACTAATAAAATTACCAACTAATTATAATACAAACTATTTACTAACTTCTGTAATAATAATTTAATAAATTCAATTTATGCCAAAGTTACCGAGTAACAATTGAAAAAAAGATAACCCCGAACTGGTTCGCGAATCAGTTCCAACAACCACACCACCATCATACTCCATTCCAATTAGAGTTGTCTAAAATTTAATTATTCAACAATATTCCTCATATTTACTAGCATTTTTTATAAAAAACACTAAAGATAAATGCAGATAAAGGATGACATGACTTTGCCCCTTGCTCTTCCTTTTCTCTGTTTTGCCTTATTTCAACCCCCATCTTCGCCCAAACTATTTCCTAGCTGTTAAGCGAGGATCTATGCTGCCCGCGCAACTGAAAAGCATTAGAAGTTCAATTTAGAGTGGCCACGTCTATCAAGAAAAATAAACACCATTAAGCAGTCTGTAAAGAAATAATCTAAATGCAAGAACAAATCTTCAGTAGTGATCTCAGTGGAAAATATTTTCATAAAATCCCTTCGCATTCTTTGTACCATTTGCATTTGCATTCCTTTTACCATTAATGATGGAATTAAATTAAAAATAAATTAAAATAAATAAAAAGAAGAACTTTAAAAAATAATTGGAGTTAATAGGAAAATATGCGAACCAACAAGAGGAATCAAACTGCAATAATAAAGAATAAAAACTGGGAAAAAATTTAGATTTCTCTATTTTCTTTGATCAAAAATATATAAATTGCACAATGAAGCGAAAAACTCCAAATAAATAAGAGTAAAAAAAAGATAAATTGCAACAAACCCCGCAAGAAATATCTTCGCTCCCAACTTGATAACCCGAACCCATTCTAAGATCCATTTTTCCACCTTCCTTAAATAAACAGAACAATTCTCTGAACTAAGTTATCTTAAAAAAAATTTTAATTCATTCACGAAACTCACGCAGCCCTGGCCCTAATTTTTCACGGTCTTTTAAAGATTTAATGGTCGCTTTATGCTTCGCGATCGAGGGCGAAAGAAATTGCAGAGTTTCTCAGGAAGATGGATTAAGTGGCTCTAGCAGATTATGGGAATGCTAGGTTTAACCTGGCGTCAATACGCTATGATAAGAGAAAAAAGCAGGACTTGGGGCTGTTGAGACTTGGGGAGATTTTTTGATAACTTTTAAGAAGACTCATTACGGGCGAGTATCAAAGAGTTTCAGCATAGCTGACTAAGATTTCATAGGGAAACTTGAGGCTAACAAATCGGTATAGCGAGGCTTCGATGCCACAGCGACTTGGTCCGTGATGAGCTTAAATGGTTTCGGAAAATCTTAATATTTTATTGTAAGAGCACACAACGAAGTACGATAGTGTAATTATTAAAGATAATATAATTAAGGGAATTTTTTTTTTTTTTTTTTTTTTTTGGGGGGGGGGGGGGGTTTGCGAGTAAAATTCCGAAGGATTGTTACACGTTCTGAGAAACTTTTCAGTCAAGAAATTTTTGTAATAGAGATCAATTGATAATATTACTAATGGGTTATGGCACAGTTAACTGAACGCAGCCGAGTGCCTTCAGGGGTGCTATTGGGATATAAGAGATGCCAGGAAGATGTTGGAGAAATAAGGGATTCCATGGTTTTGTTCTATAAGATTATTAAACGGGTTAGAGTAGATTGGTACTTCGAAGTTGGGCGAAAGGGTTTAGGGGAGGGGACAATTGGGTCCAGAGGAGCAAAGAGCGCATTGGAAAAAACTTTGATGGAACCTGGCGAGCTTTGAGGGAAATAGGTGTTTTTTCCGAGATGAACTACTAGCATCGCAAATGATTATGTCGCTTAGCGAAACGCTACCAAATTTCAGATTACACAAATGAGATTCTTTTTCCTTCTCCCGCTTCGTATTCTCTCGTCTTCTCTCTCATCATTGACCTTTGACCTTTCTACATTCTCTTTATTTTCCACCACGTTGCAATAATTTAATGCTGCTAAAATGGGACGGTGCGTCGGAAAAACACAAAAAAAGGATTTTCTCACGCCGCGAAAATTTCTTTACAGTACATAATCTATGTAACACTATGCAAACAATTTCATTTCACGCATTGATTGGCCATTAAATAATCGATCGACTTTAGGAAAAATGATCGTTTTGTGTTTTTCCTTTTTCCTTTTCTAAAGAGGTTAAATGGTTTGGTTTATTCAGTTCATTTTATCAGTCTATTTGTCAATTTTAATGGCGCAAATTTTTTTCTGAAACAAAAAATGAAAAAGTACCAAGTTGCACAGCGTTCACGTAACTTTCGGTGTTTAGGTTGGAAATTCCGCGGCTTCCGGTTTTGTCATATCTGTCAGTGCGTTTGTTGTGTACGATGTTCATCGGTTGGGCGGTTTTTTTGGCTCCTTCGATTTATATAAAGTTTGTGCATTTGTGAGAGAATAAAATGGCGGAAGTGGGGAGGGAGGAGGGGTTCTGTGGTGGACGAGGGATTGTACGGTAGATGGGTTGGACGCTCGATTGTGGGGAACAAAAAAGCGAGATAGCAGGGGGAAAGAAAAGGCAAATAAGGAAATGACTGTTCGTTATTCTGGAATAGGCGAGTTGGACTTAGAAATTTTATGTCGGAAAATCATTTGGCGATGAAAGAGTTCGCCAGCTCCACCTGGATTTTTTGATAACAGATTTATTCAATTAGGAATATGAACTGAAGTTTTGCCTTTTAATAATTTACCGTTTAGACTGAACAACTATCGCTCCACTATCCTTTCCCATTTATTGCGCTTTGAATAATATAATGCGATGATCTGATACGTTATGCGTTAGGTTTCCCCAAAGATAAGGTGAAAGGAAAGCGAATATGTGCCGTGTCCGGCAAAATCGAGTTCTTTTAACAGCTTTTAAATGTTTCCTTTTTTTGTTATTAATTTTATTCGTCAGTAGAATGGATTTTTTTGTAGATTTTCTTTATTTTTTTATCTTTATTAGTTTTAAACTGAATATTTTTATATTCACAGTTTCAAGAAACGATATAAGAAACTATCACTTGACTATCCTTTTCGATATATCAAACTGAACGACGATCACTCGACAATCTTCTACGTATTTTAGGTTGAACAACTATCACTCCACTATCCTTTCCCATTCATTGTTCTTTGAATAATATGTTAATTAGATTACAAAAAATTTCCAAACTTTTTTTTAAAATTTATACAAATTTAAATGGAAGAAATATAGGAATGAAGTAAATCAAATGGAAATGAAACAGTGGTATTGAAGAATTGGAATTGGTATCGCCGTAAGTTTGTTGTCTAAATATAAAGGCATAAAACCTTTTACGTTGAAGTATCTAATTTCAGGTATTAAGTTTGGGTAATTAGTTGGTGGTGGAAGCAGTTGTTGAGGCGGGAGGAACGGAGAAATGAGTGACGAAGATAGATGCTTTAAATGCCAGGAAAGAGGGCATTATGCAAGAAACTGTCCGAATCAAGGCGGTGGAAGACGTTTCGGTGGTGCAGATGGTAAGTTTATACCACATCATTAGTTTACATCACCGGTTGATTTTTTTATGGAAATAACTTCTTACTTAAAAAGACCAGAAGAAAATGTGAGTTGTCTATGCAGGATGTCACAGTTGTGGACAATCAGGACATTTTGCTCGTGAATGCCCCAAGCAACGTTCGAGCGGCGGTCGTTTCGGACGTGGTACTCGTGGCGGACAAAGTGAATGTTATCAGTGCGGTGGTGGGTTTCCTGAATCTTTTTTTGATTTTTTCGGAATTATTAATTCTACTGGTTTAATTTCCATTGTTCTTTGCTTTTCGTTCTTAATAGTTTTTGAATCTAAATTCGTAAGCACTGATAAGCACTAATTATCAGTACACCGTATAGAACATTCAAATTCACTAAATAGCTTGGACATCTTTGGCAAAATTAACTGTGTATATAAAGAAAATGAAATAATACCAGTTCATTAGTCGATTTGGTCAATGCAACTGTAAATAAATTTGATCTATCATAATTAATCACTAAATAGCAATTTAATTATCTTATTTTAGAAAAAAATAAAAAAGTTTGAGTTTACGATTCAGCAATTTTTTTCTTTTAAAAAAATTTTCAGGCTATGGACATTTTGCACGTGAATGTCCATCAGAACGTCGCGGTGGAAGCGACGACCCAAAATGTTATAATTGCGGGAAATTCGGGCATATATCACGTGATTGTCCCGACACTGGGACGGATCAATCCAAACGATGCTATAATTGCCAAGAAATCGGCCATATTAGCCGTGATTGTCCTCGTCGTGACTGAAAAGAATTAATGTGTAGAGAATGAGGACGTCTTGAGGTTGTGTGCGTTCAGGATTGCTGCAATCATGGGATTTATGCACGGGTAAACCACATTTCGTCATTTAGATCTCTCCACTTACATTATTTAATTCCTCAGTCTCAACGATTTTTCTATCTTTTTATTTTTCTGTCCTTAAAAGATTTTTTTCTTCTGTCTTTGGCCTTGTTAATTTTTCGTATTGTTAGGCATATTATGCAAGTAAATATATTTACCATATTTCGAAACTTTTTCTTTTTAGATTTTTCTTTTCTTTTTAGATATTTCACCATCAAATTACTTCTTGGTTCTTTGATTTCTTTAGTTTATATGTTCAAGAAAATTTAACAAAATTTTTCCTATCTTAATAGTATCTTTCTCAAAGTATCGTAGTTATATGATTGGTATCAATGTTTTTCGTCGTCAGTATATTTCATTTCTCTTCCATATTTTTCCTTTGTAACTTTTTTTGGTAAAAATTTTGTGATTTCAACTCCGGTGTTGACTGTTATGCGTAAGGTTAATAAAGTATTTAATTTCCATAATCAGAGTTGCATATTAAATAACAAAATTATTATTTAAAAAAGAAGAGAGATGAATGCCAGAGTAAGTGCGGCTTTCTGAGACAAATATTTCGGTTTACTGCACGACAAATTTTGGACTTACTTCCGAGTAAGTAATGTTTCCCATTGTTTCTTTAAATATTGCATATCTACATAGCTGTTTTTCACTTCAGAAAAAGTGATGCTTCCCATTGCTTCTTGTAAATATTATATATTTGCATAGTTGTTTTTGCGTCAATTACCTTTAAAAAAAGAAGTGATTAATTTCATTTGAGAGTGATAATTTTCTGAATAATTTGAGTAATTTCAAATTTCAAATTTTCGAAATGTTCGAGATTTTAAAGACAGATAACTTAAAATTACGAATTACGAATTATTGAAAAATTCAGTGTTAGACATTTCTACGAGTAGAATAAAATTTTGGAAAAAATTCAATCTTGGGAAAAGATTTTACTGAGTTATGCTCTCCTTGCTGAATATTAATTCCTAAAACTTCTTTAGCCAATGTTTTCAACGCTGGTCTTCTTCCCAATGAATTCCTGCAGATAAATTGTAGTGGCAAATAATCAGAAGTGTCACGAATCAATTTTTGAGGATGGGTTAGTTTTAATACCTAGAAGTAATCTTATTTAAATAATCTTATTTTAAAATGTATCTTGCAAAGAAACATGCGGAATATAAGATATCACAGTGAATCGAAAAAACCCGTATTATTCAAATGAGGAAAATTACCCATAAGAAAAATTAAAATTACCTAAAAATCCATAATGCGACATATGAAATGCTTGTGCTTTCATTTTTATTTTTTTTTTATAATTATATTTTTTTATAATGAAAGAAAAATTTAAAAAAATTAACCAATAAATCATTGTCTAGAGCATGACCAACTAAAATTCGACCATCTATAATTTTCGCAACTTCACACTGAACTTTATCAAATGGGTCGGCTGTAAAATTAAAATTTGATAAATATGATTTAAAGAACTCTAGTTCCATCCACACATTTCCATACTTATAACTAAAAAAAAGAATTTCGATTATTGAATATTAAAAAAGGAACACATCTAATTCCAAATAAAAACAATAAAAAAATAAAACTAAATAAAAATAAACAATAAAACAATAAAAAACTGCAATTGTAATAATTGTAATAAGTGTAAGTGAAAGTGTAATAATTCACGCAGTGAGAAAAACCAATGTTAAATCTTTTTCGCTCTAAAATACTATTGAAGCTGAAAATCAATAATCTCTAAATTATCCATTACCAGCATTCATTCAATTTCACTTCTAGAACTTTGAATAAAACTTAAAAAAACTTCAGTCAAACCCAAAAGATTTATTGCAAGATATTTAAAAAATAACAACCACAGTACTTTTAATTGATAATTCTTATAAATATAATAAAAAATAAAATAAAAAAATATATACCGTTGATAAGATCACACGGCCTTATCCCACTCACAAAAGTGCAATAATTCACGACTTTCTGAGTTGGTTTAACAAATTTATCCATGATGCATTTACCGTTAGCATTTACAATTGAAACACGTGCAAGTAAAGAGATCTCCCTTTCTCCAGCCAAACCACGAACAAATTCACAATCTATAGCTAATTCTTTCGTCAGTTCTATTTTTTCGCCCCTGCAATATTGATTCAAGATTAAATTTTAGATCCTGGAAAAAAAAGTTCTAAAATAAACGGTAAAAAAAAGAAAAAACTAAATTTCGCAAACTTCTGTTTGGCAATTTTAGATAATAATTAAACTGCAATATCAATGCAAAATCTTAACAGAAAATTACTTATAAATTACTTACATAAAATAGCTAAAAATAGGATAAGAAAGAATGAAAATGATAAAGATGAACGGTGGTATTTGATCAAAACTGTTCTTCAAAAATAAATTTATTACATTTTTTGAATATTTTTAAAACTGCAAGCGACCGATTTTCGTTCGGCAAATTTCTGCAGAAAATTACGTTTAGCATCTCTCTTTCTTTTAACATCTGCGTTCTTACTATAATTTCTTCTCGGGCAAACTATCTGAAATTACTAAATTAAATCGAAGACAAATAAAATCGATAAATTAATGTTTATTGTCAAGATTAAATAAAAGAAACTATCATTTATTCTCTCCAATTCTCGTAGTAAATTTGAAAATTTGCTAAAATTTTACCCCTTGTAGATGTCTCCAGTTAGATGAAATATTATTTGTAATATGATAATCAGCTGGGCTATTAGAAAGTGGCAAAGAATGATAATGCGGTATGCGGTGACTCATTTTTCATGAAATGATCGATATTCGCTGCATGAAAGTCATCCATAAAGAAATGAAAAACGTGAATAATCGATGTGAGAAATTACCTTCCCAATTACTTTCGTAGCAAACCGTACTTCGACGTTAACGACGCCGAATTAACTGGCTAAATTCAATGACCAAAAGCACGGATTTCGTAAAAAATATATTTAAAAATATAAAACATGAACAGTAAAAAATTAAAGAAAATGACAAGCAATAATATAAATACAAAAGTACAAAAGATAAAGATAAAGAAAGAAATAAAAAAGTAGTCCAAATTGCTTGGAGCCTGGAATGTTCTGGCCTTTCCGTTGATAAACGAGTGGAAAATGAACTGTTAACAACTAACAGCAGAAACAATCGGGAATGAAAAAACTCCCGAACAATCGAAAATGTGCTTACTGTTTTATTCTACTGACTGGAGATTACATGGATGCCGCCATCGTTCTTAAATTTTGTAGCTTCCCAGCTTTACGCAAACATTTTTACTTCTAAAAACCTTTGTTGAAAAAGCCAAAAAATATTAAAAAAATTTCGAAAATTATATTTAAAATTATTCCATCATCTTTGTACTCTTGGGCAATCTCTAATTTTTTACGCTCGGAAATCGAAAATTTCATCCCGGATTTAATTCTCAACAGAGCCGAAGCCGCAAAATAGAAAAACGAAAATGAAGGATGCATCAATGAAAGCAACATTGCAGTACCACTAAAACGGAAGATGAAAAAGGAACCTCTAAATCTTTGATAGTAGAATACTTTCAGTTATTTTTCGTCGACAATGAAGATAACAAAATTAGAAATTACACCAAACGGAGGTACAACTAATACTAAAAAGTCCACTTACATAGGAACAATTATAAATATAAAGCAAACTGTTTAATCATATATTTATCAAATGAAATGTTAGATAATCATATCTAATAATTTCAATGCAGAGTTTACCTGAAGAAAGTCCCATCCTTTTACGCAAATCTTGCAAGGCATTAATAAATGGAATCAAATTTCCAATATTCTTAAAACATAAACACAAATATTATAATAAGATATTTTTAAAGGAAATAATAAAAACGATTTATGATTAAAAGAATGAATTTTGTAACTTCGTCGAAAAAAAAAGCAACAAGAAATTAAGGCATAAATTACAATAGTACAATAGTGCAATACAATATTTTAAATAATTTTTCTATTGAAATCATATGAACAAAATTTTGATGAACAAAATTTGTTATTGTGTTATAAGGATTCAACATGGTGCATTATGTGTAAGGCATTCAACATCTTTAAAATGAACCGCTGTTCCACCACCAGCTGTTGGTATGCAATCACCCTGAAATTTTATTTTATTAACAATTTCATAATTCAATTAACTTGGAATTTTTAGCTTCTCATTTATCTCATCAGTTTTCTCATTTATCATTTAAATTCATTTAGATATAAAACATATTTAATATATTTATTGTATTAATTTATTGCTTATGCTTAATATATTTATTTAAATGTAAAATACATTTATTTCACCCCATAAACATTCTATTCTGCGCTTATTATTTTTAAAGAATGAGAAACCATATAAACCTTAATCAAATGTGTACTTAAATTCCCTTCTTCATCAACTTCTTGATGAGTGAGCAAATATTCTATGCTCTTTCTTAAATCAGATGCTTCTGGCTTAACAGTTTGCTTGCAGTTTTTCAAATTTCTTGGTTGCATTATTGTTCCTTCGGGGATTTTATGGCGTGACTGGTGATCAATTATACGACCATTAGCACTTTTTGATCTACGATGAAAACGGGCGTTATAGAATCCGATTTTTGCAGCAACCTTAAGTAATATATAAGTAATAAGTAACATATATCAGTTATTGAAATGAAACGATTAGTTCTTAATTCCTTTGATATAATAGAGCAATCTACTAACGCATCTTACGCTCTAGCGAAAGCAAAAAAAATGAATTAAATTATAGAACAGCAAAAATTTCTTTCATGACGAAACCGCAAAATTCTTCGGAATTATAAATAAATAAATTACAAATAAACTAAAGATTTCACAAATTATACTAGAAAAGCTTTGGGTTATCCACCGTTTTCTTATTTCGCATGAAAGTTAGTTTTAAAATTTTAAAAAAATTAACATTTGTATATCCTTGTCCAAATTCAGCTCGCCGAGTTCCCTTCGATGTACCGAGTGTAAGCGCCTTCAAACACATATTTATGTAAACAAAATTTTTCAAAAATTTCGAATCGATTGATTATAAAAAATTGTATAAAAAATTATAAAATTATATTAAAAAATTATATAAAAAAATTATATATAAAATTATATAAATATATAAAATTATATAAATATATAAAATTATATAAAATATTTATATAAATTTATATATATATATAAAATTATATAAAAAATATATAAAAAAATTATATAAAGAATTGAATCTAATTTAAAAAGCATAAAAAGCTGAAATAAAAAGTAAAATAATAGAAAAAAACAGAATAAACGAAAATTATAAAAAATTTCACCAGAAAAAATTTAAACAAAACAGCTTTAATATAATATAAATAAGTAAAAAATACTTCCGATTTTCTGAAAAAATTAAGATGGTGAAATAAGAAAAGAAATAAAACTCACCTTATGATCATTTAAATCATCATTTGAATGCTTGCTGCTAACGTTTTCTTGACTCGCATATTTTCCAATGATTTTGCTAGTTGGATTTTCACATATTTCTCGAACCTTAGAATATAATTGTCTTATAACTATCATATGTTATTACTAAGTAAAAATCTATAAAGATTAGGTTAACTACTCTGGATGTTAGTAAAAAGTCATTTGGCGATAAGGTGGGTCGCTGCATCACTCTTTTTTTTACGAAAAATTTACTCCTATTGGCGATAACAGTCTCTGCAACTCAATACGATATCCTAAACCTCTAACTCCGTTATCCGCCTTTCAGTTACGTAAATAGTAAACATAAACAAAATTATCAAAGTTATTAAACAAAATTATTCATATATTTATGTACTTATTTATTATACACTTATTTATATAAATTAATTAAATATTTATTAAATTCATTTAATAATTTAATAAAAATCATAATATATATCTAAATAATATAAAAATAGAAGGATTACGCAGTGCAACATTTTGTCCTTTTTTTTTAGCTTTCCTTCATATTCTTTCTCACGTCGCTTTTGCTCTGCTTCAAGGTTCCCTTTTTCACTTTCATCATTTTCATAACGCTGAATGCGACGGAGAAGAGCTTGGTTCTCACGCTGTAGTTTATGAAGAACATTTTTAAAAAATATAAAAGACAGCGAAGAAAATAACTTTAAAAAAGTTGTCAAATGAATACGATAAATAAAAATCTTCTAACTAAAAAACATGAAATTAAGTTTTAAAAAAATCACTTTTGCTTGTTTTAACTGAGCATTAAGAAGAATTATTGTGCGCTCTCTTTCATCTTTTTCCATTTCTAATCCACTCATTCTTAGATTTTGTAAATCCATGAGACATAAGATACGCTTCAATTTTATTTCAAATTCATTTTCTGAAGAACGAAAATCATCCATTAATTCTTATTTCAGTTTTTATGAAGAATATGAAGAATATTATGAAGAATATTAAATACCCCTCTGCTCAATGACATCACACATAGCCACACTTTTCTGCGTCAACTGTTGATAAAAAGATCGAAGTCGAGAAATAAATTCATCGTCATCCATTCCATTAAATTCAATACAAGGAGACTTCGGTAATATCGAGCTTTTCTAAAAAAAATAAACAAAGTAGATCAAATAAATTAAATAATTTAAGAAAATAGAATGAACTCCTTTAAAATGAAGCAATGAATGAAAAGAAGAAAACACGAATAATTCGCATAAATAATTATTAAAAATTATTTAAAAAGATGGAAATGGTTCTTAATTCTGTAAAAAAATGTGAAAAAGAACCGCCATTAATATTAATTTTAAAAAAAATACCGATTTCGGAATGAAATGATCGATTTCATTACACCATTTGATATAATCGCGTCGACTTATAGGTAATCCATCAGACATAATAACAAGAGGTTCAGCGCCTTTGCATACTTCAATATTTTGAGTAATTTCCGCAAAACTTAGAACACTCTTAAAAGGAATATTATATTTCGACTTAGAAAATAACAATTATGAACTTAACATTTTAAATTTATCTTTATACCACATAACTCATTCACCTTCCAAATTTTATTTATAAATTTTATCATTTTAGAATAACCTAACCAAGTTCTCTGGATAATCTGTAGGCTGAGGATTCACACAAACAATCATCCGAACTTTACCATTACCTTCGAAATAATTTTTAAACAAATATGTTAACTTGGAGTCCCGATAAGGAACTGGTACTAGCGCTGAAAAACCACGCTGGTTTTCTCTGAAAATTTTTTTAAATGATGAAGCAACAAACTTATCGATGAAAGATAAGTGAAATTAAATAACCTTAATTTTTCAAAACATTGACGCAGCACAAATAAACTTTGATTAATTTTGCCAGTTTCTAAGAGCCGAGTTCCCTCATTTCCCGTTCTTTTAGTTCGCTCTGAGCCAGCTAGATCTACCAATGATAATTGACTGACATGAATCTGTAAAAAAACTGATGGAAAATACATCTAAAAAAATAGAGCGAATTACGATCAGCATTTAAAAAAACTTTGAACCGAATTAAAAGAAAAATTATACAACATTAATTTTTTAGAAAACCACCTTTGAAGAATCTGTGACGGGATAAAAAACATCAAATTGACAAGGAGCCATTACTAGACGGATATTAAAAACTGAATGTGATCGGCTGCTTTGCTTATTCAACAATGTGTCAGCAACACGCCGACGTTCCTGACCTTACAAAAATGCGATTACATAGAAATATTTAAAGTTCCAAATCAATTGCACAAACAATTAACCTCTGAAAAATTGTTCAAGAGCTTCATTGCTTGAATCAACTTCAACTTCAATAACATTATCAACATAGACCATGTTGTTTGGTCCCGAACGTAAATCTTTCGCGGCCAATGTCCTTAGACATGAATTAATGGATTACAAAAAATGGAAACATATAAAAATCCCTTTCTCATCTCTTATGGCTGCTAAAGATCATTCTAAGTCGGCGATTCTGTCAAAGGTCTGAGAGATTGAGATAAATCTCTGAATATACGGAATATACTGAAGCCAATTTTATAGTTTAAGGATCGCAGTTACAACTATGGTCCAATTATCACTGAGATTATTTTGGCCTTCATTCTACACATTTTCTTCAGTTCCTCTTTCAACTCCTGATAATTCTCTAGCTATTCATATTTCTTCTTCCTGTCGTTTGGTACTGTTATATCAAGTAATTTTGATGTTTCCATTTCTGATTTTTCAACTAATTCTGATTTCTGATTCATACCTATTACGATACCTCGTTGACTGGCCAGTACTTATTTATACTACCATCTATTAATATACAGGAGTAAGCCTGTCAGACAATCCGAATGGTACTCGCGACTCACTTTTACTTCTATCGCAAGGGACTCCCTGGAATATTTGTCTAATGTGACAAGTCAGTGGAGCGAATTTAACCAGTAATGGTGAAGATTCTTCAAAACTTTTTTGTATCATCACCTTCAAAATTTTTTTTTTTGTACTATCACCTACTTATATTAACCACCTTCTACATTGGTGACATCAAATTATATGCTAAAAGTGAACGAGACGCTCATTCATTTAACACGAATATATAATGAGGATAATTAGATTTCGGACTGGAAAAGTGTGGCCGGATGGTACTTAATAGAAGGAAAGCAGTTATGAATGATGGCTGATGGGGCGGACCTATCAGCAAGACAAAATCAGTGCTATAAACATCGCCCTGCCGACCATCAGATAGCAGCTGGCATAGATGGACAAGTGAAGTCATGGGACTGCTCATGTGAAGACTCTGGAATTCCTCATAATGCATAGAGACTTCCAACTCAAGTCTAATACTCAAAGACTCAACTGTACTCGAAGACTACACACTAGAACATCAGATAGCAGTTGGCATAGCTGGGAAGAAGACGGGTAAGGCTGGGCAAGTATGAAAGCCACTGTCTTAAACGAAATCCGAAGCATTCAAAAATATACCAGGAAAGCAGCAAAAGTTGGGAAATGAGCAGAGAAAATGTACGAAGCATCCATATACAGGAAAAAAAGGAAATTGAGGAAATATTATGGCAAAGCAAGATTCTTCATGGATTGTACCATCAACAGCTAAGATTTTGCTAGATTTTAAGATTAAGATTAAGATTTTGCTGACAGTGAGAAATCCAACTAGTGATCTTCTTCTTCTTCTAACAACTCTCACCATTACTGGTTAGGCTGGCTCCAACGGCTACAAGGGTAGGACGCTTTCAAGCGGCGCGGTCTGATGATATCGTCGACGGTAATGGAAGCCATTCTTTTTTTCATCGTCGAAGTCCATATATTTGCTGACAGTGAGAAATCCAACTAGTGATCTTCTTCTTCTTCTAACAACTCTCACCATTACTGGTTAGGCTGGCTCCAACGGCTACAAGGGTAGGACGCTTTCAAGCGGCGCGGTCTGATGATATCGTCGACGGTAATGGAAGCCATTCTTTTTTTCATCGTCGAAGTCCATATATTGCTGGCCCACCTATACGTGCAAAATCTTTTCTCACCGTATCAGTTCAGGTCTTGATTGGCTCACTTTTGACGCCAACCATCGCACGGTTTAGCAAATAACGAAATATGCGTCAACTTCTGTAGTGGTTGAGGGAGAATGTGCTAACCAGTGAAGGCGGCGCTCTGTGATAACATTATTTATGTAAGTGGTGTTTGAACGAAGATTGATGAGCATGAGATATCTTATCCGCTCGATGGATCCGTAATATGTACCAATTAATGGTCGGGAAATATTAAATTAAAAGGCAATACTGAGGCATCGATTATACCAGCAGATAAAAAGTACCAGATCTATTGAAATGAAAATAGGATTCAATGTGCAAGTTGTGCAAAAATGCCCCAGAAACAATCTAACAGTATGTAAATTGAAAGCGGGGACAACATAACTAACAAAAGCATAACTAAACAACTGGCATTATCTATAGGAACATTTGCTTGGCATATGGCACAGATCCAGAATTTTAGATGGATTTTAGATAACAGATTTCTCAGAAAATCGTGGAGAATAATAAGGCCAAGATACTATAGGTAGTCAAACAAATATTAGCCCAGATATCGTAGTAATAAGCAAAAAATGGAAGATATTGAAAATGAAAGCCAAAGTAATCCAAGTGACAATTTGAGCACTTGGAACTGCGAACTCTAGAAAGTGATTTTAGCTTTCAGATTCCAGGAGCAATATCGGAGACGTCTATATAGAACAGCTATAAATTGCTACAAACAGTTTAGATACTGCGCAGAACCCGCAGGTCTCTAGTAGAGGACCCGGGCATGAGTCTTACCACCCACAGAAGATAAGGAAAGGATTTTTTCATATGTAAATACTAAAATAAGAGTGTATTTAAATATATTTGTTTAATATATGTTGCTCTTGACCAGACCTATTTGAAAAAAATGAGTGAAAAAATGATCTGAAAAAATTGCTGAAAATTTTTTTTTACCTTGTGCCATCTCGATTAACAATTGTCTGATCTAACAAATCGTAACAAACATCATTATAAACTTCAATGTAAGAAACGAAAATAGCATAGAGCATTTCAAAATTGACACCACTAACCTGAATATCATTGGGAAAACCAATAAAATTAGCATAGTTTATTGCATTTAATGAAAACTTGATAGATATATTTAAAAATTAACTGGACGCAAAGAAAAATATTATATTAATAAGGGTAATATATATAAAATATTACCCTTCTGGGTTCCATATAACGATTGGCAAGTTCATACGTATCATCATCATTAGAAATTTTTAACCGCTGTCTCGCCAATGCAGCTTCGAATTCACTAATAACTTCAAAACCATTTTTCCCATCAGGACGAAAGATACATTTATCGACCTGATTCGATAACGAATTGAAAATTACGTCCAATGTACGTGGCAAAATTCCAGTACATTCCTCCTGAAAAAATTAATGATTAGTAAAATTATAACAAAAAATTCAGTAAAAATTCATATCCAAAAGCACCAGGAGTATTTAACAAAATTTGTCCTGAAATTTTACAATATTATATTTTGCAGAAAACAAAAAAAATGCACAGAGCAATAAAATAAAAAAAAAAACGAAGAAATTCTAATTTAAATAAAATATAATCATCACAAATAATAAAATATACAGAAAAAAATAACCGTTGTATCGCCAGTCATTGTATATGTTTTTCCACTTCCAGTTATACCATAGGCAAAAAGTAATGAATTTTTGCCACGAACAAGATTTTCAACGAGGTCGACAGCACTCCGTTCAAAAACTGCGCGTTGACCATCGGTTTCGTCGAAAACATAAGAAAGTTTGTAAATGGATTCAGTCTAAAAAGTAATTTACACGAAAATTTACGGAATAATTTTTTACAATATTAGATAGCATCAATTTGTCAAATTACCGTAGGTAAACCACTTCTTGAAGCACTTGCTGGTGGTACAAGTTTTATATGCGTTTCATCAACCAATATTGCACATGGATCATTCCCCTGATAAGGACATAAACGACAAATCACTTCAACTGCTTCTTTTTCATCCAAACGCTTTTCTTTTTTATGAGATGGAGTTGCTAAACGCCTGGAAAAGTATCGGGAAGTGGATTCAAAGCAATAATTCACAAAATTACTATAAAGAATATCGTTAATGAGCTTAAACAGGCAAAACTATCAATAAAGTTGAAAGCATATTAACGAAACTTTCAAGAATACTGCATAAAAGTTTTCTTTTCGATGAAAATTATGAATTATCGCTTACTTTCTAGAATACATTGGCTATTTTGCAATATCGCAAATCCACAAAATAAAAATCGAAATCCTTCTAAAGCAACAGAAAACCGCTTCACTGAAGAAAAAACATTATTTCACGGAAAATAAAAGAGAGAGAGAAAAGAGAACCGATAAATCCCGTTTTTTTAAAATTTATACAGTGCCATTAAATATTTTACGCTACTAAAAATCTTTTACTAATAGTCTATGGAGAAAGAAAACAGCGCGTAACAGCGAGGATTAAAACCTTCTAAAGGAGGAATGCAAATAAAAGGCAGTATTGGAAACATCAGAAGCTCAGCTTTGCAGTGTCTTCTTCACGGTTCGTGGAGGAACCAAAGCAACTTGCTAAGCGAAAAGCGAAGAGGCCCAATCGTCGGCCAAGCTGGGGGTTTCGAAAGTGGCAGCCCAGCAATATGCATTAATGCAGTCATCGATGGCGAACAACTTCGAAGCATACATCTTCAGAAAGTAATTCGCACTAAAACAACGAAAAGACCGCCGCCGCCGACCTCCTCAAACCGATCATTCACAACTTACGAAGCAAACCATATCGAGCGAGGAAAATAATGCCGCACAAAAAATTGACATGAAATAATTTCAAAATTAACCATCTTAAATATAATTCCCGCCAAAGCCGAAACTGCCGATTAAAATTGCTGATTCGCGGACTCGTCTGTAGGGAAAATTGGGAATTGTGGTGCTTGTGCAGTTGTAGTAGGGTGGGGCGAATCAGTGCTTGGCAGCGGTTTTGGGAGTTGCACTGCAGATAAAACTACTTGGTTGATCGGTGCCGTACTACCAAAACTGAGGGATGCGGTCGGGTGGAAGTGCGAGGTGCGTTTCCTGCGACCTCAGTTGTCATCGCCGCCGATCACTTTTTATTTTTTCTTTCTCAACATATTTGATTAAAAAACCTCTATTTTCGCATTCCTTCGGATGGATTCGACCAATGGAATTTTTCATCGTTTATTTAGTTTCTTTGTTTCCGTATTTGATGTTTGATTTGACTTTTTTAATTTTTACGGTTGCCACTATTGCTATTACTTTTTGGTAAAAAGTACAAGTGGAGACTGATAAAAAGAAATAAAAATTCCTCATAGATTGATAAGGAGTTTCTTCTGATTGGAAGTAACGGGTTCGTGGGTGCAGCTGAGATGAATAGTTCGTACTTCGTTGTAAGTTTGCCATTTCTTAGCCGAGTTGACGTGCAGTCAGTGTTGAATATGCTTGAATTTTAGCATTAAATGGTATAATTTCATTTGGAGATCACAAATGTTTGCTGAAGGAAATATTTTTTCATGCGTTATTTATTCATTATTTTTTCGAAATAATACAGACACTTATGAATTCAAGTTTTTATACCAACAGTTTGTCAGTCCTCATTGATTACGTTGATAAAATTTATCAGTAAGCGAACTGGTAGTATGATAGTTTATTAATTATACTATCCTGCAAAAACCGTAAAATAACGAAACTGCAAATGAATGGTAAATTTTTTTGGATCCTTTAACAATATAATAATCGTTAATAAAAAATTTTATTTGCGAAATGCAAAAAATCGACGACCTAAAAATTGAATTTAACGAATCTTATATTTTATGTACGGTGAGAATATAGTATTCACTTTCAGTTAAGTTTTTTTCAGATAAAGAATGATTATCTATCAAATAATTTGAATATTACATTTTTAACAATTAGAAATATTTTAAAATATTCGAAAATTCGAATTTCTTTAAGATTTGTTTATAAATCTTAGGTGAATTCAAAAAATGTTTGCATTGAAAAAATTTCAAATTTTTATAATTAATAAAGAATTTATGAAATACATTATTTCGCAGCTTGGATTTTTCGTTTTTATTTTTTTTATAACCATTTGATGCAATAAAAAAGATGAATATTTTTCAGGAAATAATGCTGGGCTGGCGTAATTGTTAAGGTGCGCGAGGAATGTGGAATGCAAAAACAAATATTCGATTCGTAGCCAATGCTCCATCTTTCTCGGTGTTTGACTAAAGGTCTCTGAAAACTTATTTGCCCTACCTCAAATACAGGAGAGTCGCATACTGGATTAACAAAATCTTCGTCGGCTCTTGGGGAACCAAGGTGATCTGGCGTTAAAAGCGCTGCTGGGATAAAACTTGCATGAATAAGATTAGATAATGTGGAACTGATGGAATGATACTATAACAATGAATCTAATACATGAAACGTGAAGGAACTGTGGAGGAATGAAACCTATATCCACATTGGGAAAGAAAAACACCTAGTGGCCCAACATTTCGTATCTTGGATTGACTGAAGCCTATATCTAAATGTCCAACACATGGATCTGCGAATGTGCCTCTTAATGAGACGATAGAGAATGACAGTTGAAATCAACTCAAATCTTGCAAATTGATTGTCAAGTGCAAAATTATTTTTCTCTTAATTCTTTTGTTTTCTTCTTCTAACAGCCCTCACCATTACTGGTTAGGCTGGCTCCAACGGCTACAAGAGTAAGACTTTTCCAAGCGGCGCGGTCTGATACCATCGTCGACAGTAATAGAAGCCATTTTTCCATCGTCTTAATCCATATATTGCTGGTCCATCTATACGTGCAAAATCTTTTCTCAGTCCAGGTCTTGATTGGCCCACCTCACTTTTGACGCCAACCATCACACGGTTTAGCAAATTCTTTTGTTTTGAATTTTTTTATTTGTCTACTTAACTGGTGAGAAATTTAATAATATTTCAACTGAACTGAAATTGATAATTGTCATAAGTTATGATTTTTTCTTTTATCTTTAGAAAAAATGAATTTGCAGCAAGGACATTGGGATGTCGTTCAGACTGGAGAAGTGTGATGAATAATAATAAAAAGAAGTAACCAGCATGGCATTTTACAGACATATAGCTATAAGTACCTTGGCATCCCATGATCACACGAAAGCCTTGATGAAGAGACAGAAAACAACATTCAACTACCATCAAAAGGCAAGGGCAGAGAATAGTTAGCTCAATGGGAAAAATCCATTCCATAAACACCTCGCCAGTCAGATATACAGCTGGCATTGTGCAATGGTAGAGGCTGCCGATGCGAAGACCCACATGATCCCTCACAGCACACGGAAATTTCCACCTCAAGTCTACTACCCTAAGATTGTGCACCAGTTGGAAAGAAAATGGATGGAACTTGGTGAATATGTCAAAGCCATTGTTTTGAACGAGGTCCGAGGCATTCAGGAATATATCAGCAAGATGGTATGAGAAGATGAGTTGTTAAGATGAGTTGCCTGAACTACCAACAAATAACAGATAATAGAAAAAGAGCAATAGTGCTATGGCAAGGCCATAGGAGGGCAAAGCAAGGCCCCCCATGGAATATCCCATCTACAGATAGTTGTAACTGAGGTGGTAATTGAGAAATCCTACCAGTGGTTGGAAAAAGCTGAATTAAAAAATACTGAGGACGATAAGACAATTAAGACAATTTTTCAATTTCAGAATTTCTTTCCATTTAAAATTCCTTATAAATTTAATTAGAATAAAAGAATAAATTTATTTGGCAATATTTGCGAATATCATTGCAAAATACATTTTATCTAAATTAAATTATACTTTTAATTATTTTAATTGTAATTTTAATTATAATTTTAATTATTGCCGTATAATGAAGATTGTATGATTCTTAGCATATAAATATAAAATTCTTTTATCTAAGACTTTTTTAAGGTTCTAATACAGAGCAGTGTTAAGACAATTTTTAATTTTTATTTCATTGCGGTTATATTACTTTTGGAATTTATTTTTGAAATTTTGATGAGATTTTGTAATTCAGATAATTCAGATGAGAAATATATATTATTTGCACAAATTCGAAACAAAACTTTGGACGAAATTTCGATGGAACATCTATAATGAAAAGAATATTCAGAGTCGGTTATGGCATTGCTTGATTCTGGTACTCTCCTGGCAAAAATGGGGCGGTACTTGTTATGATGGGTGATTTAGTTTCGAAATTTAAGATTAAAATTTGTGGTCGCTCATGATCATCTGAATTGCATATTTTAACCAAAGAACTCTAATTGGTGATTTACTTGTTCGCATATATTTTGTTAATAATGCTATAGAAATAAAGGAGATGTTTTCAGCTGAAAGAGTTCCCAGAAATACCTTGCGGTGAGCTGCACACTGTGAAATTCTAATATTACATCTCACATAACTTTTAGATTAATTTTTTGAAATGCCTGGGAATCGAGCAGAGTGGCTAGTGCAACAGCGTTCTTATGAAGTTGCCAAAATAAGTTGTCACGTAATAATTTTATAATTTTTAATTATGTAAATAATTATGATGAATATAAATAAATGTTTCTGGAAATCAATAAACATTTAATGCGATACATTCGTCTAATTATAATCGATCTGAATAGTATTTCAGGAACTTGCAACATTATAAATTAAAGTTTTTAGCTAGGGAAATTTCTCGATATACAAATGATGTTTTTAAAATAAATTTTAAAGATTTCAAGATTTTGGTATAAACAAACAAAAATGTATTAAGCAGAAGATTTTTGAATTTATAATGGTATACAAATATTGAATTATATAGCCCAGTCACCATCACATTTATAGTCACCATGAACAAAAGCTCGTTCAACAAATGGTAAAAGCGAAAGCTTTTTAGACAAACACTCGATAATATCATGCGTAGTCTTTAGTGGAAGATTTTCATCAAGTACAATGTGGACTTCAACGATTGCCTGCTCACCGGTATGATAGACCATAACATGGTCAAGGCATTTAATATGCGAATCATGTTCAATACATATTCGAATAATCCTCGATAAATTTTCTTGTTGTGCTCGTTTACCTACCATCATCGGTATGCTATCGATAGCATTATTGAACCATGAGAGTGCAACAAAAGTGCTAAACAAAATTGAAATTGATTACCTATTTAATTTTTTTAATAATTTAATTTTAATAAGCATATATTGACTGTTGGAGCTTACTTCCAGAAAAAACTAGATTTGAAAATTCCCACCAGACAGATATGGCACCAAGTGGATCGGCATATAACCAAATTCTGTCGCCAACATACGCACTAGCTAGCGCAACAGCACTCGTTAGAAGATCGTTTCTCATGTCAAGAGCGATTGTCTGTGAAAATGTTAAGCTATGCGGATTTAGAAAACGATGACAATTGGAACCATCAAAAGGAAATAGATAAACTTATCAGTGAAATATAAATAACGGATAATTGATACGAAATAACTGATCGTATTAGATGATAGGGGATAGAATGGCTCAGTGGGTTGTTGCTCAATTGGGAGCGCAAATGCTGAGGCTCGATTCCCCGCAAGAATAAATCTGTACAAAAATCTGGGTGATGCTGGCGACTCACCTGCATTTCTATCGCCAAGGGATTCCATGGCATATTGCCCAATACGATAAGCCAGTGGAGCAAGTTTAACCAGTAATGGTGAGGACTTTAAAAAAGGAAAAAACTGATCGTAATAGTAATTCAATTTTCAAGAACAAACTCGAGATCCTGATGTTCCATGTTTGAAGCAAAAAAACATTAAAATCCCTTTCATTGAACAGCCACCGAAAAGAATAATTATGGTTGGCAAATTTATATCAGGATTAATCTGAAAAAACAAGAGAAGTGTCTAAAAAACATTTTCCAGCTTTTTTTACAGCTGCCATTTAATTCATCATCATAGCATAAGTATAATAGTTTTGAAACATACTGGCCCATCAAGAATTGATTGAATAGATTGTATTATCAGTGTAAGATTCACGACACCCATTATTATTGAGCAGATAAGTACAATAATGTGTTCTAATCGGCCTCTACCTCGCGGATAATTGAAACGATCGGTATTTTTGATAGCCCATGCGCCCAGGAATATCAGAATACCATTTGTGCAGTCGATTGCAGAATCGATGAATGTACTAAAATGTTTTGACTGAGCTAAAAAATAGCAATAGCATTTTGTAGTTGTGATTACATAGGATTATTTTATCCATGGTTTATAATTATAGGAAAATAATTCTAGGGATATAGGGATATTTTACCTATGATTTTGTTAAGCGCAAACATTTCATCTCAGTACATTTTGACTGTTATTTTGGTTTAAATTCTTTCTCATTTTTTTTTCTTATTGTACTGTGAGCCACAGGATGGCGAGTGGATAGAATTTGGTCACTGCCCCTTATAAAAATAAACTTTATTATCAAAAAATCGCAAGTGAATCTCTGGTTAGCCAGCGAAACCAACCAGAAATAAGTGCTAACATTGCACTGCATTATATATGATGTTATTATTATTAAAAGTTAATAACTGACTGCTCTACTTGATTGTTCTTAAATGAATGAATAAAATAAAAAGAGATTCATTTCGGCAATAATTCTCACTGAAAAGGTACACATTCATTCATATAATAAGACAACCTTAGAACTGATAAGGATCGAGATAGATAAGCTGCTGCTGCATTTATTATCAAAAGTATAATATTCAATGAAAATGATAATGATGCGAGAATGCTATCAGTTTTACGTTTTCTTTCACGTGATTTTATGTATTCATCGTTATACAGTGAATTGGAAATATTTGGTGAAAACTTATTCAATATTCGTTCATCTTCGATGTATAGTGAGATTAAACGCTCTTGATATTCATTGTACTAAAAGTTCAAACCATTTTAATTTAATTTTAATTTATTGAAAAATTTAATCAAGCGGCATTTTTTGCGTTCATTTTTCTCTTTAATTCATTTTTTCAGGGCAAAAATAAAAACAACAAGCAAATGAAGTAATTATCGGATCCCACTGGCCAAGTGATTAGAACAAAAATTCCAGTAATTTATTAAAATAATTTAGAATGTTTTTTTAGAATCAATCCCAAAAGTTTGAAAAGAAATGAAGAAAAATCGGCCTTAATAAGAATAAGGAAAATTAGGTTGAGTTAATATTACAAAATGAACCTTCTTCAGTGCAATTCTTTTTCTATATTTGCAACACCATAATTTTTGTTTAAAACCAGTTATTCTATTCGAATAGCGATTGCTTTTTCCAGAGCTGGACCGATTGGAAGTATTAGCCAAGAGTGGTTGATGTTCACTGTCGCACATTTTTGAAAACTATAAGATTGTCATTTATTATTCTTAATAGTTATTTTTTATGTAATTTTTAATTATTAAGAAGTTAATTATGATAATTAACTACGCTACATATTTAAAAATCTGTTAGCGACGATATTTAGTTGGTATTTTAGTTTTCAGCAATAATTTTACACTTATCCTTTTTATTTACTAGAAACCGAAATTATCAAATTCTTCCTCTTTCCTCTTCTCATCCGTCCTCCATGCAATTTTTAAATTCTTTCGATAAAATTGTTAGAAAAATTTTTAAAAAATTTATTCCATATACAATCCCAATATTTTATTATAATATTTATATTTTAATATAAAATATTTATACAATATTTTATTTATGATAAGGCATGAAGAAAATGAAAAATGAAATATTTTTAAAGAATATTGACCAATAAATACTGGCAAACAATTATTATAAAACATTGATATTACTGATAAGATTTCGCAAATATAAAATCATTTATTGCACCGTCGAATCATAGAATATTTTTTACTGTTTTTATTGCTTTTTTCTGATTTATAAAAAGAACAGCCAATTGTTTTCAATTATTCGAGTGCAACCATAATTTTTAACAAATTTTTTGACACAAAAGGAATAATTTTTATAATTTGTCACAAAATTTCCATAAATTTTGCCACAATTAAGTGAAGTATTTTTGCGAAGTTGATATTTTGGAATTATAATTTGGAAATCTATATATATATATATATATATATATATATATATATACACTTTTTTTTAAGAGTTCTCATCATCACTGGTTAAACTTGTCGCATTGGACAAATATGCCAGGGAATCCCTTGGCGATAGAAATATAGGTAGATCGCCAGCATCACCCGGATTCTTCGACAGGTTTATTCCCAACATCGGCGCTCTGAATTTAGCAACAGTCCACTGAGCTATTCTATCCCCTATATATATACGTATATATATATATATATATATGTAGACAACTACGTCAACTTTACTTTCAATAAGGAGCAAGTGTTGAAGTGTTGAACCCATAGGTGCTTTTGCGATACCAGTCGAAAATCTTTTTAGATATGAGGATACAATTATATAGGAATGGTATATAGGAATGGTACAATTCGTGAAATTTCAGTTGCCAGTTTGGACATCGATTTTAACGAATACTTACTGAAATTATCTTTCTTATATAATTGGGTTTCTTTTTATTTTGATATGTTCAATGTTCATTTGGATGTGATCAAATTGGTACAAAAAATTTTATAAAGCGTTTGATTGAACTTTTATTTAAAAAAAAATTCATAATAAAAGATATTATTTAAGCAGTGTTTTGCGTCCAAAATTATTAAAACCACATTTAAAATAATTTAAAACAATTAGCAAAATCAACAAGTATGATTACTTTGTGAAGAAGGCGAAGCAATTTCCTCTCATCTATCCAAGAACCAGTTTCCATTCTCAAAACCATATCGTTCCAATAGCGATTTCTATCTCGCCGTACTGCTGTCGTTATAATTCTTCGAAGCACCCGATAATCAGGATAATCAGGATCTGACATTTGGACTTTGGTAGCTGTTTCAAACAGTTGGATAGTTGCTTCCGACACCCAACTAGCGCATTTCCTACTGGTATACCATAGTATGGAAGTGGCTGATTTTTGTAAGCATGTCTTTAGTTGGACCAGTATTCATTCGTCTTTCCAGAGACATTGATATTCATTTCACTGAGGTATTGAAATGCCCTTATTGTTTCCTGAATTTTTAATTTGAGATAGTTGAAAGATCATGGGATATAATGATTTTTTACCTAATAAAGCTTGATCCATGACTGTTTCAGTGGTCTTATAGGAATGATTAACGAGTACAATACTCTTCCAGTGGTAACTGACTAATATTTAGTCAATATGATCGGAATATTGGTTGCCCAGAGAGTTCCACGTGACTAGATGTTTTCTCCGATGCCGAAAGCGTGTATTAGTAAGAGTTCATACTGTTCAGCAAAACGAAGAAAGCGTACATTAGCGCACTGGACCTCGATGGCATATTTGCAATTTACCGAATTTATCGTGGCGACATCATGACCTGTGCGCACATTCCAGTCTCCCCCAATTATGACCATGTCAACTCTAGATGTGGTTAATAGTTGAAGCTCCGCATAGAACTTATCCTTATCGCGGTCATCTCCGTATAATGTTGGAGCATACTGCAACATAAATATTGCAGAACTTTCCTTCGAAATGCGCGTAGGCCATATGGTCATTTACTGGCTTCCTTCAATCAGAACAGATCGTGCCTTTTCAGGTGAAGGATTTTCATTCTAATAGCCAGAGGAAACAATCTTACTAGAAGTGGAGAATGAAATTATCACATGATTTATAGGTTATTTGTATGCACATTGAAGAAGCAAAATAAACGGCTACTGCTTAAAATCATATTTTTTAAAATCATATCTTTTTTTTAAAAAAAAAAAAATTACGAGATTTCACTGAAAGTTATTTATTTCAAGAATGATTTTGGGTCGGGAGGCTTAGAAAGTTTTAATATTGCCGCCAGTTGAACAAGGCAGTGCTGAGAGTTATTGGAAGAAGATTCAAGTTCTGTCCTGAAAATTACTAATCTAAAATGTGCCTTAGACGCGAATGGTCGATAGCTTCTATATATATCGTATTCTGGCCATGTTTCGCCAATATATAATTTTAAATTTTCAAGAAAAAATTTCTACCATAGAGGCGATTCTATTAAATAAAGAATTATTGGAATAAAGAGAATTTAAAGAATTATTCGATGGAATGAACAAATAATTTTGGCGATATTCGATCACTGAAAAATCAAATTTTCTAAATTGACTATTTAATGAAAATTTCATCATTACATTATTTAGAAAAGTAAAGTAGAAAATGGTTGCTTTAATTAAAAATTTTCAAAATTATGAGAAAATATCGATGAAGTTCAATTAGTACAATTATTGCTGAAATTATTCAAAAGATTCTGCTGAACAATTAAGATTTAACATTAAAAAATTATGAGATATCTTTTTTTGTGAAAAAACATAGCAAAAAATTTTTAGCAACATAGCAAGGAAAACTTGAAGAAAGCAAGGAAATCAGGAATATCGACATTGCGTTAAAGATCAACACACTGTGGGTGATCCCGCTGTAACAAATTCTAAACAAATAATAATTTCAAATTTAAAAAATTTCGATTTAGAATAGTAAAAAAATATATTGACCAAGGAATGCGCCGTTCCAGGCAGTTTATTAGCTTGGAAATTGGTCAATTTTAAATTCGCAAACTATTTATTTCAGTCTTACTTTCTATGAATAATAGAATCGTCTTCGCTGGTTATGGCACGTTCTTTTCTCCCACCACAAAGTTAACGGGTCAAGTTAACGCATATATCGCTAATTGCCAAATCTTGTTGGCGTCAGAAGCGGATCAATCAAGACTTGGACTGATACGCTCAGGAAAGATTTTGAATGTATCGGTGGACCAGTAATATATGGACTTGGACGATGGAAAAAGGAGTGGTTTCTATTACTAACGACCATAGTAGATTGCACAGCTTGGAAACATCTTACCCTTAGAGTCAGCCTAATAGTGAGAGCTGTTAGAAGAAGAATAATAATAATGGAGCCTATGGCTGCTTTTATAATTATACGAATTGAATTTGCTCGAAATTTTGAAACCTCCAAGATTTATACCATTGTTGGATTTCTTGTATTTATTACCTCATTCTTAAGTTGTCAAAAAGTAAAATAAATGATACAAGAATATAAAATTACCATTCTAATATTATTTGCATTGTACTGGTAATACCGAGGATCTTTTATCGCCAAATAATTCTCTGATGAAGCCTAAATGTACATAGAAATATTTTTTCTTTCTTTCTCTCTTCTAATTAACTTATACATTAGTTGGAAATCTATACAATATAATTTATAAATTTCAATGTAGCTCAAGGCAGTGGGCAAGGCAATGATTTATTCAAGCCGCAAATCCCAAGGGTATAATTTTTTTAGCATCATAGCCAATTATAGGAGCAAACTATAGGATGAAATTATTTAGAACTTAATTTAGATCTTTACGAACTTTTTCCAATTCCATATTATTTTCTCGTATCCTTTTATTATATTTTTTTATCTGTTTATTTTTATCACATTTAAAAGTGTTATTTCAATAATATTAGTAATCAATTAGTAATATTTCAACTTTCAACCTCTTTTCATACATCTTTTGAGTGCTATTGTTTCTTATTTCTTTAAGAACATAGCGTTTGTCGCCCTACTTGGTAATTTTTTATTTTAAATAAATAAATTTAATAAAAGTGGTGAGCGAAAATAAAAATATTTTTAGTTATATATTTTTATATAAATATAATACCTAAATAAAATCACTTAAAACTTAACTTATTCTTCGTGTAAATTATGGTACCTTTTTTTGCGCGCTTTGCGAACTGATTTACGTACATAATGCTATATATTTATTCATTTTTTGCACAAATTACTCAGCAATTCGTGAATAAGTTGGTCCCTCTTTATTCTTTACCCTGCTTTGTTATAATATCTCTAAATATAAAGACATTCTGTATGACCACCGACAACATCATCAAGGCCATCTGACCGGTCATCGATTTTAATTTCTTTCAAAAATGCATCAGTTTCAAATCGTTGCAATGATTAAAATTATCGCATATTAAATAATTTCTTTAATTTAAACGATAATTTACAAAATTCCTATCATAAAGAGGCCTTATAAAATTTCAGTTTTACTCTATGCGATCATATGAACTGCACCAATATTGTCGAATAGTTGTGACAAATTATCGTCTCGAGTTTTAGGATTTATGCTTTTGATAGGAACAAACCTGCCATTGAGTCAGTGAATTGAAAAATGGTGTCTCAGTCGATCCACTTTTTCTATCGCCAAGCGAATCTCTTCAAAAAATCTCTTTTCATGATAACAATCAATGGAGCGAATCTATTAAGAAATGATGAGGACTACCTATTTATATATATATCCATTTATATAATAAACACTGCGCATATATATATATATATAATACTCCAGTTTTCCGTTTATTTTTATTTATTTTTGTATGAAAATATGTAGAAAAATCGTTTTTAACTTTTATGTGAACTAAGTCGATTAATAAAATAGAATTTGACCATTAGCGAATAATCGAATTTAAACGTTAGCGTTGAACGTTAAAATGTTTTGACCGATTCCTGGAAAACTGACAAATTTATACTTAACTGAAACATATATAAGTAGAGAATTATTTTTTCCTTTTTTTTTAGAACATATATTTTTCATAAGAAAATTTTTTTAAACTTTCTTATCATTTTTGAACCTTTGCAAAATTTAATTTTATTAATTTCAAATGATGATTATTTCAAAAAAACAAGTTTTCCGCATTTTCCATTTTATTTTTCGAAAACGCTCACCATTGCTGGTTAAGTTCTCTCATTTGGCTTGTCAGACCAGATAAATTTTGCCAGGGAGTCACTTGACGATAGAAACATAGATGAGCCGTCAGCCTTTAGCATCATCCAACATTTTTCCACTTAAAAACATTTCAGTTTTCTTTATATCTTTGTTTATAGCAAATATTTTTTCGTTGATGTGACCATTGAAAATTCTTTCATGAAGATCATTAAGCTTCAAAATTCTTTTCGTTCTTACTTGATGATATATTATGTACATCGCCGTATTAAAGATATTTTTTACGAAGAGGTGGAATATCAACAACCAGTAAAATTGGGAAAAACCGGTTTGTTCGAAAAGAAAGCTATACAATTTTTCCAAATATTCATTATTTTAAAAATTTGAAAAATTTATTTTTTTTAATATATTTATTTTTTAATCTACTTATTTATTTAACATTGATTTGCAAAACCACCTATCTATGCCTATTTATCAGAGTAAAATGAAAAATTTTCCAAGTACATCTTGCAGCCTTTGGTGCTATTTTAGGATTCATAAAATGCTACTATCATAACGAGTTACCCTTCTGAATAGCTTAGTTCTGCACAAATGATTTAAAATCAGGTCACCCGGGGCAACGCAAACACAAATCTGTCGAATTTACGCTATCGCTCACCAAAAGACGGACACGACGTCGACGAGTCATCGGTTGATGATAGCAACAACATTCTTTGAGAACCCGCCTTTCCAATAAATTTCTGTGGAAAATGTTGTATTCAATGGTAACTAACTGTGTGTGATCGTCGATTTTATTCGTTTATGTTCTTCGTTAATCAACATATCGAATTTTTTGTATTTTTTTGAAGGTTCATTTCCTTCTTTTCATGTTTTTAATGTTGATTTTTTTCAATGTAACACATATCGACTTATCTTAAAAATTCGTTTTTAATACGTTTTATGAAAAATTAGAAAAAAATTGCAAATCTTAGAGATTTTTATCAAAAAATATGAATCATATTTTTAAATTTAATTATTGTTGATTTTCCGAAAACTTCAATAATTTCATTCAAAATTAATTTTAGTACTTTATTTTAGAAATTTTTTAAGTCTTCATTTTTGTTTTTTCCATCTTTTTTTCTATTATCAATTTTTCTTCTAAATAATTAGCATTAATTTATGGAAATCTTTCTGGATGAATTCTTTTTTGCAGCAAAGGATAAATGTAGCTCATTGACTTTTCAATTATTTTCACACGAAATCTTTTTTGCAGCAATAATTTTATTCACTTCGATAGATAACCTGATATCTTCCATTCTCTTTGGCCAAGTTTCGCAGCTATAACAAGATTGTTCGTGTTACAAGCGATTGTAGAATCGAACTTTCGTTTTGATGATAATTTTGTGGCTATTTCATAGTGCCAACTGAAAGAATGCATTCATCTGCTGTCGGCAATTTCGCATTTCGTTTTGTCGTTTAATATTAGAGTGGATCCTTGATATTTAAAGTCCGGCATTTCCTCACTTAACACTGCTATAGAGTATTATTAATTTAGAAGACTGGTAATGATTTTTTTAATATACTGAATGATAAGCAATAATTACTGATCGACAAAAATCATAATTTTTATCAGCATATCACTTTTCGTAAGTCTCAAGTCTCATTATTATATTATATTTTATTATTATATTATATTAAAACTTTATATTTATATTTTAAATGAAATCGATTCATGAATTGATTGAAACTCTTGTTAATTATATTATTGAAAAAACAAGAAATGAAAATTTTCAGAATACCGGCAGTTTGTTTGGAGAAAAAGAAATATTTATTTTCTAAAAGCGCGCGTATAACGCGATGTCATCTATCAGATCATTTGGTGAAAAAGCAACTTTGCTATCATCAATACTTTTGACCTTGATTGGACTAGGCTTAAGTATTGCTGCTATATTACTTCCATCATGGCAGGTAAAATAATTATTTCACAATAGAATTAATAATATCGCTATAGTAATTTTCATAATATTTTCATAGAAAAATAATAATAGTAATAGTAATATTGATAAAAATTCAAGATAATTTTCTTTTAAATTTTAAATTATTCATCCAAATTAAAAGTTCGTTTGCCAATTTTTTTCAAAATTTTTTTCGAATTATTCTAAAACTTATCTTTTTTTTCTAATACCATTTAACCGTCTCTGAAACTGATCAATAAGCTTGAAGAATAAGGTGACTTTAAAATTATGATTTTTATCATCATATCACTTTTGAAAGATGAATGAGGACCCGATTATATAACACAAGAAAGTGCAAAAGTGATACAATATACACTAAATTTAAAATTGGTCGTTGAATATGTGAAAATAATGCTTTCTTACATGTTTTTCCGTTCGTTTCCATAAAATTAAAGAAATTTTTTTTAAATTTAGGTTGTCAATTTGAGAGAATATAATTCTATACATGAACACGGTCTGTGGCTTGACTGTACTAGACATAGCAGAGATGCAAATGCTAATGTTTTACTTAGACGGTAAGATTTTTTGCTAAAATCCTCTCTCCAAAACTATTGTTAGCATCTATTGATAATCAACTGGACGTCGAGATGATGAATTTTAGTATGAAAAAAATCTTAGAAACTTATTGCGGCTATAGAAAAATTGATATTGATATGCTGTAATTTTTTGCAAAAATAATTAATTAAATCGAAAGACAAAATTATAGCGAAAAAATGATTGATTGTACGGGTTTTATTCATAATAAAACCTCAGTAGCGAAAATAGCAGTTAAGGTGAAAATTCTACGAATTATCTTTATCTAATTAACACTTTAAGTGCTATTTCAGGTATACAACATATTCGGAACCTTTGCATTGTGTCTATAAATTTGATTACGATAAATATTCGGGAACATTTGATCTCGAGGATGATAACAGTCCCGTTGGCGAGGTAAATAGGCATAAATTTTATGGTTAGTTCTTTATTTATCCCGTAGATAGCTTTTGAAGGAATGGCTTCCATTACTATCAAAAATGGTTTCAGTGCAGCTTGAAAGTCTTATCTTTGAAAGCAACTTAACCAGTAGTAATGAGAAAAAATATAATTTATAAAATGAATATAAAATAATTTTTCCACTCATTTTGCCATATTCTTAGCAATTATCATGCAGATTATGAGATTTTTTAGGATAATTTTGAGAACAAATAAACTTGCCACTTTTGCTAATCAGGCGTTTGTAGACGTTTGCCTCAGTCTCATTCAGAATTTTTAATATAATGTTTTTTGAAAATAAAGAAACAGGGAATTTACCTATACTTCTATCGCAGATTTTGTGACTCTCTCACAAAAATTTTTTAGTGCGGCAAACCAGTGGAGTGATCCCAACCAGAAATGGTGAAAGCTCTTAGAAAAAATCTGAATTATATGCCGCGTAATACATAAAAATAAATAATATATAAAAATAAATTTTTTCTGTAAAAAATTATGCGAAATTTTCGAAAATAAAGTGGGAAGAATCCTCTCAATTTTCTTCATTTTCTTCATTTCTTATTTCAAGTCTTTATTCAGGTTGGCATACCTCAACGTTAATTCTACTTGGAATTGCAGTTCTAACTTCATTTTTAACAATATGCGTTGGACTTTGTGCATGTTGCTATGGATCTCTCGCATTTATATTTACAGCTATCATACTTCTCACAAGTAAGTATTTAAGTTAAATAAGAAAGTAAGTTAAATTACTGTTTTATTACATCATATATTTTATATTTTGCATTACATTATTTATTGCCTTAAAGGAAAAAATAAAATAAAATTATTCTAATAAAAAATCATTAATTTTAACACCTCATCAGTTTTGCTACTGGAAAAAAATTTTTTTATTTATAGACGATTTATTAAAAGATTTTTTCAAAAAAGTGATGTAGAATGGAGCGAATATTACAATTTTAATTTCTGCAAAATTGAAGGGTTTTTTTCTTAAAAATCATAGTGAAAAAAGTGCAAATTTACGATCAAATATCAGTAAATATTTTAGCATTCCTATCAACGATAGCTGAAGGCATTTTTTTTTTCTTCTCGCATAGGGCTGATAATCGCTTTATAAAAGGAATCGTTGGAACTTACGAGGTTATTTAAAATTCATTCATCCTATTATAAATCTATCTAGCGGTTGAGTTAAGGTAGTTGAGGGTCAGTTTGATATGTTGGTTAGATGTGGTGAGATTCTTATGTGAATCTCTGACTATAAGATTTCACCATACTAGTCACTGAACCTATAAAAACTAAAAAAGATGGGTGTTATGAGAAGAATCTAATAATCTAACAATCCAATTTATTTTTATCCCATAATTTTCTTTTGATCCAAAAAAATTTTTATTCGCATTTGTTGCTATTTGAAAATCTTGAACTTTATTTTTTTTCAGCAGCGGGTTGGCCTGGCATTTTTCTTGCAGATGGCAGCATGCGCATGTCATTTTCTCGCTTTTCTCATATCACTTGTTTACGTTTATTTTTCATTTACTTCAAAAGACGATCTTAGCGATAATTATAGCCTTAACAGAAGCTCGAAAATGACAACAACAAGTACGGGGCGGTCAGTTACAATTTTTAAATCGCATAAATTCCTTAGATTTGAAAACCTTTCAGGAAAAAGATCTGCAAAATAAAGATGACATTCACTCATTTTCATTATCTTTGCTGTATCCGGTGAAATAGACTTTTTAAGTCCACATAAAAATTTGCTAAAATTTATTGCTGACTTGGTTTAGTTAAAAGAATTCATCGACTTGGTTTAATTTAAAGGCCAAACTGCAGTAATTGACACATTTTTGAGAAATTATAGTTTCGCAATATGAAGGTAAAATATTTATTTAATCTAAAGATTTTTTGTTTAATCTAATGATTTATTCAGCATGATGGATTTTGAACCACAAATGACTTTTCAACAACATCTTCACCCAGCAAGCATACGTCCACCATATTATTCAAGACAAGAACACTATCAAAAAAATGCGGTCGGCAGTATGCCTGAATTAGGAATTCGCCATCCATCCATCGATGAAATTGGCCAACGAGTAAGAACAAAAAGTGAAACATGCGTGTGAGGCCATAAAAAATTTTTCCACTTGTTAAAAAAAGGAAAGAATTTTTTTATTGAGCGAATTTTGGTTTACCTCAAATCGATGGATTTAATCGTCGTCAATTTGCCTTTCTATTACTGCGAAATATTTCTGCGTGAACAATAGTGATGGATAGTGCCTCCTTTAATTTTGGTGATTTGTACCCCTTCGATTTTTTTCTTTTCCTATGTCTACTTTTATGTTCATTTTTTTTCCATTCATTTCGTCAGCTTTGTCAGATTTGCTTAAATTTGATTTGCGAGATAAAATGTTATAGCGAGTGGAATGAGAAATGCGAGTTCCCTTTATGAGACTATAATGGTGATATGCATTGTTTAAATTTTTTTTAAATTTCATACTTTCACTATTATCTCTTATCAGCTTTTTTTGCATATTTTATAACAAAACATTTTTTTAAATAAAGTTGCTAACAAAATGGAGTTTTCTCATCTTTTTTCTTAACTAACCACTAGTTTGATTATTTTTTGCAAATGTGGATTGTACCAAATAACTAACTTAAATTCAACAATAAATAAAAAATCTGACTGCCGCTTGTTTTTTTTCTAATATTTTACAGTTTTCATATTTGCTTTCGATATTTAAATTTTTTCTGAGAAATTTTTCAAGTTAATCAAGAAAGAAGCAAAAAAATTTTGCCGGTCAATGAATTTGTTTTTTTTACCAGAATTATTTAATTATTTTAAATATAATTTTAACTGTTGACTTTGATAACAATTAATTATAAATTGCACAAAAAGGAATTGCAAGAAAGATTTACAGTTGTTCATAAATTAATTGTATTTTTGATATTAAATATTGTTATTATTTTAAAAAAATGGATAAAAAACTGTTCTTCAACTGTTCTTCTTTCTTTTCTGCCATCGTCCGAAATTCGTTAATTTATCATATTTTAAAGCTCATTTTTTGTTAATTTTTATTATATTTATTCAAATGCTTTCCTTTTAGTGCATCATAAATGTCCTTACTGCATATTGATTTAATATTACTTTAACTATTCTCAATACTCATTAATATTACTTTAATCGTTGACTGAAATTTCTTTTTTTCTAGAAAAATTGGTTAAATTGGAAAAAATTGTATGATTTGATAAAAAATTTTTCTTTTATGATTATTCAAATCATTTATTCTCGAAAGGATTAATTTTTTATAAAATTTTTTTGCTTTCAATGACAGCAAGAAATAATCATCGAATGGTTAAAATTTAAATTTCAAGGTGAGTTATCATCGTCGTTTGGATCAAAACGATTTTATTATTTTAGTAAGGAAATAATGATTGTTAAATATTTTGGCTGCCCTTGTACGATGATGTCCAATGTCCGATGGAAACCGGTTTAAATTTGAATTTTCATTTCGGTCTAAACGAATTTCATTTTTATGATTCGCATGATTCATTTCATCACTTAAAATTTCTATTTTCGGTAATTTCAAATAAATTAATAATAATAACCTTTGATAAAAAAATATATTAAAAAAATTAATTTTATTAAATTAACCAAAATTGTGCAACTAATTTATAAATGATAAATTTTATAAATGATAAACAGAAAATCGTTTTCGTTTAATCGTTTGAAAAACTAAAAACTTAAAAACTTTTTTACGAGAATTGTAATTTTTTTTAAAAATTTCACATTTTGAATTAGTGTGAAATTTTTGAAAACCATTTTAAAAGCCAGTCGAATTCTCCTTTTACTGTAGTTTTTACAATTCAATAGTTCATAAACGGGATCGGTTCTTTCTTTTTAATGCTCCAAAATTTTTTCAATGAATGCTATGGTTTTTCTGTCTTAATTATTTGTGGTAGAAATGGCATGGAAAGGTAAGTCTGAGGTGATTCTACTTTTCCTTCCACCAGGTTGCAACATTTCAGGCTTAACTAACTATTACCATCACCTCTATCACTTCAATAATTAAGAAACAATAAAACTTATAAAACTTATAGTCATTGATCAAAGTTACAGAAAATATTGACAAGAGTTATGTTATCTTCAAGTAATCTCCATATAACATATACCATACAAGTAATCTCTATGGAGTAGCAAAATGTTAATATTTACCAAATATTTCGTTATTTCACTCCAAAATTTGTTTTTTTTAGAATTGAGAATCCTTGTTGAAAATTAGCTCATCTGCTTCTTTGATTTGACCAAAGCTTTTTTTTGATCAATTTGAAGATCAAGCTTCGAAGAAGAGGACGAAACTAAAGGAATCAGCTATTTTGGCAGATTCTTACATTTTTTGAAAGCTTGAAATTTGTTAAAAAAAAAAAGTTATTTAGCTGCAAACTGTGTGCTGAATAAATATTAACATGGTATGATCTGAGTTATAAGATATGATATGTTCTGATCGATATATTCTATAAACCTTGATATATCGAAGATCGATAAAAAATTGTCAAGTTTTCGAAAATTTAGCTCTATGTTTATTTTTCAACAAATTTTTGATTTTAGTGAGAGAATTTTTAAAAATGACTATTGCAAATTTATCAAATCCGACGTAATTTTCAGTTTTTGAGATAAATTGAATCTTGCCAGTGGCAGGGACCCAGTGGCTATGATAAGTGATACGAATTCTGCCGCCACTGAATCGAAAATATAAAAAACAAAAAACAATAATTTTTGATTATTTTCAGCTAAATTAATTGGATTTGTCGAAATTATTATTTGATTGGTTATTTTATTATCATTTTCATCGTGGTTTTCATCGTGGCAAATTTACAAATAATAATTTAGAGCTTTTTTAATATGTAATAATTGCTTTTCAGTATCATATTTTTTACTTCTATTATTTATCATTTTATCATTTTTTTCCTTTTGTTTTCCTTTTGTATTTTGTTTTCTTAAGCTAAAAATGGTATTTTTCGCTATATTCATTTTATTAGGCCTCTTTTATTAGACCTCAAAATTTTTTTCGAATGCATTTTTGTCTTTTTTTCTTTGTTCCTGATTGAATTTCATGAAATATATGCACAATTACAAGAAAATTTCGTATGTCTCTATGTAGGGGAAAAAATTTCCTTTGTAAAGGGGAAATTTTTACACACTTCTTGTTGGTTACACTGCGGGTTTCTCTAAGTAAAGGTTCGTTCCATTAAGGATAGAAATATTTCAAATGGAAATCCTAATTTTAAAGCTCTAGTTTAAAAATTATTGGTCAAATTTTTGAATCTTGGCGAAATGTGGAATACTATTTTTTCCGAGCATTCGAATTTTTGCATTACTGACTCCTCTTATATAATTTTTATCTCACGTTATTATGTATGTTATTTAAGAAAAAAAACTACAACAAAATTATACCAAAAGGTTTACGGTCAAGTTTTAAATGGAGTTTAAAAATTGTAATATTTTCATAAATTATGAAATCTTATATTATCTACGAATTTGCATGCCCCATTGATGGCCTCGAAAACACGTATTTGCTTGAACGCTTCGATTAGTTTCTAACCGCTGCATTTGTTAATTTGTTGGGGATAGTGCACATGAATCATAGATTTATCCATGATTGTATAGAATTTCGAATTCGACAAAACTTTTTATTCGGATGAATAAAAAAATTGGGCATTGTTCACGTAGATTTTAGCGATCAGGCTGACTCTCTGGCAAACATTCTCAGTAGATCAAGCCAGTGGATCAAGTCTAACTAAAAACGATGGGCATTAACCACTTATTTGTTTCAGATTTTTACTGGACGTTTTCAAAAAAATATTTGAAGTTTCATTGATGAAACATAATTTTATAAATTTTAAGCAAAATTATATGAGCTGAATATAATGCATATAATGAATAATATAATGAATGCAACGAAAAATGCAAGAAAATGAAGAAAATCCGAACAAATGCCATAGAAAAGCACTTTTATCTTTATTTTTCGTTCTCGAACTTCTAGCTTTCACTTTTAGTTTAATCGCCGTTGTGAGTCCAAGCTGGCAATATGCTTTTCTTGAGGTAATAAATTTTCATTTTTTGATTCTTATTTTAATTATAAGTATGGAAAAGGAAAATAAACTAAAACGCGAGTACTACAAATGAAACAGTTTATTATACTGAAAATTATTATATTAATTGTTTAAAGAATGGAAGAACTGAACACCATCATGGATTATGGCTTGACTGTAAAAGAGATTATTCAAATGAATATGGTCGAACGAGAGAATATTATGAAACACTGTACAAGTAACCATTTCTTATGCACGAAGTGATAGTGACCTTTATACCTTTTATAATAAATTATCCCAAACAAAAAAGTTTTAATAAAAAGTTATTGTTTTGATTTAAATTATATATATGTATATAAATATAATTATATAATATTGTACATATAATACGGTTGAATCATTTACACATATACATATATATACATTTTTTTTCGAGAGTCCTCACCATCACTGATTAAACTGGCTTCACTGGTTTGTCGCACTGGACAAATGTACCAGAGAGTTCCTTGGCGACAGAAATACAGGTGAATCACCAGCATCACCCAGATTTTTGTACAGGTTTACTCCTGCTGGGAATCGAATCTCAGCATTGGCGCCCCCTATTGAGCAACAACCCACTGAGCCATTCTGTCCCACATGAACATGTTATTTTACGTAATAAATAATATACATTTATAATATATATTTATTTTAAAATAAGCTTGGTTATTTTGCTAATTGCGATTCTGCGTAGTGCTGTGGTTGCACTTCTATCACCAAGCGATCTTTATTAAAGACCGTTACTAATCTGTGGGAGCAATCAAACTAGAAATGAAGATTGTTGTGTTGAAGAAAGAAGAAAAACTGGAAGCTTATAAGGAGTTAACAAATTATTAAGCGATTCTACACTTAATAATATCACCAAATGATACAGTTGTTTTACTTAATAAATAAATTTTCTGAACAGTTGTCATTCATTTGAAGGAATATGGAAAAACTCATTAATTAACTATTACCATTAATTCATTAACTGTAAACCACTTAGAGAGGAATTTTTTCAGGCTTGATTGGCAACAAAGTCCATTTTATAAATATTTTCTGCCACAGCTTAATTGTGTATACAAATTCGATTATTATATCGATACGGAGGATTTATATGATCATAATCATGATGAGAATCGCCTTCAGGATGACGCTAACCAACATCTTTTTCTAGGTTTATTTTATTGAAACGAAAGAATTCAATGAATAATATAATTTTCCTGGAATATTCAATTTTTTAGATATAAGTTTTAAAAAAAAAAAATATTTCTCATCTTCTTAATTTATTTAATATTAATTATTTATTAATTATTAATTAATTCTTGAAAGCTGCTTAATGAAATTTTTATTTTCTCTTATTTTTAGGATGGAAAATAGCTTCACTTGTAGCCTTAGGACTTGCTATTCTTTTTTCGGCTGCTGCCTTACTGGTTTGCATCTGTGCATTCTGCCATCGTAGTTTCATATCAGCATCAACAGTATTGGTCTGCGTTGCAGGTATGATCTTGTTCGTCGTATTCAACTAAATTTCTGTTTAAATGACTTATCCTTAATGGAAAAAATTTTTTGTGGATGTGCATTTATATTAAGCATTAAGCGTTATCGAACCTTTATTTTATTATTGTCAGCATTCTACTGCTACCAATTAATTATCAAATTTCAGTAGTTCTGTCGTGCATAGGATTGCTTATATTTTATATTTGGGGTAATTATCAAGATAATAGCATCATCAAAGAAGAAGACGGGATATACCAGGTAAAAATTAACCTCAAAACATCGAGATAGTTAATCCTTATTTATATTTGTCGACTGAAATTAATTTTTTTATATCTCTTTATTGCGAAACCAAAAAACAACTGAGAAATTAAATATTAAAAATTAAATTTCCAGGCTTAAAAAGGTTCTGTAGTGTTTTCAGTGGATAATATTATTACCGCATTATTTCAGCAGTACTTTGGGTGGGCGTTTTATGCACAAGTAATCAGTATGATTCTTCATTTTCTGGCTTCGTTTTTTGGTTGTATTGCAGCATCAGTTGCTTTTAAAAAAGCTAAAGCCAAATTGATCAAGATTGAAGTAAGTTTTTCTTATTTTCTTATTAAGAATTATTTTCTTCCTTGTCAAGAAAATTCCTTTCTTTGGTCGACAAAGTGTGATGAAATGGAATTTTTTACTGAAGATGAAGAAAATATTTTTAGTTCAAAAATAATTCAATAGAGTTTAAATTCAGGTGGTCGATGAAGATAATTCAAGTTTATTGAAGGCAGGCTCCTCGAATCCTTTCAAACGCTCTTTCTCTGCTATTTATCGAGTGGATTCAGCAGCATTAAGAAACTGGGAAAAAGAATATATGAATAGAATTCAAACAGGTTCTTCGGCAGGTTTTTTCTTCTATTAAATTAAATTAATTAAACTCATTTATCTCCTGTCTTTTTGATCATTCTATGTTAAAAAGAGTTAGGAGTTAAGAAGAAATAATAAAAAATTTAATATTTTTGGCTAGGCCCAATTCGCTCATTTGTCGACTAGACGTACTTCGCCAGAAATCACTGGGCAAATCACAGGATAGGATTTTAAAAGTTTTAATCCTGTAAGAAAGAGAACCCCTGCACTCGCGAATTAAGAACAACAAGCTATTCAATATATACATATATTTATCCAAAAATTTAAGACATTTTGTGAAAAATTAGCTTTTTTTTATAAGTGAAAAATTTTATATCGTTTGATTCGTTTGATTTGCCTTTTGAAATGGAAATTTTTTAGAGCACTTTTAAACGAACTATTTCGATGCCAAATGTAAAAAAGAATTTGAAAAGGCAGCAATTTTCAATAAATCCACGTGATCTTATTCCGCCTAATTCCGCTCTTTTCACGGAAATGTGTAGCCGCAGTTTTTTAAAAGCACAGTCAGGCTGTGAACCTGAGTGTCGTCCACCGATTTATCATTTTAAGGTATTCAAGATTCAAAATATTTTAAATCCTTATCAATTCTATTCAAATAAAATTTCTTAGAATATTACATTTGTTAAATCGGAATTACAATCCGGAATTCATTAAATTTGAATTGGAATGAGTGATAATGATTATACCTTCCGCATAAGTTAACAAATAGAAATTAATGGAATTTAGGAAGCCATAAAGTCACCATCAAAACAAAACTCAAATTTTTATCAAAATTCATCTCACAAATCTGTTAACGACGTTACCTATGAATCCCTGCCGTCTGATATGCGTACGCCATTAAAAATATCGATATTATCAGATCAGTCATATGGATCGAAAACAAATCTATCGAACAAGTGAATTTTTACTTGTTCTTATTATTCTTAGAACTGGAATTGGAATGGCCGACATAGGCAAAACATTTGATCTTATCCATATTTTGAACTAAACCAGCATTCCAATTTACGATCAACTCGAAAAGAAAACCCCATGAAATTTAATCAAAATAATCTCTTTTTCTAGTTTAATTATTAATCTTTATCAATGGCCATAAATCGTTTCAGCGACAATTTTAGCGACAGAATATAATCATAAAAAATATATAAGATAAAGATCTAACTTCATTATTAAATAGGTTTAGTTTTGCTGATTTCCATTTTATTGCAGTTGTAGTTATTGTAGTTATTGAAAATAACAATTAACAATTATTATTTGAAAATTTAAATTATTATTACTTATTAAAATGGAATCACTCAAAATGAAATGTTTAGAACGAACGATATCAGTAATTTAAACGAAAAATCTATAAAAAAAGATATATCGATAGATAATTCATTTAACGTATACGATCATGTCTATGACCATATTTCACAAGTACCAGACCAGTATGAACAACCCAACAATTCAAAAAGGAAACCACATTTGTCTAGCTTTGTAACTAACTATCCAACTTCGAGTAAGCATTTTTCGAAAAAATATATTCCAAAATTTAATGGAAATTTAAGTTGAATAATGAATAATAAATATTTTGTTATTTCAATTAATTACCAAAAGCAAGAAGCAAAAATGCAAAAAATTAGAGAAAAATGTTAAATTCAGAGGAAAAAACATGGAAAAAAGTTAGTTGTTTTTTTTGTTTTCTTTTCTTCACATAGTTTTTAAGAACTTGCACTAATTTTGCTGATTTGATCAGTTTCAGATAACGGTCCAACCCTTTCATTAAGAAAGCTTTGTATTCCCAAGCCAATGCCTCGCACCACTTTTGTCGGAAATTCGCGTGAAACTGGTTATGATCCTTTTACTTCTATCACTCAAAACTTTCGAGAAGCAAAAAGGGATTTAAATGCAGAACAAAGGTATTATGAATTTGCCACAATTTTTTTACTGAATTGTATCTTTACTGTATCTTTTGACATTGTCGAGAAATTAAAAGAGCCTATGAATTACTGAGTTTCACTAATTCATTAAATCGGAAGGTTTATACTAATTATCAAAAGTAAGAGCATATTAAACTATACTTTTGAACTACACTTTATTTCGAAAATATCATTTTTTTCAAGTAAATTTTTAAGATCATTTAAAAAAAATGGATTTGTTATTTCTGAAGAGCATCAAAGAATCGAAGAGACCGATCAAGATTTTTCTAAGGTAGGCATTGATAACATTACTGGATTAATTTTTTTTGGTATGGCTAAGAAATTTTTTCGAATATTTTGAAATTCAGAATTTTTGATAAAGATTCGATTGTAATCGGCGCATTTTGATAATTTTAAATATTTGCAAAAATTTTGTGATTTTTCGTGACAATATAGTTGGCGGATTTTCTTATTAATTAAGATTTTCAAGAAGCACGATCCAAATAAAGTAAAAGTAGAATAAGAGTAATAAAAATAATAAAAAATAAAAGTAATTATTTGTTTATTTAAAGAAGAAACAAATTTTGTCACCAGAATTGAAAAATACGTCGAATAGTTTATTCGAATTGAAAACACATGACGATAATAATCCGGTAGAATCAGAAAGGAAGGCATTAAGTGAATCCGGAACATTGTCGCTTTCAACTGTTGATATTAATACCTTTACCGAAAGAACATTATTCATGGAACAAAATAAAAGGTTTATTTTGAATTATTTTGAATTAAAGGTTTATTTTGAAAAGTTATATGCAGCATTTAGAAGTCACGAATAACATAATGTCATTTTGAAGCATAAGAATCCGAATTTCAATACAGAACTTCACCTATATAGAGTTATCCAATTTTTGCATACCTTCTATCGCTTTGTTATTAAGAAAATAAAGTCATCAGTTTTTGCTCGAGTGCTATCTTGTCTTGATTAGGCTTAAGGGTTGCATCAAGCTACCACTGGTTCGATTCCTCTCGTTCAACGAGGAGAAATTCTACCATCAAACATAAAATCATATTCCTTCTAAGGATTCTTTTCTATTTTTATTACCAATCGATTTTCGTATGCATTTCACTTTTTAATTTAGTATCGTACGAAAACTTGGCTTCGGCTCATTTTTTAATTTAATTAGATCAACGCTGGATTCGATCAACAATTATTCCGATATCTTTCAAAGCGATCAATCATCACCTTCTACAGCTTGCAAATATGTGAAATATGATCCGAAATTAGGTTATAAATCGGATTCTTATATGCGACCAATTTTATCCGATGTCGAAAATGACAATGGAAATTATGATCCGTCGAAACTCAGACTGTAAGTTTCTAGACTGTAACATGGTTTTATCGGAAAATATGGATAATTTAGCAGATAGGGCAGTTGAGAACGGCTTATTTATTGCATTTTATTGCATTTTCAGGTATGCGTCAAATCTATTTGATGAAACAAATCGTTCAGTTGGATCCTCAGTTGCAGCAGTGGACAATGATATTTGTCAAAATATTTGCGACTCTCGTATGGCAAAGGAATCCGATTTTAGATTAAATTTGTTTATGAATAATGTTGAAGGAAATGTTGTGGCTGAAAATATTGTTTCTGTCGATTCAACACCTTTAAAGCAAATTTTTACAACCACTGTTTGATAGAAAAAAATTAGAATTTCTTTCATTATTATAATTAAAATCGTTTGTTTATTAAGAATTTTTTCTATCTGAATTTATTTTTCTTAAGGAAAGATGGTAATTTTTAAAAAATTTCTTATTAAAATAGGTGAATTCAAAATGATTTCGGGCAATGCAATCGATTAATAGGAAGAATTTATTTTTCTCTGTTTTTTCGAATTATTTTCCCTAACTGCCAGTTTGCTTTCAAGTTAATTCGATTTCTTAAATTTTATTCGTTCAGCATTCATTTATATTTAAAAAAGGCCCTTTCTTGTTTTTTCCCTTTTAATTTTAATTCTTTCTCCATCATTTTTGCTGTTTTTTGTGTATATTTAAAATGATTATTCTTAGACTTTTCAACAGTGAAAGAAAAATTATTCCGTTCTCTTACATTTTATTAATTTCAGATAAATCACAGTAATGAATGCTTAAAAAATAAATATTTTCCTCGCATTTTCTTTTCATTTCATTCTCATTTCAGCGTGACTGTGTGCAAATACTGTGTTGGGATGCTTCTACTGTCAGTAATGCGAAACATTTAGGAAAAATGAGCAATATTAAGGATGAAAAGAAGAAGCATTCGATTTCGGGAATTTCTCTAGCTAGTTTTATTCCAGTGTTATACCACTGAATTGAGAGTTGATATTGTGCTTCCAAATTTCTCCAAATTTTACGAATTCATAAAATCCAGGCTTGAATCTCTATTCATCTCTGAAACTCTGAAAGACTAGATCGTTGCCATAGAAACAGTGATAAAACAGCATTAATAAATAATTTGGTTGCTACCACAACGTTATTTCTAATTGTATATATATATATATATTTGTATTTAAAAATAAATTTCTGATAAATCATTTCAAGAATAAACAGTCTATTTCGGTGCAATTTTATGAAAACTACGCAATAATATCACTATTCGTGTTTTCAATTAATAAAGAAAGTATCATTTCTTCGTATTATTTATAAAATATTAAAAAATATGGCTGCGGAAATCCATATAATTGGTTCAGTTGACTGTGCGACAGGATTTCCCAGCAATCGACTATTTTGCAAATGGAACTTGGAAATTGGTTATGATTTTATTAAATTAAATAGGTTTATAAAAATCACAAAAGTATGGATGTGGATGAACCATAAATAAATAGAATATTGTTAGAATAAATATAATATTCTTGGCTTAAAACTAGAATCAATTATAATATCCATGAATTTGACAAATTCTTATTATATTTTTATTAGATGAAATGAATAAACTCGTACCAAATATTCATAAATTTTTATTTGATTATATCAGTCAATTGCTATTGCTATATAGCTGATAAATATTACAACTTTAGTCAAATTTTAATGAAATGAGAGATGGACTGAAATTTCTAAGGTTCATGTGCAAAATTAAATTATCCGTCCGCTGATTTTTTAATTTCTATTACTGATTATTACAGTAAATTACCTAGCATTTCTCGCCCCATTTATATCCAAATAAAAACTAAAATTAAGTAAAATTGTTTAATTTATATTCGTCAACAAATTCATCCAAAAAATTTCATATTCGCTAATTTTTATTTTATATTTTCACGTTCGACGATTCCAGTAGATATGTAAACAGATCGTTCTGCCGCTTGTTTAAATATATATATATATATGTAAATATATGTAAAATTGTTTAAATATATGTAAAATTAAAAATAATGATTGCAGTTATTAATGAATTGGATAGACTCTTTTTATTTCTTATTAAATTTCAAGTATTCAAATTTCTTATTGAATTTTTTTGAGTGCATTTTTAAAATGCTTTTATTTCCCTCTTTTATGATTGAAACTGATTTTTCAGTTCTTCCAATGTGCCAGCCTCTCACCTTTATTAAAGGGCATTAGTTCTGCAGAAAAAGAAGTTTCATTCGTTTTATTTCCGCTTTTTATTCTTTTTTTTAGAGGAAAAATTTGATCTAATTAATAATGAACAAATATTTTAAAATATTTTTCAAAAAATTTTTAATGCTAATTTTTTGACCGTCGAAAAAATTAAAACTTAAGGCCTTCTTGATAGTTTAAATTGTAAAATGTATATCGACAAAAGAAAAAATTTTTTCCTTTTTCTCGAACGAACAATTTGGTCGATAAGATTGCTAATTAGTTAATCGAAGTAATTAATAAGATAATTTGTCGCCGATAAATAAAACGATTACAATCTTTTAATTATAAAGTTTCATGGAAATAAGAAAGTAAGAAAATCAAACCTTATGAAAAATTTTCTTAAGGTGGTGGTTGGAGTATCATCGAAGGACGAAGTGAAGGCCAAACTCAAGTTGATCTATCAGAAGTCGATGACATCGCATGTTTCTCGCATCCAATTGATGTTCACTTAGCCACCAAAACAGTGCAAGGTACGGCGAGTTTTAAAAAAATATTGTAGCCTTTATTTAGCCAAGAAATGTACTCTGAAACGGGATTTGAAACTTTATACTTTAATAATTGGAGAATGCATGAAGATCACCTTTTATTATATGAAATTTATCAGTCGTAAGAATTTAAGGTTGGCCAAGCATAAAGTTAGAAGTATGGCATTTCGATGAATTCGGCAGACAACAAATTTATGGCTATGGCTTCGTTTATGTACCAGTTGCTAGTGGTGAACATAAGGTGAACAGAATTTTTTAACAGAACTTTTTAGAATTTGAACTGATCGATCAAATTCATATAATCTATTATATACTGCTCATTTTATTTAATAATCCAGCATACAATTCTCATACAAAAAATATGGAACTCGGATAATATGAAGTTCCTTTAAAAATTTTGTTCCATTTTTATAGTTATTATCTCAGATTCAGAAATAAAATTTTATTTTAATTGAAAATTAAATAAAAGTTGAACTTTTATTTAATTTCAGTTGGACTGTTATATTTGGAGACCAAAAGGTGATACCCGAGAAGAAATGATGCTCTATTTTCTTGGTGGTGGCATGCAATTAGCTACAGCTTCTTTATCAAGCCACTTCACCCAAACAGTAAAGTTACGAACAGTTGCAATGGGCACTGTCAAACTTCTTTTAAGTGTTATTACTAGACATTTTGATAGGTTCGGAATTATATCTTAGGGGAATGATTATGTACCTCTTTTTAGTGCTTGAATAACCGATTATTTTTTATTTGTAAATTAATTGAATAAGAATAATGTAATGCGTCACAAATTTCAATCAAATTTCATAAAGGTTTTTCAGGAATTATCCTCACATATATTTCGTAATAAGAAGAACAAATAAAATCGACCAAAACACCAACAAATCCTCTGGTAGCACAAAAACTTTAGCTGGAATATTTTTTTAGCTTCAACCTCATAGAATTCACTTTACCAATCATTTTGACATGCAACGTATATTTTAAGCATCAGCTTAGCATGCAAAAAAATCTTATTAAAGTTCAGCTTCACAAACCAATAACAAAAGTTCTAGAAATATTTCGCTCAACTTTCGCTGACTCCTTTTTTGCACTGAATTGTGCAGTTTTCATGAATTTTCTTGATTAAAGCGATCATAATTTCTGCCGTACATATTTGGAATATTTATGCATATGCTTAAAAGCCAATTCTAGCTGAATCAAGTACGCTAAAAAAATATCTTTTAACTGTTTTGCAAGATTTGCGATACATTTTGCAATCATTTAAATAAAGATTCAGTTCAAATTAAGCAAAAAAGTTATGAAATTCAAAAATTATCAGAATTTCGAATATTTTTAATAAATTTAGCAAAATTTCTGGTGATCGTTCAAACGGAATTCAATTTTTTTATAACACTGAGAAGGACAACTTTGTTGTTATCATTGACCATTCAGTTTTGCTATTTTCGAGACAAAATTTTTATTGATGTTTACTTTTGTTTCTATTTACTGCAACTTTGTCGTTTGCGACACGAATGAAAGCTCGCAGTCGAGACAGTCTGATTGATCTATTTTTTGCCTAATTTTCATGGTACATTTCGATTAATCAATTAATGATCGACAAATTTAAACTTTTTTCGGCCGATTTCTACCAATATTTAATTATCTTTAAAATATTTTTGCTAAATATGAAATTTTCCAAAAAAAAATTATTTTTATACGCTTGTAGACGATTATTTATAACTTATTTTATTTATAACTTAAAAAAACTGAACAATTATTTTTACTGTCGTCTTACAAATGATTTTAAAATGATTTAATTAGCTATATATACCATTATTAATTGCTGATAATTGCCAATAAAAGAATTTTTCTCAAAAAAGTCGCCACACAATGTTATGCTGAAGCTTGTGGTGAGAACCAACCTCAAATACAAGTGGTTCTTTCATGAAAACTCTTATAATCAGTGGACTTAGCCAAATAAGAAATGGTATGGTGATTGCTGTTCAAAGAAGAAGAAAATTTATCGTAGAGAAATGAACTAGAAAATGCATAAATATGGATTTCGAGCAAAATTAACTCTGTTGTGCTACTTAATTTTCTAAAATTTTTAAAGCTGGAATTCAACACATTTGAACAATAATTAATATTCATAATTAAGATCATTTTCGCAAAATCCATCAAAATTACATTCAATAACTAAAGCACTGCAATTTCATCTTCATAAAATATTGCATATGAATGAATGAACTAGTTTTAAAAACAAGTTCCAAAAATTCTGCAGAAATTTTCGGTTATAAACGCGATACATCTTTAATATGTGAAGGAATCAAATCGAATTATAGATGGAAAGCAAAATCGATCCTTGGATTTTTTTCAATTTTTTCCGTAATTTTTGTGGATTATTTGTTATATCGGTTTGTATCATCAATTTTGAACAATTTTTATATTCGGCTTTTTTGAGAAAACTTTCATTTTAGCTGCCGTACATCAATGTAGCGATGATTTTAAGGATTTATCTATTATACTATATGTTATTCTTTTTGGCTGTTTTTGCTTACATCTTTGCTATTGTCATTCATTTAGATGAAAATAATCATGATGCAGTTATTAAAGGATATAAGGTAAAGATGTTTTTCTATGAAAATTTCGTCCTTTTTGTGAATTATTCTAAAAGTGTAGATTTTATAACCTATTCTGTCTGAGTAGATAGAATGGTTTAATGGATGATTGCTCTCGCGCTGATGCTAGGGTTCTACTTTTTTTAAGAGTTTTCACCATTACTGGTTAAACTCCGCTGCGCTGGCTTGTCGCATTGGATAAATATGCCAGAGAGTCCCTTTGCGATAGAAATACAAGTGAATCGCCAGCATCAACAGGATTTTTGGACAAATTTATTATTTCGGAGAATAGAACCATAGTATCCGAATTGAGCAATAACCCACTAAGCCATCCTAAGGGCTCTACTAGTGGGAATAAACCTGTCCTTCAAAAACCCATTTGGTGCAGGCTACCCAAATGTGCTTTTCCCGCTAAGTAATTCCAAGCAGTTTCTATCGCAAAATTTGTGACAAACTAACGAAATTTAACAAGAAATGCACTCAGAAAAAAAATAGTTTTATAGCGAGTTTAATCAAGACCTATATGATTAAGTGAACTTCTTCTTCTAATATCATTCTGGTCTTGTTCCAATGACTAGGTTCTAGTTTGAGTGAGCTATGGTGGCTCCCTCACCATAGCTAAAGTTTGGATTAAAAGTATACAGATGGCTGCCCACTACGATTAAGTTATCATATCACATTAGATTTGGTTAGATTTTGTTTGAATACCGCAATGTATGGCTAAGATCACCACTTCAAGCATCCTGGTCCGGCTGTGGCAAAGGAATAAATTTGCCATTTAAAAAATCATATATTTCTATGCCCTTGCGAAAGTATTTTATCCTAAAGCGACGATGTCCGGAAATAATGAGTATAATAAACAAATAACTTAATATAAAGATGTGGCTGAGGATAAAATACAGGATAGATGCGTCCTTAAATCAGCAAAATTTCATTTTTAATGACAGGTTTACCGACACGCAAAATGGGTGAGAATTAAACCATTTAAATCAAAAAGACATATCCTAAGTAATAGTGTTCAAGTGTTTGGAATAACTCTTGTCTCGGTGGATCTAACCGATAATCGATGTATAACAACTTTTAGTTTATTTGATCGATTTTTGGCAAATATTCGATATGATTCGATATTAACTGAATTTTGTGTGAATTAAACTGGTTAAAATACCATCGTGAGAAAACGATGCAAAAATTTGTCGAAGATAGGTCGAACAGATAGCACCACAAAAAAACAACTTCATCGTCGAAATTCACACATTCCTCTCGAAAATCGCTTAAAACTGCCTGCATTCAATTTTTGCAGACAAGTCTAAAGCGCATAGAAAATAAGAACTTACTCAGAATTATAGTATTATAATTATAGATTTATTTTTTCAGACTTTATTTAGAAAAAATATTAAATCAAAACTAATTTCAGGTTGTATTTGTTGCATTTTGTGCTGATTGGTGTCCGTTTAGTCAGCGGTTAATGCCTATCTTTGAAGAAGCATCAGATGTTTTCGTAAGAGAAAATCCAAATGCAAGTGTGGCTTGGGTTGTAGTAGATAGTACTCTTCAGGTTAGATTGATAAAATATTGAATTTGTTCAAAGTTATTGTTGTTTCGGTTCGATTAAAAAATTTAGTCTTAGAGACTCACGAAGTGTTAGAATTGTTGGTGCATTTTGAATTGACTACGCATAATACGCAGAAAGTAAATAAGGCTACCATAAAAATGTCATTTTTTGTCATTTTGCTTGAGGGCTACATCAGAAATACCACAATGAAAATAAGTTCTTTCAACCAGTTTTCATCCATATGGATTTTTCGATATTGTTGGTTTAAATGTTGGTTTAATTGCAGCCGAACATCGTTGATAAATATTTTGTTAACAAATATCCCACAATGAAAATCTTTATTCATGGAGAATTAGTTCAAAAAGAATATAGGTTAGTCATGTAGCATGATATATTATCCATTGATAAGTTGTTTTATCGGCTGACGAGTGAAAAATGCTCGATTAATGCTGTAATATTGCTTTTGCTTATTCAGTAAAGGAATAATTCACAAAGGTTTTATTCCACAGTGCTTTCAAAAAATTCCAAGTAGCAACTTATGCGTCATTTACTTGAATTCAGGCTTTCTCAGTGCTTTATATTCCAGAAAAAAATGAAACTTTTTTTAGCGAAAGTCATGATTTATGCTTCGAATTTTATCAGTTTCTAGATCAACGCGATCTGTTGAAGCTTTAACTGCATTTGTGAAGCAGAAATACGAAGCGACTATGCAAGAATTTGCAGACGATGATGAGTTAAATCGTTTAATGGATAACTCAAAAAGAAATTTCATCGCATATGTGGTTGACAAAAATAGTGTCGAAACAAGAAATTTACAAGTATTTTACAAGTATTCAGTGGAATTTTTTACGATCACAATTTTTTATAATTTTGATTCAAGTGATAAGGTCGATAAAATTTCCAGTCTATTCTGCTGGTATCCTTCTGAAAGCTGATTAAACTACTAAAATTATTCATCGAAATGATTTGAAATTCGAAATGATTTTTATTTATTGCAACTGAACGATTTAGAAAGCAGCAATAATTTTGCAAGACGAATGTTCATTTTGGCTCAGCACTAGCAATAAAAATTTAAAAGAGAATTCATTATACTTCAAAGATCCGGCTGCTAACAATGGCAAAGAGAAGGTTATTAGTCGCTCATAAAAATTTTAATATTCAACTTAATATTTAAGAAATAAGCAGTTTAAAGAAGGAATTATTGCTTTTTCCAAAAAATCCAAAAAATTTAAAATATTTTCGAAATTGAAAATGCTTTGAAAAAATTCTCACAATTTTAATTAATTAATGATACGGAAAGTTGCAGTTTAATGGCAATTTTTCCGACTATACAGTTTTAAAGCAATGGATAATTGATAAGTGTATTCCTTTGATAAGAGAAGTTACTTTTGAAAATGTTGAAGAATTAACAGAAGAAGGATTACCATTTCTTATATTTTTCCGGAATCCTGCTGATAAAGCAGCAGACAAAATGTTTACGGAAATTGTAAGTTTCATTTAGCCTCTTATTTCCTTCCATGCTTAATTTTTTTTTCTTTTTGCCAAAACTTTTTATGTTAATAAAGCAAAATTCAGAATTTTTACCAAATGATTAACGATTAAGCTACACCGAATAATTTACATATTTTTTCCGCAATATGAAGCATAAATTTCATAAATTTTATTTCGAAATTTTATAAATTTTCAAGGTCGTGCGAGAACTACGTGATCAAAAAGCCGCAATAAACGCTTTATTAGCTGATGGGCATAAATTCGCTCATCCACTTAAACATCTGGGAAGGACAGCTGATGACTTGCCGGTATTAGCAATCGATTCATTCCAGCATATGTTTTTATTTCCCAACATGAGTGAACTTCAAATACCTGGAAAACTTCGTCAGGTATTATATTGTTATATATATTGTTATTTATTTCAAACGATACGAAATTTTAAATATGCCAGAGCTGACGATAATTTTAGTTTATCGAGGATCTCCATTCTGGAAAGCTGCATCAAGATTTTCATGCAAATTACGATAAAAAAGTGGCGGAAATTAATAAGTTTCTGGACGAAGAAGACGAATATGAAGAATACGGTGAGAAGATTACGTCTACTACAGAAAAATTTCCACAACCAACTCCACCCCCATCAGTTTTCAAAAATTTGAAACCTTCTGATAAACGTTATTCGTTGTTACATAAAACTGAGCTGTGAGCAAATCCAATCTATATACTATTATTGGTGGTGTCTGGGAAAAAATCGATTTCGGTTGTTCAAAATCTCAAGCAATCCTTTGAATACCTTGGTATCCATTAAAATCCACGGTATCTTCGAAAATTCATAATTTTCGTTTTTTTTCCGTCCTTATTCCTTATACTTCTCCCTTTTCTAAGCTCGAGTACTATGTATTAAGTTTAAATCGTAAATATTGATATATGTGAAAAGCAACGAATACATGCATATAAATTTGCGCAACTTGGAAATGAAAGTTTTCAAATTAAATTCAAGATTGCTTTTTTGATTGTCATTTTACTTTCAATATTTCAATCTTTAGCAAAGAAATTTTTGTAAAAATGATCCGAATTTTCAATTTATCCAAATTTTCTGGTATTTGTCATTAAATTTCTGTAATATTAGGTATTACGATTTTTGATTTCTTTGTTTATAATTCACCAATTATTATTTGCAATCGTTCATCCAAATTATTTATTGGGAAACGATAATGACCGACAATAAGCAATTTGTATAATAAATAATTTGTAACAAATTCTCAATTTACGTATAAAAACGGTCACCGAATAACATAAAACCATAATCCAACACATTGAAGCCAACTCACCAACTAATATACAGCGAGATTTTATGGAGTATTAAAAGAAGATAACAGGCTATATTCAAAATTAAACTGAGGACTTATGACTCCTTTATTCTTCATTTGTACTATTATATATATATGCTATTAATTACTGGAATAACTACCAAATGATGTAGTTTGTGCGCCGCCCTTAGCCATTTTTAAAAAAAGATTGCGTAAAGTCTAATATTATTTAAAATATTATTATTATTTGTGGGTAGAATGGCTCAGTGGATTGTCGCTCAATTGGGAACATCGATGCTGAGGTTCGATTCTGCGCAGGAATAAATACAAAAATCCAGCTGATGCTGGCGACTCACCTGTATTTCTATCGCCAAGCGGCTCCCCAGTTTATTGTCCAATGCGGCAAGCCAGTGGAGCGAGTCTAACCAGCAATGGTGATGACTCTTTAAAAAAAAAAAATATTTAAAATGTTCACATCATGCAGTTAGTTTGAAATCTTGATTTTTACCATTCGATTATGTATGAGTAATAAATACATTCACTGTAAATCGAACTCGTGAGTTGTTGCTCAATTGGGAGTGCCGTTGCTGAGGGTTCGATTCCCCTCAGGAGTAAACCTGCACAAATTCCGAGTAATACTGGCGACTCACCTGTATTTCTATCGCCAAGGTACTCCCTGGCATATTACCCAACCATTTCCTCCTTACTTTATTAATTTTTGTTCCATGTTTTCTTTTTTAATTATTAATTTCCATTATTTATTATTTTAACTGTTATTAATAAAGGACGTGGCTTGCCGCCCTGCTTGTCGGTCTTCAATAAATAATAAACCAGTAAATAAATAAATAAATATTTGAACTTGGAGACGCTATAAATCTATGTGAATATTCGATGCAATTTGGAATTTATGGATAAACAAAAATTAAAGAGATTTGAAGGCATAATTTATGCAAAATCTACAAGGTTATTATTAATTGGAGGATATAAAAGAATTGAATTTTTCAAAACAGAATGGAGACCGTTATTTAAAGTGAATTGGGAAGAATTTTGGCAAAAATTTGGTCAATTTTGGAGGAAATAGATGAGTCACCTCTCCCCCCCCCCCCCCCCCCCCCCCCCCCCCCACCCTTAACTCGTCCCTCTACTAAATTATATTATGTAAATTTTGAATTGATTTAAAATCAATTTAATTTATTTTTGTCCAACATCTTTTTCTTAAATAATATGTCATGAGAAATCAATTATTTATGATAATACTTATTTATATTAATACTTCTATGGAACTATGAAGATAACTGAATAATTGATAATTGAAAATTTGAAGTATTGGTAAGACTGGAACTATTTTGCCATTCGATTTTTCGCATTTATTATTACTCATTTACTTGCATGCCACAAGGTTTATTTCCGATTTCTAATTTATTTTTAAATTTGTATTATTAATATTAATATCATCGATGGATAGTTGCAGTGGCAAATTGTTAATTCAATGGTGCAAACATAATTGCAAGAGCAATTAAACTGTGACAATTAATGCAAATATCCCTATCATCTGATTCGTCTGATATTGTTTAAATTGTTGTAAATTTTTTCGCTTTTTTTTCTTTAGTTAATAGCAGTAGATCACTGGTTATTGATGTCGACCAATCGAAAGAATACAGAGACTTTAAGGTTCCGATGCAAATTATTGCTAAGGGTAAATGGGAGTAAAATAAAAGATAAGGAAATAAGGAAAGAACATATATAATTATTCCGACTTCCAATTGACCGAAAAGTGCTTTGCTGAATTTTGATGTATTTCGATGTATTCGCTGTATTTCTTCTCAGCTAATCATGTAACTTATTAGTATGGGATTATGATAACTTTCAGTCGTTAGTGGTGATTAGTTTTATGTATAAATTTTATTTTATGTATAAATATACCATCGTTAATTTGTTGGCAAATCTCAATAAACTTGTCGTAAGTTTTCATTTATTCGTCTTGAATATTTATTAATCTTGAATGTTCAAAAAGTGCTTAAAGCAAGTGTCGAAATTCACATTTTAATGTAATATGATTGTGGCGTTGAACTGAATTGTCCAGCTCGAAGTTTTGTTTCTCCAACCTTTTCCTTGTTATTTAGTAATCACATTGTTCATTCAATGATTCAATGATGAAGGGATAGTGTAACTGATTGAAAAATAATGATGATGATTGTTCAACCAGAAAATTATACGACTACGATCAACAACTGGCACACATTTGCTCAGTTTCTTTATTTTTTCTTTATATTTTAATAGTTTATTACAAATCTTCCTTAGAGAACTGTTGATCACTGAACTTGTTTTAAATCTTGACCTTAAACTGAATTGGTTGAATTTTTGCATACTAACATATTAGTAGAAAAAAACCGATATTTGGGAATTCAATAGGGCAATTTATCAATTTTAGCAATAATTCATCAACACAAGTTCTCTCTGTATTTTTTATTGAAAGAAATCAGAAAAATTTAGCAACTGTCAGTCAAAATTACCCATAATTTGAGACATTTCTAGCAATATTCTTCTCATCTTTCAAATCAATGTATCCGCTTTCTTTTGAAGAATGTGCTGACGTCTTATAAGCGCGTAATTATTAGTTTGTTTTACAGAAAACAGGCTATAAGCAGACCAGATTAATCTAATAAGTTGGTCGCGATCGGCTCAAATTATTTACAAAATATGACCACTAATATCGATCTCAGCGAAAATTTGCTTGGTGTAGCAAAACGATTCAAACAATATGGCCATAAATATTTTTCTACAAGCCTTTCATATAATCCATATATTTTTGAAGTAAGATCTAATTTTAGCCACTTTTTTAAATTCTAAGAGAAGAATATTTTATCTTATCTACCTCGAAAACATTTTTATTGAATCTTTGACAAATTCGATATAATCGAATCATTTTAGTGATACTTTATATTCATTCATCCACAAGCACTCACCATTTCTGGTTTAGCTGGCTGCATTAATTACATCTTGAGGTCCTTCCACTAGAGAGTTAGTTGGAGAGAGAACAGGTGTCCCCAATACCATCAGTACTTCATTCTTAATAACAGGTTTAACTTCGTCAATCGAACCCTTGATGGCTTGATCGAAGCATTCGACCGTCATCTTTATGATATTTCCTTCAATAAAAGGAATAACAAGTTATCATTTCCTTATTTCTCATTCTTTTGTTTCTTTTTTGAAAGAGCACGCTTTGCATAGAATGTTTCAATTTCCCCTATCGGTATTCCATTCTCCCATCAAAATCGCGAATTTTTTTTTCGTTATCTTATTGGTCATTTAAAATCCATAATTGGTTATTGTTTTTATTTTCTATAAAATTCATTAATATTATTTTAGGAGAAAGGAATACAATATTTAGCTTGTTGTGGTACTCTCCATTGTAAAAATCTTCTTATTATTCTAGTGGCAGTCAAAATACCGCTTGTTATTCATCTCATTATTTTAAAAAGTGCTAGACGAAATGCCATCATATCAGCTATAGGCAAGTGCTAAAAATTTTTCAAGTTATGAATTCTTACTTTTAAATGCTCACGAATATTTTTACGCAAAGGAACTAAACTATATTCTTTCAATATTAGTTCCTTAGTATCTTTCTCAATCCAGTATTTCTTTTTCTTCTAACGATACACGCCATTTCTACTTAGATAGAATGAACTTCACCGGCAGTGAGTTATTTGGGAAAATACAAGTGGATTCTTAACATTTTTTAACAATAGTCGCCAGTGAAATAAGCCAAACCGACAACAGTGCAAGCTACTAGAAAAAAAAGGGCTCCCAAGTTCACCATTATTTATTAAGATTTATTTGTCTCTTTTTTGTTTTTATTCTTTAATTCGATTATTAATTTTTTTGCGAAATAATTATATATAAATTTTATGGCACAAATTTTTCCAATAAGTCAATCATTTTTACGAGTATATTATACAGAAATCGACCGAAAAAACGTTTGCTTAGGAAAAAGTGTGCTAAATTTTTTGCAAACTTTATAAAATTTTGAATGAAGCAGCAAATGATTTAATTTGTTTTTAGGTTCATTTTTCGCTCTAATGGTTTTGCTGGGCACATATGTTCTTCTTCTCATTGGAATTTCCAGGAAGGCATACAAATTTCTCATCCCACATATATTTTTCTGTTTTTCCACCATATTCGTTCTAATTATCGATACATATATCGAAATTTTACGAACAGCTGGTACGCGAGATGCAGTCGAATCATACCAAATAATATTCATTGCCAATAATGTAAGTATTTTTTTACTGGCAAATTACGTCAAAAGTTAGATCGATCTTCGTTTTCTTATGGCCATTCATTACATGATTTGCTAATAATAATTCGCCAAATTCTCACAATCACTTTGATCTTCTTTACCATCCTACCAAAGAGCACCGCGTTTTTTTAAAAGTAGTTCATTCCATCGGGTCTTTATTCTATATTAGGCTGTGGTGACATAGCCATATCATAGTGCCGAAATCCCGTATCTTGTAGCTTCTGGCAAATACTCCTTATAAATTCTTTTTACTAAATCCTTAATAAATCCCGCCTTGAATTATAACTTTCGAATTCATTTGCCTTTTTCATTAGATTATTAGATAGGAAAATAAGTAATTTCCATCTCATTATCTTATTAATTATTCGATGAAATGGATAGCAAATTATGAATCGGTCGTAATAAAACGAAGGTAACGAAATTAAAAACATTGGCTACTGGCAACGACAATACGAAAATAAGGAAAAAAAGAAGAAAATTTTATTTGAATTTTATTTAAGAAGTAAATATTAGAAAAAACTGAAAATATTAAGACTTGAACCAAAATCAATATTTGTAAATATTTGTTATAATTGTAAATATTTGTTATTTGCTATAGTGTACATTAACAGAACCAAAAAACATAAGTAATAGTCATATTTCTTGATGAACCTATTTCATTTTTTAAAATTTAGATGTGTAAGTTATAGGAGAACTTGCATGGTGCAAGAGATGCTTTTGCAAACCCTCGATTAATTTATGAATGTTTTTATGGGTTTTTTAAATCTTTTTAACAAATAGTATTAAAATGATTGAGCGAGTTTTAATATTTTGCACAAGAGGTAAGATGGTCGAATTGCCTATATTGCTTAGATTAAGGTTAAGCACTGATTCTGTACCTATCCTTCGATGAAATCTATTATTTAAAGTGAAATCTGAATTATTCTGAGAGCCAATTGTATTTCCATTTAGAAGTAATTTTTCTAGACTTTCGCTCAAAGCCTCATCCAAATAGCTAGTATGCTAGCCAGACCATAAATGGTGACTTCTACTAAAAGAAGAAAAAATTTATGGATAGTTAACTGGATATATTTTAGGTTGAGTTGGGTTAATATATTGGATACATTGATGTTTTTAAAGAGTCAGGAATTCTTGTACGTACATATATGTAGCTTCGTTTCAGTTATTCGTAATAATTATGGATCTTTATCTACTCATTATATCATGGCGCACATTTACCTATATTTGCGATTTCAATATGGCACTTAGTTTGGAGATACCGGCCAAAACAACTTATATTCAAAAATTTTCAGCAATCTCTATACTTAATTTTCAGAGGATTATGACATATACTGTCGATAGAGTTTAAAAGTTTAGATTAAGTTCTCATCGTTTTTTGTTCTTTTGTACGGTATTGTTCTATTTTAGGAAATTTCTGATTTCTCTCTTTTTCCAGCCTATTTTTTTAGATCCAATCAGTGATCTTTTGTATTTATTTGGAATATATTTTTTTGAATACAAATTGGTTGAATTTAGATCAATTTATAGGCACACATATCTCATAAAAATTATGTAAATCATTCTTCTTTTGCACAGCCTCAGTCTTCTCGTTATAATGAAGTTATAAAACTAAAAACCTTGCTGCCATAATTTCAAAATTTGCAATAAATCTATGAAAGCTCAAATTGTGTGCATTCAAATATTTCATTCTTTTCATTTATTTCCTATAAAAATGTCATTAATCTACAATTTGCATTCTTTTTATTGTCTTTAATATTTTTATTTTTTCTTTGAATATTTGATATTTGATGTAATTTTATTGTTTATAATTAATGCTATGTAATTTAATTTATATTTAATGTAATTTAATTTTGATATTTATTTAATGCTATAAGCGACTAATTGTCACATTTATTTATTCTAATACTTTTGAATTCACAAAAAAAATTTTGAATTATCTTTATGAATTCGAACTTTATAAAATACCATTTAACGGGTATCAAATTTAATTTTCAAATTCATTAAGGTTTATGATTAATTTTGAAGTATTATTTTCTGATTAAATTTACAATTAAAATAAATTTACAAACATTAAGTTTATCATAGCATAAATTTTATAATGAATGGCTAACACTATCTAATGGGTATTAGATTTTTCTCTAGGTTCGCTCCACTAGTAAGAAATTTTTGCCGGGGAAATAGGTCATTTGGAGGTGGTGTAGATGGTTTCCCAGCAGCACTCAGGTTTTTTAAAGATAGATTTATTGCTACCGAAGGCAACATCTGAATTTTGAGACAATCTGACTTAACTCAAAAAAAAATTTTAGCGTAGTAATGATAAATAACAAAAAACCTTACCTTATTACCCAAATATTTAATTAATTTCTAACCTTTAATCGATATTTTCTTCCCGAATTGATTGACTATTTAATTTCCACTCGTCTTTCCTCAGTTAGGTCTTTTTTAGATTGCTGGCTTTATTTACATGAGGCGAAAAAACTCGTCGGTCTTTTAAATTTTTAAAAATGCATCATATTTGTTTCGTCATCGTCATCGTATGTCTCAAATTTGCGTAATAAAAGCTTTCAATTAAAAAATAAATTAATGAAAATAACTCAAAAAATTAGCCTACAAAATATATCCTACACTAAACAAAATGAACATCAAGGATAATTTCATTTGTGTAACCTAAATTCACTCACTCTCAGTTCGTCGAATTAAGCAAGATTTAATTTATGCTTATAAAATTCTGTATTGTTATGCTAAATAATGATTTTAGGTTAAATTTCAAGATCTAATGGACTAAAATGCGGGCTGCAAAACTAAACTAGAACGCATGATTTTTTTATTCGCACCATTAATTGTTGGGATAGGCCGAAACCAAACGACGTAGGTTGCGCGTCCTACTTTTTGAAAAAATGAAATCCACGATATTATTTAAAAGTTTGCTTTACATTGTGCGTGAAATCTCAATCATTCAGCGTGAAGTTGTGTGTCAGCAATACATTCAATCTGCGTTACTCTCTGATTCCCCCTTATTTATAATTTTTCTCTTAGCTTTTGGTTATATTCCCTTATCTTTTGAATCACTAATTTCTTCTCACTCCGTTTCATTGCTGTTGGGCAAGCACATCGCCCTGCTTGGTTGCCTGAAACAAATTGGCTGATTTTATTTAGCTATTAAAATTAGTAGGAAACCAACCAAACTCTAATGGCTTTGTCATAACGAGCTCGAATCTTTTTGCTGCTTTTAAGTACATTTTCTCTTTCGACTTTCTGCATATATTTGTTTCCTTAAATACTAACTATCGCGAAAGCAAAAAGGCTACTTTGCGATTGGCCCGTTTCCACTACCTCGGGATTCGCCAGCGGATCCTTTTAGGCCATTCGTCGACATCATTGAATCATCTTTTTGCATTTTTCGTACTCATTGGCCCTTTTCCAGCATTCCTTTTGCTTTCTTTATGGGTGCCATCACCTTTTTATATATTTAAATTTTTTTTGCTGATTTGCTATTTTGGCATGCCACTAATCAAAGATGCACCATTCTGAACTCATGAAAACTGCCTTACCAACTTCTTTTTCATTGGCCTTTGGGCGGCAAATTGGTTGATAAGGCAAATTAAGTGTTGATTCGAATCCATTTTCCATTTTTATAACCCCACGGTGATTACTTCCGCAGCATTAAATTTTTCGCGGTTTAAATCAGAAAGCCATTAAGAAATTAAAATTAATTTAGAAAACTGTTGTAAAAGGACAAAAAAATAATTTGTACGAAGAACCAAAGAGAAGTTTTAAATTCAAATATCTTGAAGCGAATTTTTCGCTTACGGTAAATGTTAAAGGAAAGTGGTGCATAGGACTGCCATGTAATCGAAATGTAGCGTTATCTTGCGTAATCGGGACAAGTTTCATTAAAATGCGATTTTTAAGGCTCCATCAGCCCTATCCCCATTTTGGATAAAGTACTAACGAATTCAATTCAATGCATGGATCAACGACAGCCACTAATTTTAAATGTTTTAAATTCCTCAGATCGTGTTATTATAAAAATTTGTTTTTAAGCCATTGATCATTTCTTATCTGAGGCGATGAGCGAAAAGCCAGGCATATTGGCTGATCACACAATGAACAATGTACACAGTTTTTATCGCTAAAATTTTTTTCTGCTTTAGAATTCATGGCGAAAAGTATATTTCGGTTATGGTCAACGGTTTGTAAAAATGTTTACAATTTTTCTTCGAGAAGATTTGCTGATTATTCTCGTATCGACGAGGATCAACTAAGTCTTTATTTATGTGCTGGTCGTGGTGGTAATGGCTTAGCCAGGTGTCGATTATTTTTCGCTTCATTGCTTATTTTTTTAATTGATATAGTTCCCGCAACTTTTATGAATGTTACGAATTATGTTGAATGAAATTTTAATTTATTTATAAATATAATTTCTATAACTGATTTATTTTACTTTTTTTTATCATTTTAATTTCCAATTTTCTTGAAGTCAAATTTGATAAAATTTCAGATATAATGGGATTGGCGGTGATGGAGGCGATATTTACATAATGGCTGATCCTTCTGTGAGATTTAGTCAAGTAAAAAAATTTTTAGGCAATTCATTGAAAGTCTGTGCTGCTCGTGGTGAACATTCTTCTCAAATTAAACTTATAGGTGAAAAGGGCAAGGATGAGGTTATTTTACTTTTAATTCTTTCCTTTCTATCGAAACTGATTTAAAATCGTTCTAATTTGGAACGTCCTTTTAAAAAAGAATTTAACAAGGATTTTGCTTATTTTGAATTAATCATTCATTTCTAAATCATTTAGTTATTGATTTTATTTTCTTTAGAAAAACTCAATGCTTAAAATGCTTTTCGAAATTGAGTGATAATTTGTAAAAACATCTGTTCTGGAATTTCGAGTTTTTTGATCGTAATTTTAAACACAATAATTTATTTTTTATATTTTAGGTTATCAGAGTTCCAGTTGGAGTTGAAGTAGTTGAAACAAAAACACGAACGTTGTTGGCTCGATGTAGCTCTCCGAAGGAGAAGATTATTATTGCACTTGGTGGGAAAGGCGGATCAAAAGAGAACAATTATATGTAAATTTTTTCACCTGATTTCTCAATAATAAAAATAAAAAATTTTCTCAATAACAAAAAAATCATGATTTCAGAAAAATGATTTAAAATAAAAAATATAATAGTTGATATGAAATATATGAAAAAATTATTCTTGTTTTCATTTTTACATTTGGAATCTAAGCTTTTATTCTTGTTAAGAGGAAGTCTAGGCGAGCACTTTATGCTGGAATTGAATTTCAAATTACGGCCCAATATAGGTCTTGTTGGCTTTCCAAACGCAGGCAAATCGACGCTGATGCGAGCTCTGGTTCAAAAAAAAAATGTAATATTGTTTTGATGGAGTAATTGTATGGAATTTATATTTTCATTTATTATAATTAAATAATTGTTAATTTATAAAAATTTATAAAAGATATGGTAGTTTGAAAAGAAAATGATTAATTTTTAATATCCTAGTTAATAGAAATGTAATGGTACTTCCGTGATTTTAATGTTAAATTAAATTAATTTTAAACTTTTTTTTTGTTTAAATTATTTCGTTTTCATTCGTAAATTTTTTTTTTCGTATTTTAATTGCTTTTGAAGTCAGAATAATAGACAGGATGACAAATTCTATATTTTTCAACCATAACTACAAGAAAATAATCAGTTATATTTCAAAAGTTTTCAAAGTATAATTTACGTATTTTTTTTAGATAAAAATAGCTAGCTATCCTTTTACCACAAAAGTTCCTCAGATATGTAATATGAAAGGCTATGAAAACGATAGTGCGACATTTCCTTATACGCTTTCAATCGCCGATCTTCCAGGTTTATTCTTTGTGATAATTCTGTCGATTTTTTTTTCATTTCAGTTAGATTGCTAGAATTAACGAACGTATAATCTTCTATGATTATTGATTATAATAATTATTTTATCTGATTCCTGGATTAAACTTGGTCATTTTTTATTTTAAGGGTTAATTGAAGGCGCCAGTATGAATCGAGGTAGAGGTTTATCTTTCTTAAAGCATCTTGAATACTGTGATATTATTCTAATGGTCGTCGATATCAAAGGATTTCAATTACAGGCAACATTGAATGAACCCTTTAGGTGAGTGGTGATTTTTATATTTTGCTGATCGGAGTACGAAAGTCGTCATAAATTTTAAAAAATTTGCTAATACTTGTTAGTCTTTTAATTTATTTCCAAAAAAGGTTGCATAATCGCTACATCGCTTGTTTTAATTCTTTCAAAATTTGTTACTTTTTAAATGTTCTGCTGAAATTTTCTGTTTTACTTGCTCGTTATGTTTCCTTAATTCTTTTAAAATTCCATTTTCATCCCATCTTTAAGCTCGTAAATTCCATAGAACCTCACTGAAATTTTATTGTACCTTCTCGATATATATTTATTTAATAATTGTTTTGCGAAAAAGTGGTACAAATATAATATCAGAATAGATTCAGAATAGTTTTCCGACAGCGGTAAAAAATTCAAATTCGTAGTTCAAAATCAAAATTCAAAAATTCAAATTCAAATTAAGTGCAAAGAAAATTGGAATTGAATTAACTGATGCCACAGTTTTTAATTTATCTGTTCAAACCTATTTAAGTCCTTTTTCCCTCCTTTATTTCTTTAATATCGGCATACGCTCATTAATCTGATACCCTAACGTTCTCCTGAATTCCATTGCAATCCTATAACACCACATTATATTTTCTTGAGACTAGAATGACTTAGTAGTGCCGATGTTGAAGTTCAATGCAGAAATAAACCATTTCAAAAGTCTGAGTGATGCTGCGATTTACATATATTTCTATTGCTGAATGACTTCCTGGCAAAAACTAGTCTATCAAGCAAGCGCAGCATGTCTAGAAAGAAATTCCTTTAACGGACCATCGAGTACCTTTCTGCTTCCTTGAAATTCATGTCAATTCCACTGCGTTTTTCTAGGCGTCCTTAAACTCTATCTTCACATGCTCTTTACAAATCCCATCAAATACATATTATCTATTTTATTTTATTTATTCATTTATTTTCTCCTCAAACAATACTTTTATAACACTTTAAATTACACGATCAATTAATTTTAATAATATTCATTCAGTTCCATTATTACATTTTAAATGACTTTCGAACCCTTTCATTCATATTGTTTTTTTATTTATTTTAATCGTCAATACCTAATTCATTCCCTTAAATTCTTTTATACTTCTATATATCTTTCTTTTATTCTTTTATATATCCTTAAGCATATTGTCAGATTTCCTTAAAATCAGTACCTTTTAAAAAAATCAGTCTTTAAAATCAGTACCTTTTTGCTTCCTTGAAGTTCATTCCGGTTCCATTGTATTCCCTAACCGCCCTTATCTTCACAAGTCAGCATCCACCACATCCTATCATATTTTAGATTCTGTTATGGAAACGGCCTGTTATGGAAATGGAAACTTTCCTTCTTTCTTTTTGTTTAAATTCTTTTTACTTTTTTAGTGCATTTCTTTCCTTAGTCCACTTCTTTTTGCTTCAAAATCAACGCAAAAGAAATGTAATCGCTTGCAAAACAACACAATCTCTAAGACTGTAGAATTTTGCCAGCGTCTCTATTTTTTTAGAATACGAGTTGGAATTTAGACTTGGAATTTAAACTTAATCTTTGACAATTATTTATATAATTGAGGCTTTAGTCTCTTGTTTTTCATTTTTCTTCCTACTTTGATCTTTGCTTCTATCTATAATAATCCTTCAGATCGCCCTTAGAAACTGTGGCTTTATTGAATGTAGAAATGGAAAAATATGATCCCCGATTAGTTAAAAAACCAACAATCTTGGCAATTAATAAAATTGATCTGTTAAATGGATTTGAGGTTAGTAATTTTAATTTTATTTGTTTTATTATTACCATTCTTCACATGCAAGTTTTTCCTAGTAATTTAAGTAAAAGGGAAGTCTTGTAAAATTAAGGTGATTTAAGGTTGTTGAAGAGCTGATGAGGATATTGAAGTCTCCTAACTGGACTAACTCAGTATCAGAAGACATTCGACCGCATGAACCGATATGCTTTGACGCTTTAGTACCTATTTCAGCCAAAAAGGATCGTTTAAATGGTCTAAAAAAAGTCCTTAAAAGTACACACGACTTTTTGTTCCCTTTAACAGGAATATCGTTTAGAGAATCCATGAAAACTATCAATAAATTTATTTGAATTTATGGCTAAATAAATATTTATCTCTCGAAATGGAAATTCATCATTAGGATTTAGGGTTTAGATTTATTATGGATGTCACTTAGCTAAATTCTTAATAATTCTTTATTAAGATATTTGATGATTCTTTAATATTTTTTTATTGCTATACAATGTATTGTCAAATTATCTTGTGAATATTTGTATATTTATTATTTGTGTGCATTTGTTATCCATCAATTTCATTAATATTGTTCATTTATGTCGAAATATACGGAAAGTGAGTTCGAAAAATTTTTATGTTAAGCAAATAAATTTTCAAAGAAGCATTTATTAATTTTATCAGTTGGACGATGACTAATTACAGGTCTAAAGTATTACAACATTGAAGATAGGAATTTCAAGAGCGGTATTTTTATTTACATAACAAATGATTGTTGAAAACGGGGCTATAAGATTCCTTCGTTTGAACAAATATTTAAATACCTCTTTCAGTTTGCGTATTGCTTATGTGATTTCGAATTTTATTTTATTATATTTATTATGTATTTATTTTATTGTGTTTAAGATTTATAATTATAAAAACTGAGGATTTTTGGTAAATTTTTCAAAAATATTGTCAAATTCGTTTTTCAACCAGTTATTATATTTCATCGTAAAATCTTCTATCACTTTTCTTTTGTTTATTTTTTTATTAAATTAATATTTAAATGGCAGTTGGTTTGGTTAATGAACAATCATTGAAAATAAATGAACATTTCGTTTCACTTTTCCACGTCAGCGTCAATCATCGGCATAACTTCACATTTCCAAACTCTTGTGAATATAGTTCATCAAATTTTTCCCAAAGAACTTTTCGCGATAGAAGAATAGATGGGCATCACCAGACTTTTTGATGACATTTTATAGTTTTATAGTTTTTATTGGAAGAGCTGTACCACTGATTGTCAACATAGCAAACTGTGCACTTACAATCTGACTATTCTTCTTAGTCAGAAAGGTATTGATAAGAAATAATAATAAGAATAAATGTATTAATGGTTATAGAATATAGAATCCGCCCTGAATCCTATACACTATTGTTAAAATCCTTCTTTTCACATTCTGGTAGTGTTTGATTAAAAGAAATTAATCTTTAGTGCAATCTTGAATTTCTTCTAGAAGCATTCACCATTTCCGATTTCAGTTGTTCCACTGATTGTTAGGTTCTGGCAAAGCTCGGTCACTTGGCGATAGAAGCGCAGTGGCCAGCATTATACTGATTTCTGAAGGGCGTATTTATTTCTCCTGTGCATAAAATCTGATCGTCGGCACAACTCACTCTATCCCCTTTGCGTGTGTGGGGTGAATTTGGGCACAAACCATTTTTGATTTTTGGTGGCAATCGCTACTAAGCAACATTTGCAATGGACAAGAATTAGCCTATGATAGCCTTAGTAAACCAACATATTCCTCGAACACCCATATAATCTTGGACTCAACTTGTTCGTTAACTTCCCTTTCTTCTAACAGCACGTATTGATTTTTGATTTGGCTGACTTCTGTGGATAAGGATAAGGCATCACCAAATCTATCCGATGCCATGTCTGAAAAAATGCAAAAAATTCAGAATATTCTTTTCCCAGCTTCTAAGCCTATATCACTGGGCCCTTTATGGGTTTCTCTGCTGATGATGCATTAATTCAGGAGGCCTTGATTTGTTCAATGCCTTTTGTTTTTGACGCCATCCGTCAAAAGCTTATATATATATATATATATACTTTTGGCATATATAGGTTCCTGAAGTGGAGTAGTATTCGAGCAAAGCTGGATCTAGAGCATCCCCAAGGTATTCACTCGAAGGTATTTAAAATACTTAAGACAAGGGTGTTCAAAAGTAGATAACCAGTTTTTATTTACTTCTATCTGATATTATTGATAAAAAGATCCAATATAAATAAATAAATTCTATATGCATATATTGCTTTATCTTATTTGCAAATTACCATTCATTAACAGAAGTTTTTTTGAAATTCCTTTGTTTTACTCAGAATTCATATTGAAATTGAATTCGTATCTCCAGTTTTTGCGGCTTTATTTGGTCATTTCAACTGCTTTTCAGGTGCAGAATTTTTCTTTGGGTTTAACTGCTACTGCATTCAACAATTATAAGTGGGTTTATTTAATAGCATTTAATAGCATTTTAATAGCAAGTTAAATTTTAACGATAAAAATAATCGTTAACAATAAAAGAAAGGAGAATTTTCGTCAAGATGTTTCAATTCATTTCCACGAATTTTCTAACATTGTGCACCGATTTTGGTTGCACTAGTTTTTCGTTAAGTCGAAGTGGAGCCTTTTCACAACAAAGTCTCACAAACATAGGAATAATACATGCGGGTTACTAGCACCACTCGGATTTTATTGTACAATAAATCTTTTAATTTTTCATTGCGGCGCAAATTCGTATCGTTCGGTCTTAATTTTATTCATGAATTCAAAGGACAGTTCGAAAATAATTTTTATTAGTATAATTTAAAAAATTCGTAAAATTATTTCTTTAGCAATTTTATTATGTCAAAAAACCGCATCCTTTCTTCTTTCTCTCTCGTTGAAAAAACGTATAAATATTCGAATGGGCAAAAAATTGACACTACTTCATTTATTTGCAACTTGCCATTCGTTAAAAAAACTTTTTTTTGAAATTCCTATGCGAAAAAATATTGCTAAAATATTGTTCATTTATGATTCAGTGAAATTTTTTATGACACGTTTCGTAATTTTTGTTTGAGCCAATTCGTAAGGCCCTGAAAACATTTCTAAAAATTCAGGCCTTTACTGAACGCACTTATATCATCACTGTTTATTTATTAAATTTGTTTAAAATGGGCGAGTTAACGGCTTGACGCACCTTGACGCACTAACAACGCACAAGCCGAGTGCAATAGTCGGTTTTTGGTTAGAAAGCGTCGGCCATACAAACTTTTTTGTGATGAAGGAAGGAATCAAGTTCAATTTTTGTTTGCGTTCACATAATCTTTGCTTCGTGCAGTATTAAACTGCTTAATTGCTTTCTTTTAGCACTTCTAATTGTTGAAGGATTTTTTGAATCGGTTCATCGTATCAATTTTCTGAACTGTATTCATCGAATCGGTCGAGGAAGTGCGATTAGGAATTTTTTCCTTGAATGCTTCACTTCAATCACTGCGTTGCAAATGGCAGTCACATTTTCCTCTTAGTCTAATCTCCTATTTCAGCTCATTATTGGTTTGGCTGACCGCATTTGCAGGCGATCCGACGCTATCTATCATTTCTCGAATCATTTCTTCCATTACCTAAGCCCATCTCAGTGGGTCACATATGCGCAACCACCCAGCTTCTTAATTGTTTTACCGTTTCGCCACAGGGATAAAAGGGACTTATTATCAATCAGTCCAAGCAGTCGTCTATTTTTGAGTCGCTTAATTATGTTTCGATTTAATGCCATATTTAATCTATCTGGTTCTTTTGTAGATGATTGTGGATAAATATGATTAATAGAAATTTTTATTATTTATTAGAATTCCATTTTTCGTCGAACAGTCATCATTTTCATGAAAGTTTCCATCCTAATTTGATTCAATCATCCAGAAAAAATGTTAAATACTAATAAAAAAAAATGATGATGTGTTCATACCGAGTCTGTTTGATGAATCTTATCGATTCAGGCGTTTTTTTATATAAATGAAAATAAAATATGCATGCTTTCCACTTTATTTTTTCGTTTCAACTCTTTAATTTCATAAATCATCCAATAAATTAATAAATTTTTTGGTTTATTTCGCAGAAATATTCCACATTAACTTAACTCTTTATATTCCATGTGTTTAAGATTCTTTCATTGCGGAAACTATACAGTAAAGGAGATTTTCTATTGCTTTAGCAATTTTATGAGTACCAATGAATGCCTCCAACTTACTGAACAAAGCAATGAAAAAACCACCTTTAAAATCTATTTATTCATCAGTGTAAAAGAAATTTTTAATAAAATGAACTGTGAAATGAAATTTTTAATAAAACTGTGACCTAGAAAATGGAATTGCTTGACAAAATGATATTGAAAAACTTTTATCTAAGAGATTTTCCCATAAATTTTCTAATTTTCCATTTTCCAAATTGTTTGCTGAAATGATGTTTCCTAAAATAACTTTGCACGTTTAGAGATTATGCAACACACTTTTTTGTTAAACAAACCAAGTAATAGCTTTTCAAAAATTTTATTTATTTATTAAAATTTCAAGCCGTAAATTTGCTTTTTATTTTAATAGTTTTCTGCGAAGCGGTATATTTCCTTTAATATTTGTCTAATGACAGATATCCTCCGCGTGTCTCACTTGCAAAATTAATTAATTTTCAGGGACTTAGAAAAATGATGGAATCTTTTTTACATTTATTAATAGTAATCGATCTAGTATTTGCCCAAATTTTGCTTAGCAATAATCTTTACACAGTCTCATCTCAACAAAATAATTATGACGTAAGTCTCGGTTATTTATTGAATAAACTGAAAATAGAGAAAGTAAAGCTTGCCAAATTCATTCAGTAGATTAATAATACGTGGATGATGAATTAAAAGGAATTTCCAAAAATTAAAAAGTCTTAGGAAACTTATTTTAGTTGCCAAAAAGAAGTCGAGAGGAATTGACCATTACAGATAAATCGTCAAGTCGTCCCTTCTCTTAAAAGCTTGAATCTCTCCGTAATTCCTTAATTTTAAAGAGGCTTTATCCATTATACACTCATTTTCATCCTCTAAGTACCTGTTATTTTCCCTTAAAAGTCTCTTAAATGCTCGTATTTATGAAGTTTGAAGTTTTTTCATTACCATTTGCACAAGTCATCAATTGAATCGAAGCTCTCCCAAATCTAGTTCATAGGTTGGAGCTCTGTATGGTCTTCTTTTTTATCCTCCATTCTTCCTTACAACTAAAGCTTCAACTTTTATAATATACAATTTACTTATATTTGTCCATCTGTATTCCTTTTTTTTTGATTCGAGTTATTTAAATTCATTTCTTTCATTTAAGAATATCAATGGACTTCATAATACCGTGGATCATGTCGACTCATATGCTCTAATGTTGCAACCGCGTAATACTTATGCTTCGGTACTTTCATTATTTTTTCGCCAACTTTTTTGATTCTTTTTAAATTTAAGCTTTGACTCCGTAAGTTTTTCACAGATCATATAATATCATTTTTAGCAGTTCATTTTTTTTAAAATTTATTTATTTAAATGAATTTATTTATTTATAGATTATATTCATTACATATCGTTGTTATATAATATTTTAGAATGTTCCGTTTCGACGAAATGGCTCCGCAAGTGTTAATATAGAAATACATCTTAAAGAATATGTGAATGAGAGATTGCGACTGCCTGACGGTAAGACGTGCGTTTGCCCTGCTGGGTTCACGTGTAATTATCTTGGTTCCACAGCAATGGCCAGATGCTATATGTCTTTCATGATTATTATCTCATCTTCTGAGTCAGTGATTTTGGGATTTTTTATTTAAAATTTTCTTATTTACATTTTCGGACTTATTTTTAACAATTGAATTTGTAGTGATTCAGTGCAATATGCTTCAACGGGATTTCTTCCACTAAGTTCATCCGGTTCAGTTGATTTTCGAGCGTTAACCACAACGCAATATAATCAGTGGACTCAGCCATATCTTTTCAATTTACAGTCCAAGCCTGTAAGTTGTAAATGAGGCTTTCTTTCTTTATTTATTTGATAGGATACTAAAGTTAAAGAATGCCAGTTCGCGATACCTATAAATTTCTGAAATAGTATACGAATCCCAAATTATGTTTTGCACGATGTTTTTTGTGCTTCTTCATTAAATAATTATTTAAGAATATTAATTATAGTCTGCGATTGACATCTTTGTTCATCATATGGGGATGGTTATTGATACAGAAACAGGGGAGCTAACCCAAATGCAAACGGTAGTACATGTTGATACTTTTATTCAATCACTGACCGATGTTGTTCCTTCTGTTGCTTCAATGCCTCAAGTTATTCAAACAATTACTCTCACAGGAACGATATTACAAACTCAGTTAGTTTTTCTGAATAGTTTCTTTTGGTATTTAAACTGAGTGTATAATTTTCCTTCGTCTATGAAATACAATATTTTTAATTTGGCTGCCTCTTACGGATATTTATTTATTGAAAACCAGCCAAGTAAGCAACAAACGCCATGTGCTTTATTAATAACAACAGTTAAAATAAATAATTTAATTTAATTTAATAATAATTAATTTAATAATAATTAATAATAATTAATGATAAAAAAAGAAAAAGAAAATATAATAAAAATTAACAATTTAAAGAGGAAATAAAGAGGAAATTATAAAATGCTATAATACAGAAAATGATTTCAGAATGGAAATAATATATTTATTTCATATCTCATTTTATTTATATTATATAAGAAGATTAGGAGATATTTCCAATACATATATATATATATATTACTTGAAATTCAATATTTTAAAGCTACATTTATTTATTCCTATATTTTGGTTATCATTTGAGGCTATCATTGTCGTTCGTCGTGCAGTGTACCGGTTCATTATATGGACCAAACTGTGATCTGAATTGCAATACTTCATCTTTAAATTCAGCTATTGCCATTTGTCAGTCGAATAAAACTGGCTTTTTCTATACCTGTAGTTATGCAACAGCTCCACAAGTAAGTCTTTTTTTTCATATTTTTATTTTGAAAATAATTTGACAAAATTTGCGCACAATATGCTTAAGTTTTAATGAAAATTATATTAATTAAGGTACAAAATTGCGTGGCATGCATCTGGGGAATCGTTGAAAGTTCGTATTGTCGTGATTCAAATGGAAAGGCAATCGATCCTTCTGTAACCGTACATTTTTAAAATCTTATTTCATTAATGCAGTGAAGCCACTCGCATTCAGTAATATTTAAGCGGCAATGAATTTTCCTTCTATTTACTTTTGCCTTGAAAAAAGCCTCTATTTGTAGTTTAATTCCATTTAAAAAAGAAAGCTTTCTTCTCCCATCGAAGGAAAATTAAAAATACATGTTTAAGAGGAATATGAAGTTTCTTTATGAACTATAATAATTCGCACGTTGGATAAAACGGGATTACTGCCTGAGCTTCTGAAATCTCGGCCCTTTTTGTTGGATCTCCCTGGTATTACGCCATGTTTTGTAAAAAAATCGCCCTGCTTTTAAACCTCTATCTACCACGTCAGCACCTTTAGACCTAATTTTAATTCTTTAGCATTACCCGCTATATTTCCTTAACTTTCCGTCAAAAATCGTAACTTTTCAGTAAAATGTAAGTAAAATTATGATGAAATTTGTGTATGAATTTACACCATGGGAATTTATAAAAAAATAATTTTTTTTTAAAATTTATTAATTTGGACTTTATTTTATGTTTATGCTATTTACTTTTCATTGCAGCTTGTATCATCAGAATTCAAATTTACTACTATTGTTCTTGGAATCAGCTGTGCAATACTTTTTATTTTGCTAATTGCTGTAACAATTTATTCCTGCATTCTGTAAGTATTTTTTTCGATTAATAGAAAAAATAATGGAAAAAGTTGAATATTTAGCTGCCAGTCTCAACGGTTTTGTTTGGCTTTAGTGTTAATCGACGTAATAGACAGCAGCAAGAAGATGATGCTCCTGGGCACAACTATCGATCTTCAATCCGAGTTGAAGCAAATAGCAATCAGACTCTTTTACAGGTAAAATTTATTTTATATCGTATAAAAATAAAATTTATATAAAAATTTCAAATATTTGCATTGTTCAAAAAACTTTAAAAATTGAAGGAATTAATTTCAACGATGGTTTTATTCTATGGTTTTCAATGCTTAAATTGTATTCAAAAAAATCAATTTTTTAGTCTGCTTGTCCAGTCAGATTAAATTCAAATTTGATTCCACCTTACGATCATCCACAAGCACCATTAATTTCTTCACGAAATTTTCCAAGATCGGCACCTTTAAGTTAGTTTTTTGTTTTTTTTGACAAATTTGTTAGAAAAGAAAGAGATTTTTGCTAGTGAGAAATCGCTACGAAATAGTTTCCTAGAATTTAAATTCTCCCTTTAAGTTCAGAATAGCTTCGTTGATTTTAGTTAGAAATTTTTGCCAGCGAGTCAGTTGGCTATAGAAATGCAGGTGAATCGCCAGTACCGCACTGGTTCTTTAATATTTCACTATCAAAGCAAACATTATTTTGCAGAGTCATCTCTCCGGAAGATAAATTATGCTCCACCAGCTCATCTTGGTGGTGATTCTTCTTTGAATGATACGTTGAATAGTACGATAAGCAGTATTCAATTACCCAGTAGGGAAGCTGATGTTTGATATTTTTTTTGCTTTCTTACAGCATTGTTTTATATAATTTACTTGAATATGTGACGGGTTTCTTTTATTTGATGTCTTTTCAAATAGATTTTTTAACCTCCTTGATGCAGTCGCTATACTATTGCATTTAAATCCTTTTCATTCCGTAAAATCATATTTTATGATGAGTGCTTTAACTTTTTGTTAAAATTCGAAGAGACTCGCACATTCGACAAATTTTACAATTCCTAAGGAAGCGGTTATTTCATATTTAATTTTCTTTCTTTCAATAATCCAATAACGAAGTACATATATATTTTACAACATTGCGCATTTTATTTTTATTTATGCCTGCCATATTCTCTATGTTTGTGAATAATGATTGATATGAAACTATTAATACTTATTTATAAGTGCGTTATACAAAAATGGACTTCGAGAAAAACCGCTGCATGGTCTCAGTTTTCTCATCATATTTGATGATTTGCAAGGAAAGTGGTCAGTACCCACTGTTTCTGGTTCGTTCGACTGGCTGTAACGTGGAATTTTGAGAAATTTAAAAATGCAAGTGGATATACACATTGTCATGACATGGCGTGGATTTTTCAATAATAGATTTACTCCTACAGACAGAAAAAGAGCTAGGATACAATTATAACCTAAGCAATAGTCACTTATTTACTCTAATGACGTCTAAAAGAATCACAAAAGTATTTTAAAAAATTTTATTTCGAAAAATCATATTTTTAATATGAAAAATTTTCTACCCATTTTCTAGCCAAAAAAACGATCCTCAATTTTGATACAAAACAAAAACAATACAAAAAAACAATTCGAAGAGACTCGCTCTTGGCATTTCTCTAATTTCTTATATTCTTTCTTTCTGACGTTCTTGTCATTTGGTATTGCTATCAGTACTGATTTCTGATTCTTGTATTACGATATCTACGGTTGATTGACCAGCACTTATTTGTCTATCTATCTGGTAGTCCCACCTTATTATCTAAGATTTTCTGAGGATTCTCCCATTTAGTCTTGGGAGATTTAGGTCTGGGATCTGGCGCAGAATTAATCCATCTCCAACAGTTTCTTCTTTTTTAGTTAAAGCATTGGGCCACTTACTGTTTCTTAGTTAATATGGACATAGATCTTTTTTCCATCCACAGTGCCTTCGTTCATTTCATATAATCCCTTTGGTTAGGTTTATTATTATAGTGTCATCCCATTAATTTTAGATTATCTTGTCTCTTCCAAGTAAGGTTTTTCCCTATAGCCCTTTTAACGCCAGACTGCTCAGGTATCATAACAGCTGGAGCTATATTAAGTATATATACATAGTTATGTATATATATAGCCAAAAACCTTTACCTTTGGGTCCTTAGGCAAGGCTCCCTTAATGATAATCTGTCCTACCTCAATATGAGAGTGTCGCATACTAGAGTCCTACCGGCTTGGGCCAGATTAACAAGATCCGCATCAGTCGCTGGAGGACTAGGATTATCTGATGACTAGTATGCTACTGGAACAGTGCCCAAGGGAAGTGTGATGCTCGATGTGATAATTTAAGCAACAACTATTTAGTTATTCTACCTCAGTTAATACGAAACATAGCGATCAAATAACCAATTAATTTTTTTTTTTTTGATTTTGAAAAAGCATTTGCACAAAGAAAATGTCAGTGAAATGTCAGTTTCAAAATAAAAAATCAAGTTTCTTGATTGGATGAATTAAGATGTTAAATGAAAAAGTACACAAGGAAACCTCATGATAGCAACCAATTTATTTAAATAGTTGGTGAGGATTAAAAAACAACGGGTAATAAAATTTCAAAATTAACTGGTGTATAGAACATTTTTATTATTTTTTGTGTTAAGCAATAAAGGCAATTTCAATTCCTTGTGAAACATTTAAATTTCGGAAAAGGCATCGAATGGATGCCTTTCAACTGATTCATTTATTTCTTAACTGATAATCAAATTAGTAACGATAAGATTTCAAAAAATAAAACATACGTCGAAACGATCTTCTTTGAAATTGATTTAATAAATTATTGGTCTTTTTTGAAACTTAATAGAATTTTTTTAAAATTTAATTCAAAAAAATTTGAACGAGATCTCATTAATTAAGCTTTTTTCAATTTCGCAAAATTTGCATGATTCGGCATAATACACATTCAACATATCTTTTAACATAGCCAAAAATCTGTTCGCATATGAAATTAATTGCTGATCCATTTCATAAAGCTGAATAAAAAAAAATAAAAAGAAAATATCTAAAAGGAAATGAATTTGTAAGAACAATACTCGAAAAACCCAAAAGTTATAAAAATTGAGGACAAATTCTGAAATAAAATTTATATCGTTGTTCTTAAATCGTTGTAATGAAATAGACAGTCTATCTAAAAAAATTTTATGTAAATTTTTTGGCTATTCCATTTTCATTTTTACATAAGATGAATTAAAAATAAAAAAAAAGGAACGAACAATTTCCACGATTCTTTTCCAAAAACGCTCGCCATCTCGTTTCGATGGCTTATCAAGCCAGATAAATTTTTAATCATTTCTTTCCACAATAGAAATAAAGTTGTCAGTATTATCAATGCTGGAGTCTCAGCAATTGCGCTGCGAAATGACAGCCACTGAGCCATTCTGAGCATTCTACGCAAAATATTTAACCCAAAATAATTTTTAAAGTCGAATTTTGAAATTGAAATTTCCGGATGATCACCAAAATCGGGAAAAAATTCATGAATCGCCGAAATAATTCTCATAAAATTCTACAACATATACCTAATGACAGGAAATTTGGCTCGAAAGCAAATACAGTACAGTAAATATGCCTTATACCTTAGCAAGCACTTAACAAGTTTATATCCTCTTCTCCCATATGTAGTAAAGCAATTTTGACCCTTTTTATATTGTTAAAATGGTAATTATTGTAAAAAGTGCTGGCAACATAGAAAACCACTTTTTTTAAGGGAATTTCCATACTACAAATTCCAACTTTTATTACTAATACTTGCGTTCGGCATCATAGAAAACATCTAGTCACGTGGAATTTCCCGGATAACCAACATTTCAACCAGATTGGTTATCAATCACTGTTGGAAAAGTTCTGTACTAGATAGGCGGCGCTGGAACGGCAGGCAATCTTCATGGATCTGTTATGGTTCAAGCCAAGACCCGCATAAAAATCCGCATAAAACTCGCAAAAAACAGCATCCTCAAAGATTCTTAAACTATTTCAAACTAAAAAAGGGGCAGTGAGCGCATTTCAAATCAAATTATTCAAATTACTGAATTATTGAAGCATCTCAGTGATACAAATATCAATGACTTTTCTGAATGGCAAATAAATACTGGTCCAAAGTATAGGAATCTCCGAAAGTTAGCCACTACCACGCTAGGGCATACTGGTAGGAAATTGGGTATCAGAAGTAACTGTTCAACTGTCTGAAAAAGCTGCCAAAGCTGCCAATGTCAGGTGACTACCGGATGCTTCAAAGGTTTCAACGAAAGCAGCACAACGGGACAGAAATCACTATTGGAGTGACATGACCACAAGGATGGAGGCGGTGGCTCGATTAGGCGATAAGAGGAAACTATTCCGTCTTCTTCATAAAGCAACTATAATTCGGGGAACGATCACTGAAATGGTAAGAGACAACAATGGCGTGCCAGTCAAGAATATTAAGGACCACCTCATAAAGTGGAAAGAATTTCTTTGAGGCAAAAATTAACCATGAAGCGCCATCTATTACCCCTGATATAACTGATATATTCGTTGAAATCATATGCTTGCAACTGCGAGACCCCGACAGAAGACATAATATCTAATATTATTATCCATAATATTATCCATAATATCATCGTAATATTATCCATAAGCTTAAGGCCAATAAGATTCCGGGATAAGATAGTCTTCGGGCTGAACTCTTCAAATGTTGTCCATCATCCTTCATAACACACCTTCAACAAATGTACTCTCTGGTATGGGGAAAAGAAATATTACCAGATGATTGGAGTAAAGCAATTTTACTCCCAATTCTCAAAAAAGGTGATAGGACATACTGCGACAATTATCGAGGAATCAGCCTACTGGACGTTTCAACGAAAATTTTTGTTTCCCTTTTACTCAACAGATTTATGGAAGTACGAGATAGCAGGATGCTGGATTCAAGCTGGATTCAGACCGGGGCGCGGTTGTGCTGACCAGATATTCACGTTAAGAAGGGTGTTGGAACATCGCTTCAGATATTTGCAACTCACGTGTTTCATCGACTTTGCGGCTACCTTTGATTCAGTTGATAGAAATGAGCTTTGGAGGATGATGGAATGCAATGGTGTTCCAGAGAAGATCATTCGACTCATAAAGGCATTTTATCAGCGTACATTGGCGCAGATCTGAGTATATGGGAAACTGACAGAGTTCTTCGAAATAAAAACTGGTATATCAAGGATGCGTCCTTTCCCCTAATATATTCAACTATGCGATAAACTGGGTAATGGATACCGCTTGTCGGCATTGTACTCGAGAGGTATCCAAATCAGACCAGAGCATCGTATCACAGATTTTTAACGCTGATGATTTAGTCCTTTTTGCTGAAAGCTATGCCGAAATGCAAGTAATGCTAAATAACGTGTCAGAAACTACAGCAAGAATCGTACTTAGTGTACACAAAACGAAAGTTTTTTCGTCTTATGTGCAAGAAGCTGATAAAATGCATTATTTTGTAAATTCATTGCCGGTCGAGGAATTATTGGAAATATTGGAAATTTTAATAATCGATTTTTATTTTCAAATGAAAGCTAATTGAAAAGAAGTTCAATGAAAATTTCAAACATCGGATTTCTAATATTTGAGTACCAGAATTCATAAAAGTACCACAGTTTTGCTCCTCGTCTACTGCCAAAATTCCTGAAAGTACCGCAACTTCGCTAACTCATTCTTACCAATGTTCAGTCATCAAATAACGTATTATTTGCTAGTAAATGTTTAGTCATACAAGACGATGAGAATATATTAAATATAAATATAAATATATGAGAATATATATCCGATTTTAAATACCTTGGGTCCACTCTAATACTAAATGGCCAAGCAAAAAAGGATATTATAGCCCGCATCATGGCAACTAGAAATTTTTCCGGTTAACGAAACCTTTATGGAGCCGTCGTGAAATTACCATTAAAACGAAAGTTTACATCTATATAGACGTGATTCGTTCGATCTTGCTATATGGTTCCCAGATATGGCCAATAAGAGTAGAGAATATTAAGAAGCTATCTACCTTTGACCACTTTTATCTAAGGTATATTTTACGGGTCCGTTGAGCTGGTAAAATATCACATGATCGCAACCATCTTCGTTTAGATACCACCTTTATCACATTTTTAGAGCGCCTTCGGCCTTCGCTGTTTAGGGCACGTTCTCCGTCGTCCACCACAAGAGTTGTCGCATATTTCATTACTTACTAAACCGTAAGAGGAATGGCGTCAAAAGCGAGGTTGGTCAATCAAGACCTGGACTGATACGGTGAGAAAAGATTTTGAACGTATAGGTGGACCAGCAATATATGGACGATGGAAAAAGGAATGGCTTCCATTACTGTCGACGATGGCATCAGACCGCGCTGCTTGGAAATGTCCTACCCTTGTAACCGTTGGAGCCAGCCTAAGCAGTAATGGTGAGGTGTTGTTAGAAGAAGAAGAAGATAGGGAAAAAAACAATTTTTGCAATTAAAAGTATAAAAATTTGGAAAAAACATTAAAAAAATAAAAATTTTCGAAATTTTATCTATTTGAACTATCAGAAAAATGTGAAAAAGTAGTAACTCACATTAACATTACATTATCATTACATATTATTTGAACACCTCTAAGGGAATAAATCGAGTCGAGTAAAATAGTAGAATTATTTCGATAACTAAAACTTAGAAATCCTATAGAGCATTATTTATTTCTTTAATTATAAACCATACAGGACATAAAGAAACGTTTTGAAGATAAAAAATCAAAAAACAAATCAAATCAAAACAAAAAGAAACATAAATGAATAGAATGAAATAATAAAAGGGAAAAAAAACGTTATAATATTGGACTGAAATGATCTTGTCAAGATTTATTTAAAAACTGACAAGAGCAAATAATGTGACAACTTCTTCGTAGTTCATGAAAAAATTATGGAATGGAACATCACAATCATATAAATAGAAATCGGCTTGTCCAGTCTTCATTCGATTACTTCTGGTAGCATTAAAATTCACGTTATTCACGAAGTATATTTTGATATTGATATTGTCTATTTTGATATTGTCGAGCAAAATTTTTTCGATAGAAATCAGATCAGTTCTTCCTTTAATGAATCAAGATTTATAACTTTAATTTTGATTTTTAAGCTTATTAGAATTTAAGCTTCCAATTAATTTAACTGATTGCAATGTAAATAAGGAACTTACCATATTATATTTTAAAAATGGATAGACGTTTTATACAATTTAATAGAAAATTATTTATTTATTTATTTCAAAAAAATCAAAAAAAGCATAATACCATCTGCTAGTGTCATAACATAAACAGCAAACTTAAAAAAGATTGTGATAAAAAAAAAACGATGGAACAATTTGAGAATTAAGTGAGAAAATGAGGATAAAGAATAAAATAGTAATAGTAAAGCAAATGCATGAGTGCATGAATATATACATATTACACATTATATATACATATTTATATATATATATATATGTATAAAACCATTTTTCTAACCTATCACAGATACTGCGACAGATTTTTTGACTTATTTCTGAATGTTTTAAGAATTCAAAACCGCAGTTTTTTTTATAAATATACCTGTTCTATAGCTCGAAATAAAGTTTCACGCCAATATAAAATTTGCCGACAAGCATTTATCGACAATATTTAATTTGGCTTTTCTGGGTACTGAAATTCTCCGATCTACCATGCGAGAAATAAATTTTGCAGCCATTTATAAATAAGTAATATTTGAAAAACAATATTAATGACACCTGTTGGAAAAAGAATGTACTCTTGCGACCGTGAATATTTAAATATTTATTGAAAAAAAATACTGTTAGTTGTTTATAAGTTTATTGTAATAAATGAAAAATAGGTATTTCATAGGTTCGAAGTAAAAGCGAATAGTTAAAAAAAAAGGGTGATGAAGCAAGGCGAAGGTGATTCTTGATATTGTCGATCCAACACTGACAGGTTCTCCTTTGCCAATCTGGGTGGTTCCTCCAAAGCAATGGTAGATCAAAAATTATATAAAAATTAATTTATTTTTATTAAAAAGAAAATTTTCTCATGGTTTTGTTTTTTTGATATGCAAATAAGATGGCTTTAGAAAGTAACTAACAGATGCGTGAACAAAGAAAGAAGAAAAACAATTTTGTGCGATTTGCATATTGTTGACTGCTTATAATGTGGAAAACTTTATTAAAATCTTGTCTTTTTTTTTGAATTTTAAAAAGCTTTATGAATTTTACCGCATTACTATTATTTTATTTTATTTTATTTCTTCCCTTCGGTTGTTTCCGACAGCAACATTAATTAAACATTAAACATTAAAAAAAGCAAAATTCATAGTTCATAGCGTAACTATCTTATGGCATTAGTGCTAGACCTCACTACAATAATAAAAATCAAGTGCTATTAATGCAAATAATCTAACAGCCAGGACTTAAAGGGCTTACCCGTGCCAAATTCATTGAGAACTGTGAATAGCCTACGATTTGAAATTGCATCGAAAGCCTTAGCCAAGACCAGATAGGCAAATGAAATCATATGATTTGGCTAGCTCTACTGCTTAATGGAATGAAAACCTTTGGCTGGAGAGTCACCTGGGAATAGAATATATATGGCTACTTCATGTGGATCCTCATCACTTTTAATAGCAAGTTTGCTCTTCAAACGACAGAAATTGAACCCACGATGGCTTGAAGCGGTCAAGTGGTCACTCAACCATCCAAATCCTAGTTGATTTTCCTGAATCTACTAACCATTATGCATGTACATTTTCTTAGATTGGCAATAAACAAGCCTACGAATCCAATTATTTTTCCTTAAACATCGATGATGCAAACTGACTCAGTTAATTCAATGAGGAAATTTCATCTACCTCAATACTTCCTTCAGTAAATCGCCTATAAAATAATCGTCAAAGAATATGGCAATAATTTCTGAAAATGATCGATATCTTGGATTTGATCGATTCATTATTCTTGAATTTTTTAACGCTTATGAATTAAAGAGAAAAATTTTTTAACTTTTTATAAAACATCATTTCTCGAAACCTTCGAAATTCTCAGCAAATCACCACAATTTAATAATAAAATATCGAAAAAAAGCTATTGAATGAAAACGGTAAAAAACTGAAATTTGATCAGCATATGAACTTAGTTTGATTTCTTATTATCAATATCAATATCAGAAGGATAATGAAGAATAAAGAATGGAAATCAAAAGAATTGCGGATTTAAAAGAAAGAAAATATACACCCAATGAGTCGTTTTTCAAGGACGTACAAAGAGACCCGTTCGTTCATTAAAATGTAAAAATATGACAGACAGAACTAAAAAAGCATATCGAATGAGAAAAACTTCCGCTTATATGAAGCAATCATCGTAAAGTGAAAGAACGTATGAATACAAATCCAAGGATAACATAACTTTCGAATAAATCAAACAATGAAATAAAATTTTTAAAAAATCAATGGAAATCTATAAAATGAAATTAGCACATTATGAATGAAACGAAACTTGAACTTTCCGTTGTTTTTATGCTAACGCATCCTATCAAAAACCTATCTTTTTTTATGCTAACGCATGAAAATGCTCAATGATCTAATGCCATTATATAACGATAGCTTTCTTCTTCTGTACGCATTACAGGTTTCGCGAAAAATCCACGACCGAATACTCCCAACATTCCGCCAAGTTGATGCTGAAATTATTTTCATACCAGATAATATATTATAAACGATGCCAAATCGTAAAAACAAAAAAATTAAATGTATAATCAATCATAAATGAAATAAGTGGGGGGATAGAATGGTTGTTGATCAATTCAGAGGGCCGGTGCTGAGGTCCTATTCCTTGTAGGAGTAAACATGCTCAAAAACCCAGGTGATGCTGGGGATTCACCTACACTTCTATCGCCAAGGGACTCTCTGATACATTTGTCCGGTACCATAAGCCAATGGAACGAGTTTAACCAGTAATAGTGAGGGCTTTTAGAAAAAAAAGATGAAATTAATAAAAAAGATGAAATGGAATAAATGAAATTAATGAAACATAGATTATCTCAATTCATTCTTTCTTTCATTCTTTAATTCATAATTCATTCTTTATTTTCAGCTTTTCCTAAATCGTTTTTAAAAATCCAGTATTTTCCATTAATTTTTCCGTACTCTTTTGAATTTTTGCACTTTTAAATGATTCTATTCAGCTTTACCCATGGAATTATGCTCTTTTTTTTTCTTCTTCTAACAACACTCACTACTTCTGTTTTTTGCCTCCATTTACTAATTAAATGCCAACACCCACCCGTACATTTTTCCTTTTCTTCTGAATAAACTCTGAATAAACTCCACTGAAACTCCATTGCCCATTGTTTTAAAACTCTATGGATTAGAAAAAAACGAACAGGTGTAGTGGTACTTTCCGTTGGTGATGCTTCTAATGAAGAACCGTTTTTATTTAAATCAATCAATTTCTTGGAAAAATTTTTATCTGATTTTTTCGTCGTTGCTGAATCCATTCTTGGAATAGCTGGAAAAGTAAAAGATTTAATTTTGATGGCAGCTTCATTTTCATTAAAATATTAAAAATGGTAAAGAAAAAGAATAAAAATATTTACAATATTTAATACGTATAAGAGAAAGCATTTTTTATATTTCATTTAAAAGTTTAAGAAATTAAAAATCAAATTTGTAAATTTAAAAAGATGGGCTGTGAATAGTTCAAAAAAATTTGTGGATAAAGGTTTTTTTGATTAGCATATACTGTTACTGGTTAGACTCGCTGCGCTGGTTTTGATTAAACAAATACCACGCAGTGCCTTCACAATAGAAATATAGGTGAGTCGCGAGCCACATCCACATTTTTGGACGGGTTTACTTCCACTTTTAATACTTTTGCCTGTTTCAAAATTCTATAAACTAGAAAATCATCGGCGATCCGAACTGAGTGGCAATCCACTCAGCCACTAGCATACCAGAAATAAAAGGATGATAAAAGATATTTCTTTTGTTGAAAAGTAAATGAAAGTGAACGAATGGGAAAAACATATACATGCACATACTATATATAATATACTACATACAATATATATATGATACATATACTTTAAACAATGTTAAAATGATTTTAAAAAGTTAATAAAATAAAAATAACGGAACACGGAATGAATGAAATCAATCACATTTTGATAGTAAATAAATTAAGTAAATGCAAAACTTACTAAATACTAACGGCCAAGGAAGACTAAAAATATCAGTCATGTGTATAGAAAGCGACATGTATATACAGTTATTTTATTCCAGTCACATGTTTAAGAACCGTTGTTCCATAGAGGTCATTTCTCCTTTTAAAAATTGTATTTCTTTTTTCACCACAAATAAATATTAATATAAAATATTAATATTAAATAATAACAATTTATATGGCGCTTTACGAAATAAAATTATGATCGAGCATTGCGAAGCTATGCTAATTCTTATATATTAAAAGGTTATATGCAATGCATTTAGCAATTATAACGGATATACATATTTTTTGCCCATAAATAGGCAAAAAAAGCAATCCTTAGTTTAGAAATAAGAAAACCGAATGGTTTTTTAGAAAATTTCTCATTGTACATTACGTTAATGGAAAGCGCCTAAACAGAAATAGTAAGCGATGACCATTATTAAAACATCTTAATGGTATAATATTAATGACTTTTCTGGAATGGAAAATGAATATTAGTCTAGACTAAACGAATATCTCCGAAAGTCAGCCACTTCAACACTAGAGAATAATAGGAAGTGCGCTAGTTGGGTATGGCAAGCAACTGTTCAAGGGTCTGAAAACGCTGCTAAAGCATGAACTTCAGGAGATCCTGACTACCAGATACCTTCGAAGAATTGCAAAGACAGCAACACGGCGGGATATAAATCGCTACTGGAGCAATATGGCCTTGAGAATGAAGTCGGAAGCTCGATTATGTGATAATAGGAAACTATTCCGTCTTCTTCATAAAACAACTACTCGAGGAACGATTAGTGAAATGGTAAGGGATAGCAATGGTGTACCTGTCAATATTAAGGACCGCCTCATAAGATGGAAGGAATTCTTTGAGGCCAAATTTAGCCACGATGCACCATCTATTAACCCAGACATAGCCAATACGCTCGTCGAACCATAAATTTGTAATTACGAAGCGCCAATATGAAAAAAAAAATATTCCAGATGACTGGAGCAAAACAGTTCCGCTCACGATTCCAAAGAAAAATGAAAGGACATACTGCGACCATTATCAAGAAATCAGACTATAGACGAATCAGCGAAAATTTTTACTTCTCTTTTACTCAATAGACTTATGGCAGTACGGGAGAGCAGGATACGCACTAATTAAGCTGGATTCAGACCAGGGCGCGGTTGTGCTGACCAGATATTCACGTTAAGAAGGATATTGGAACATTGCTTCAAATATCTATAACACACCGTTATGTATTTCATCGACTTTGCGGCTGCCATTGATTCAATTGATAGAGTGGCGCTTTGGAGGGTTTTGGCGACGGTGTTCCGGAAAAGATTATTCGACTTATAAAGGCATTTTATGAAACGTGGATCGGAACAGGTCTGTGTATATGGAGAACTGACAGATTCCTTCGAAATAAGAGCTGATATCAAGGCTGCGTCCTTTCCCCTATAATATTCCCCTATGTGATGGACTGGATAATGGATACTGCTTGTTGGCACTCAAGAGGTATATAAACCAATCCAAAGCACCTTATTACTTAATTTGAATACACTAGTCCTTTTTGCTGATTGTTATGAGTGCCATCACAGAACGTCGCCTTCGCTGGATATGGCACATTCTTCATCACCACAAGAATTTACAAATATTTCGTTACATTGCTAAATCCTGTGATTGATGTAAGCTCAAAAGCGAGGAGAGCCAATCAAGACCTGGACTGATACAGTCAGGAAAGATTTTGAACGTATAGGTGGACTAGCAATATATGGACTTAGATGATGGAAAAAGGAATGGATTCTATTGCATAGACTATCGATTGGACAGCTTGGAAACGTTTTATCCTTGTTGCCAGTACAGTCAGCCCAATCAGTAATGATAAGAGCTATTAGAAGAAGAAAAAGTTGATGACCATTCAATTTATAAGAATGAACTAAAATAAAACCACATAAATTGAAGATTTATCATAAAGCCAGAAAAACAAGAACGATGATGAAGAACAGCCTTAACATTTATAACCACAATCCACATATAAAAATATTTATTGTCCAAATTATTTCGATTAATTTAAGGAAAAACCAGATTTAGAAAATTTTGAGAATTCCAAGGATTTGATGGTAATTCATAAAATGATGAAAGGAGATCAAGCCATGATATAAATTCAATTTTTTCACTGATGTGCATAAACTTATCATTAAATTCCAAATGATTTGCCAGCAAATAACTTTCATCCTAATAACCATTGCAAAACCAGAAAAAATAAGGACTCCCAGAGGAAGAAGAAAATAATAATAAAATCAGAGTCATACGTTGGAGATTAGATTTTTTATTGAGTTTTATTCTCCCTTGGCGAAGGGAGAGAAGAGGGACAAAAGAATTGTTCATAATTTTCGAAATAGTAATCTAAACACCAAATATTTATGTTATGCTTAAATGAAAAATGCAAGAGAATGCAATAGAATTGTAGAACAAATAAAAAAAATTTTAACCTTTTAAAAATTTTAAAATTTTAAAAAAAAAGAAATTCAATAAAATAAAAATTTCTACATATATATTGTATGGTCCTTACTAATTATGTAAATATTGCTATTGTACTTAATAGGAATTCCTTCAAAATCATCTTTATAAACATAAACATAGAGATCGAATGGTTTGCTTGTCTCTATTCGCGTCCAGTATCTTATAGTTCGATTTCCAGATTCTTGATGTCATTAAGTACACCATAAAAGTTAAATTCAGGTAGGAAATTATACGATCCCTATGAGATTCTCTGATTAAAGGCCAAGGATTTGGCCGTGGCCAAGTCTTTGGCCAAGGCCTAGAATTAAATCAGGAAATGGTCCTAGTAAGCAGAGTCAGCCAAATCAGGTGGGTAAGATTGTTTAAAAAATTGGAACAGACCATTTACTTAAATGTTATATTGAAATGATTATAGGTGAAATTTATAGTTGCAAAGGTGATAAAGGAAATAATCACTAACTTTTTTCAACTTGATATATAGCAGGAGTTGACTGAGCTAAATCCAATGTCACCTGGTTTATTGCAGATAAAAGATTTGAACAATCTGATGCACTGCTTGATTTACGTAATATGCTAGGTGGCTGAGAATTACTTTTGCCATTTTGTTCAGCATTTTCTACCGATGAACTGCAATTATGCATAGAGAATGGGTTTATCTGCGAGGAATTGTGCCAACTCAATGCATAAAAACAGAATCCAATCAAATCTTTGTTTGCCACAAACATCAATTTCGTAGCAAAGAATTTCTTATTTGTTGTAAAAAGTCATTTAAATAATAAGAAAAATCAAAAAACAAACATATAAAGAAAAGTTGGACAAAACCGTGTTTATTTAAGAATTCTTACCTCACTTTTTTGTAAATATAAATAATAAAGTATTTTCAGTAAAAAAAAGGACTGAAGTGGACCGAAAAAACGCATTGAAGAATAGAGAAGGGATTGAAAATTTGATAAGACGACAAAATGGCTTGTCGATAATAATATATTCAATTTATAAAAAAGTGCAGTGAATTTGGGTCGCTGGCCATTTTAAATCGATAGCTGACCATTTCATATTTACCAGTTATCTGAGCCAGCATACTTTTTTCACGAATACACGTCAGTGACATACAAGTGATAGCTTCAAATTTCCTAAGATCCCAATCGCAATTATTTTAAATAAATGATTCGAAACATTTCCCCCAAAATGCGAAGAATTTGAGTGCTACTTTTTTCTCTTTCATTTTAGCAATAAGAATAAAATAATAAAACAGCATTTCACTTACTTTTTTATAAAAAAATTCAACATTTCTTAGTGATAACAATAAGACGTTTGTCCTCTCCACGAGTATTGGTTAATTTTTCTAAAAAAATACTTGGCTAAAATATATTTTAAGAAAACTGCAAACTCAAATAACCTAATGGAATGAACGCCACTTATCCAATGAGTCCAATGAATTTCACGTTTCGAATACAACAAAAGGTACAAAAATGAAGAGAAAAAAGCCATTAAACAAACAATTAGGCGATAAGAATTAATTCTGGCTGCAAATCTGATTTGTTGAAGTTTAAAAAATAAAGAATTCTGAATATTATTCGAATTGAACAAACTGGAAAAAAGCAAAAGGAAACGACGGATGATTTTGATTAGCCATTGACATTTAATTTCATTTGCGATGCTAATTTTCCGCTGATATGGTTTCAAAAATATAAATGATTAGTGAAGGGAGCTAAATGAAAGTGAAACAATTAGTGAATGCTGCTCAAAGAAGAAACTGATGCGGCTTTGTTTTCATAAATGATAGTCGACAAAAGATAGAAAATTCATTAGGAAAACGTAAATTTGTATTGCTAATTGTCATGGTAAATTTCATTTCACTAAATGCATTCACTTCTTTAAGCAAATTTTAAGTAAAATATTATAATGAATACAGTAATTTAATCAAAATCAATCAATAAAAGACAACCAATGAGTTTTCAAAAATTTTTCGCAATTTTTCGTAAGAGACAATCAAAATTAAATATGAACGGTTAATCGCCTACGGCCAAAGCCTTAAGCGCAACTTTTGATATTTTTTATGCAATATGCCACTTATATTCCTAAAAATTACTCGTTTCTAAGCATTAAAGCATAAAAAGGAAACTTCAATGATCAAAAAAACTTCAATGGGAAATAGTATTATTACAAATAAATTGAATGAGAATGCACGCGTGACTTTTACACATTGGGATTCCCCGAAAATGCGATCTTTCTCATTGAGAATTATTCACAAAACGATAGAGAAATATACGAAAATCGATAGAAAATTTAGTGGGAAGGAAAATAATGATTATTGAAATAGGCGAAACTATACAAATAAAAATTCAAAAATCATCATTTCAGATAGCAGCCATTAAATTTGAAATAAGCTAAATAAAATATGAATGTTAAAAGTAAAATAAGTTAAAATACAACTAATACAAGTAAAATTTAAGGAAATTTCAGCAAATTCAGCAACGACCAAACCAACGATGAAAGCATAACTTTAGCCTAAGTCGAAGTTCTCTCAAAGAATTGTCAAGCTATCGAATGAGCCAAGAAATTTTCTGAAATTCCGAATTACAAATATTTAAATTTAAAATTATAAAAATAACAAAAGAAACAATCAAAAATCATAGTTTAACTAAACGAGAAATAATATTTGCGACAAACTTAATTAATTAGTTGACTGAAATTTTTGTAATTTAACATTAAACCAACTTTTTTGAGTCTATTTTTGTCGTAAAATATCGTAAAAGATATTTTATGGAAGAAAAAACCTGTTTTTCGAAGTGAAATTCACTTTACAGAAATTAATTTTTTGATTACAAAAATGAAATGTTTAGGCAATAACAATAAAACAATATAGAAAGAACGCAAAAATTAATACAAAAATATTTTCGAAATGTTAAATTTAAAATAATATGAAAAATAAAAAATAGTATTTGTTTTCTCTATTTTAATTTCGATTTCGAAAGAAAAATTGCTTTTCGTGGTAAAAAATGATTTTCATATAAGAATTTTCAGATAAGATTTTCAAGAAAATATAAAAAATAAAATAGTTAAAAGTAATAAAATAAATTAATAAAATATGTATAACATATTTTATTTATTTATTTTAACATATATATTTTTCTTTTGACAGAGTAATGAGAAAGAAAATCAACAATAAATTGGTTGTAATTAACCATCGAGATCGACTATCGACTCACTGATCCACCATTAGATAATTAATTAATGCAAACAGAATTCTCGCAACAATTCCTGCTGCAACTATAATAGAAATTAATGAATTGTTGATCGCTACAGCCAGTGTAATTCTCGAAATGCTGACGTATAAAATTAAGAAGAATAACAATGCAATTCGCACATGGAAAATGAGGGTAAAATAAGGTCAGAGCAAAGCGCAAAGAAGTTAGCCAGCTGATAAAATTAGATTATATTATATTAAATTTCAAGATTTGAAGAATAAAAATAATAACCAAATGTTGGGAAAATACAACTACACTACACCTCACCAGAAGTTCTCGAGATTGCTAAACAATGGCTCACAGCATTGTTCACTTGGCTAAGGAGGTACATTAGAGAAGCAGAGGATGAAAAGAAAAGTTCTCTGTTCTCCAAGGAACCGTCCAAGGTATATTCTTAACTTCAATAGAATATGGTAACAACAGAGCAGAAACTATGCTGGAAGAAAATATGGGAGAAACAGAAGAGTTATAACACAATGCAAAATGAATGTAAGATCTGAGAACAAGTCTCAGCAACCTCCCAGAGCCAGCTAGCCAGCCAGAAACCAGCTACCATCACAATTGCTAACATTCAATAGTGACTCAAAAATATGAAAAGTTGGACAGGTCCAGACATGATTTACACTTATTGGCTAAAGAATCTAAGGTTCATGAGCGCTTAGAAACACAGATGAACCAGCTGCTTGTGGCTCTCACCCAGACTGAATAACATGATATTATTGATTATAGATGATATAAAAAGACAATCGTCCAACTACCGACCAATAACTTGCCTATCACGATATGGAAGTGTTGTCAGGTATCATAGCCATCAAGCTTCATGGCCATATAAGCCAGTATATGAGTGCCCTTCAAGAATGCATTGGAAACAAGAACAGGCTCCAGCTGTTATAGATAAGGCAGTCGACTCAAAATCTCGGTAGACTGTATAACTTGAATTGACTATAGGAAAACCTATGATTCAATGCCGCATTCATAGATCTATGAATGTCTGGCTCCATACAAATTATTCAGAACAGGACCTTATACATGACCCTATAGACGTTCACCGTGAACTCTATAGGACTGTAGAAAGCGAGCGACAGTTGAAATCAACTCGAAACAGCTTGCGCTATCAAGTACGGTGTATACCAAGGTGATGCAATATCGCCCTTATTGTTCTGCAAAGATCTAAACTCCGTCAGTCATATTATATTATATTATATATCACCAAAAGCGGATATGGATACAAATTCAAGAGCAGGACTACCATCAGCCATCTTCTCTTTATGAATGATATCAAATTATATGCAAAAAATGAACAAGATTGATTCGCTCATTCATCTAACTCGGATCTACAACGAGGACATTGGGATTTTACTCGGATTAAAGAAATGTAACCTGATATTAGTAAAGAGTGGAAAACTAGTAATGATTAATGAGGTGGATCTGCCATCAGGAGATATAGCGAATATAAAAATTAGCTACAAGTACCTTAATATTCCACAGTCAGATGATAACCACGATGAGGAGGCAAAGAAGACTGCAACGTCCAAGTATCAAAGGACAAGATATATCTTGCAGGATCAACTCAATGGGAAAATCCGTACTATAAATATCTACGCCCTGCCAGTCATCTGGTACACATTGTAAGGTGGACATGGAGGATAATGCAAAGACCAAGAAAACTCCATCCCAAGTCCAATACCTTAAGGCCACCAGCCGGAAAAAAGACCGAAGGAGCTTGGTTTATGAAAACCATTATCTTGAACGAAATTCGAAGTCTTCAGAAATATATCAGCAAGATGGCACCAAAGGATAACTACTGAGAGAATGCCTGAAGCATACACAAACATTGGAAAACGATCAAGCAGAGGAAATACCTATCAGAAATAAAAGTGGCTTCAGCAGATTTCAGAACAACCAAAACCAAAGATCTCTATCCAGAAGAGTGCACTATTAGGGACAGCAGGCCTCTGGTAGAGCACCCGAGGTTAAGGATGAAATCCTGGGAAATGAGCAAGGAATTTTTTAAATATTAAATATTAAAACATATTAAAGAAAAGAATATAATTTATCATGATGGGATTATTTGAATGACATCTATTAAGCAATTAAAGAACTAAAATTGAAAATGATAGGAAATAAATAATAACGTTGGAAATTAAGAATTTCTTTAAAATTTTAAATTTATTTAATTCAAAATTAGATAAATGATAACAGATATATTAATAATATTAATATTAATATTATAAAATTAGATAAACAGCTGTAATTTGAGATTAATAAATTCATTAATAAATAAGGAAATTTTTTTTCCATTTTCGAATTAAGATAAGGTTGATTTATAGTTATTAAGCATTCTGTCAATAAAATATTAATTTTGATTGAATTATGAATAATTTGCTCTAATTATTATTATAAACTTTGGGAATGATTTTTAGAAAAAATTCTGGACTTATGAACTTTGATGTTTGGATGAACAGTGAACGATTTTT